TATCTATATATCTATATATCTATATATCTATATATCTATATATCTATATATCTATATATCTATATATCTATATATCTATATATCTATATATCTATCTGTCTATCTATATATCTATCTGTCTATCTATCTATCTGTCTATCTATCTATCTGTCTATCTATCTATCTATCTATCTATCTATCTATCTATCTATCTATCTATCTATCTATCTATCTATCTATCAATCAATTATACACTTATATAATAATTATATAACTTATAAATTTTTAATAACTAAGATTAAGCTATAAGAATATTATAAGACCTAACTAACCCAATTTATATTATAATGTTGATGGTGGATAGCAGAGTAAACAACTAGCAGGCCGCGTTAGGTAGTAGTATTAGGAGTATTCTTGGCATGGTAGAGTTTCCGCTATACAGGGGGGTTAAATTATCTATCTTCCATCTAAGCATTATTAATAAAGCAGTATAAATATAAACCCGGATGCCCATCCTTCTACATGTTATTACGTTGAAGTAGCAATTCTATACCAGTCTATTCTATACAGTGTATCCCTTAGCTCAACACCCTAAACCAAAATCAAACCCCTAATAACCACCACCCCTGCTATCTCCTCCTCTCCTACACGTTCTATAACCACCGGCCGCATTCCTATGCCCATCACAAGGTCGTCGCACAAGCTGGCCCTGCCTTATTAACACAACTCCCAAGACTAACCATCCCACCACAAGTCCCCGCCGCGCAGCTCCCACCAGCCTCAGGACAATTCTCCCCTATTGTCGAGTCCGTCTGATACGTATTATTGTTAATTGTTGGACCCGCAATATACGGCTATAATACAGCACATACACTAGCTACCTATATACCGAGTAAATATACTTCCCCTCCTTCTTTAGTGGCTCCCTCCCCTTCTTCTTTGTATTCTTGTACGCTTTCTTCCACACCTTATCCTGCTCCCCGCCTAGCTACTTCCTTCTTGCAGCCCTATCCGCCAATTACTTGACAGCATTATGTGACGAGATATGTGGCCCGTTTACAAACTGGCGACACGTCTTACAATCACCAATTCGGCGAGCACCACCTCCCCTGCGGCTGCGACCAGCTTGATGGTTTCCGCACCAACTCCAGCATGGCCGGCTACAACATCTACGACATTGACTGCGACCGCGAGGCCACGCGCGGCAACGCTCTCGCGACCGTCCCGACCGTCCCACCATAAGCTGGGGTTTGGACTCTAGTGACAATGACGGGTTTCTCGTACATCTGTTCTCGGAGCTCGAGAGGAAGGTCAAGGAAGGGCGGCTTTTAACAGAATCTAGGAAGGTTGAGTGCTCGGGAATAAGGTACCGATCTACAAGGCTATATTGGTATCTCCGTGAAGAGAATCGAGGGCGTAGAAGGACGGTACTGATGACATTTGTAGAGATCTAAGCTAAGAAAAGTGGCCTAGATGGAACGAAAGCTGTCAAAGCAATTCGTTGACAAAGAATTGTTGTCTCAGGCTCTCAGCTGGCTGACTCTTAAATAGTGACTGTTTTAATTTTAACCCAGACCAGTGAAGGACGGCGGTAGGCGCAACACACTTCACAAGAAATACCATAGAGTGGATGAACTACATCTCATGGCTAGCGAATGATATCACATGGATGTGACTTTCATTAATGACTGAGATATGAAACAAGATCAACATCCTCCTCAAAAAATCCTCGCCGTCGCAGTGTGAGCTTCCAATTTTGTGCAGAGATTCAAGTTCTGGGTAGCAAAAGCAGGCTATCCATTGAGGCTTGTCTGAATGATTCTTTAGAGCCTGTTCAAAGTCTGTTCACTTAGAAATGCTCGATGAAAGGTCTCAAATCCAACTCCTGGGTGAATGCTGATTTATGTTGCGTATGCAGATACCAGTAGCTTTCGGCAATCTTGCAACAAGTCAACATTCGAACATTAGACACAGATAAGTAGGTTCACTTACAGCATAAGGACTGATTCTGCCATCTGGAGTTCCGTCATTGCGAGGATAATGCGTCGCGTCAGGGACATCAATGCCGCCATCGATGACGGCATGGGCGACATGAACTCCCAGCGGACCGAACTCTCTTGCCAAAGACTGCGTTAAGATGCGCTGCCCAGATTTGCCCGCGGCAATAACAGACCATTTTGCTGACCCTCTAATCGATGCGGTCGCCCCGGTTACTATCAGAGTTGGCGGTTGAGGAGAATGCTCTACCGACCCGAGCAGTAGAGGCAATATGCTTTGAGCAAAGTTGAAGAGACCACGACTAGAGTAGAGAGGTTTGGTCAGAGATATACCAGCACAAGCAAACGGGCATTCTGTTAGATAGGACATACATATTGCCGTTCAAACTGGTATCTAGGTCCTCTAAAGTCAATTCCAAGAATGGTTTACGGCTTGGTCGTGAGTTGGGTCGAACGTTGTAGATCGTAGCTGCGAGCTTGAAGTCGGGGAGCTCCTTCTTGATAGTTTCGAACGCTGATGTGATAGAAGACTCATCCGTTGCATCGGCAGTAATGCCGATCGCCTTCCTGCCGGCCTTACTGATCTCGGCGACAACATTGTTGTAGCTTTCTGGGGAGCGAGCCAGCAGAACAACCGGGTAGGCTTCCGAGAATCGGATGGCCACTGATCTTCCCGTCCCCGGGCCGACACCGGCAACGATAGCAAAGAATTTGTCGGATACCATACTCAGGTATATTTGTATTCAATATTATTTAAAGAAGCAGAAAGAAAAAGGTCAACTTATCTCTTCGGTTCTGTTGCACCATGAACCTGAAAAATGTCGCCATCAATCTGTTACTCTCGCGCTACGTTATTACTGGCTACATCAAATCTTGATTATCAATGCGATCATTTTAACTGCATGCTGAGTAATTCTAAGAGGAAGGTGTAATCTTCGTTTCCTTTGGGTCCAAAATCGATGTCGTGAATGCGCATGGTGGAAAAGGCGTTGTGGGATGTGAGAGGGCGTGCGGGATGGCTGGGTGAGATGACTAAGCCCAGGACTTGTCCCGATGTCACTCACTGTGGACTTCGTATGGTGCACATGCATTCTACCGCCTCCCCTCATCGGATCATCAACGTCATCCCTAGAGTCGATGGTAGAGAGTCTCCTTTGACCGGACTTCCTAATCTCGAATTTCACAGCTAATATTGCAATACCCGGAAGTGGAAGCATTGGGCTTCATTCGGATCGATATTTGGGTGAGCATGTGTAGGACGGTGAACGAAGAGTGACGGTTGCAGGGTTGCAATAAGGGGAGGATCCATAATACGCTAGAACAAATAAGGAGGGCGGTGGTAGAACTGATACTACCGCCCGTTACCCTTGAGGGACGCACCATTATAAAAAGTGGCATTTTTTACCCTACAAAACAACAACATTAGGCACGAAGCTGAGTGATTTTAGGTATTGATTTAGGTCTCACATCTGTACAGCCTGCGACTTCTCGAACGATCGAGTGATTTCCATTCAATTTGGGTGTTGTTGCGCGTGCTTGGAGGCCCTCGAAACTCTCGTCGTGGATTGCTCTGACTGCTAGAACTGGAGCCTGAAACCAGGTTAACCCTACAGCATACGGCGCCCAGAACCTGGTCCTAAACTCAGCTTAGGATCTGCTCATCCCAGCTCAGCCACAGCTCAGGCTGAGCAAGCGCAGCTCATTTTCCTAGATAGGAAGGGAAAGTGCCTATGTGCACATTGGCATATCGATGTACCTCTGGATCAGCGTACGTAACCTTTACACTAATGACGAATGGACCATTGCGGGAGGCGCCATGAGATGACAAATGGGTGTTCATAGCCTTCAAGAATCTGGCTCGGTCTCCTTCACAGTGCTGGGGATACGTGGCGTTCTTGTTGTCAGAAAAGAAGGCAGTGATAAACAGCGTTCGCCCTTCAGATCCTCGCGCGTTAGGTGATGCCCGTTTTCAGCGATTCGATGAGATGCTATGCTTACAATCAATGACGATGTCGCACATTGCATCGGCCTAGTACTTCTCTTCCTCTGTCTCCCCATCGTATTTGCCCAATTGGCGCGCGAAATGCCTGAGGATGGCGTAACTCTGCGTCAAATCCTACTATTCAACTCAATGACCGGGAGATTCGTCGTTGGGTTGAGCTAGAAATTTTGGTGGCTTTGTATTTTGGATACTCTTCAAAGCTGTAGCGGATGTCCTTGTAGGCGATCTCGGCATCCTGTAGGAAGTCTGAGTTCGTAGATAGGATACTTGTCTCTTCATATTTCAGGTCTGCCGCTGCTAACTTGCCTCCCATAGGAGTCTTATCACCTGACCACGCCCGCCAGACTGAAAATCGAAGTAGTGAGGCACAGGTACTCCACCTATCTTCTCATTGTTTGCGCCGGCTGTTCCATAAGACCTCGTTGATGGCATGTTTAGCTTTGGAAGAAAATACGAGGCTATGAGGCTTGGATTTACGAGGTTGGAAGTTACGAGAATGAGCTCTGTGATCAGGTCTAAAATGAGAGCATTGAATATAGCTTTGCATCAAGGTCGAACGGAAGCAAATCGCGGAGAAGGGCATTGCATCATGGTGGAGTCTATCATGACAGAAGCGGCAAAAGTCTAGACTGAGAACTAACGACTAGGAAGACAGACCTCCGCGGATGCTCAAGGCCGAAGCTATAACAAACTAACAGACTGCTCGCATGAGAGTTTTGCTTTGCAAGACTACGCCTATCTCTGCGGAATTTAAGGGCTATAGCTGGATCCATTACTACCACTTAACGCTCTGATATCGTAGAGGTGTAGAAGGCATGTGCTCCGGGAGAGATGTGACGGACAAGAGATGAGATAGGTGCCTTGCGTTCGCTGAAGCTGACTCTGGGACTCTGAGAGGGCAATGAGGCCACAAGGCCCTGACGGGCAAATGCTTTGGGTTCAAGGCCATCCTAAGATTCTTTGTTCAATCAACAGATCCATATCACGTGGAAGCTCTGAATTCCCCGCAAGGACCCCGCATTTTTCGACTCGCGTTTTCCAAAGTCCGGCTCGGCCGAGGGTGGCACCAAAAGTAGCAAGAGCTGCCGGCAATTCGCAGCCCCGATTGGCCACATGCAGGCGTTCATCCAGAGAATACGGTAACTTCAAGCCTTTGTAGTCGTCCGTTTGTCGCCCAGATATCTTCAGCCGCGCAGGGTTGCAATTTCATTCCTTGTCTTGTTCATCTCGCGCTGTTGCTCCCTTCGACTCTACTACTACGCTGCTAGCTGCATTTTAACTCCAGTATCGGAACTCTTTCTTGCCCTGCAATGTCGTCCGAAAAAGACGTAGACGTGAATAGTATCAAAGACGAGGACAGCTCAGTTGACAACGGAAAGCGGGATCTCGAGAAAGCCATTGCGACCGAGCCAGAGAGAGCTGTAGTTGACAACGTAAACAATTCTAGCCTGTTGTACGCCAACGTTAACACTTTTCAGAAAGAACTGAACCTAGTCAACAGCAAGGACGACCATGATTACGATCTTGAAAAGCACCTGTCGCGGAGGAGTACGCGACACAAAGACCAAATAGAGCATGAAAAGTATCCCGAAAACGATCTGGACAAAGGCATAGTCGGCTGGGATGGTCAAGACGACCCGGCGAATCCTAGAAACTTCCCTGATTTCACAAAATGGTGTCTCTTGGGGTTGGTGAGTATCATCACGCTCATGAGGTTCGTTGGTACCAGCTCCGATGAAAACCTCAGACGGTTGCTAAAACCACGGGGACAGTCCGTTAGCCTCGTCCATGTTTGCGCCCGGTGTCTCCTTCATGGACACAGAGTTCAACAATACGAGCACGATCTTAAGTTCTTTTTCCGTGAGCATTTTTGTCCTTGGATTCGTGGTACGTACCATTCGCCTCTCGCGAGTTGTAAAACCCAGACACTTACATCTTTTCAGGTGGGCCCTCTCTTCCTCTCTCCACTTAGCGAAATCTACGGTCGCCGTCCCGTACTTGATTGTTCCAATTGCTTCTTCGTCATCTGGAATCTCGGCTGCGCGCTAGCTCCAAATCTCGCAGCTCTCATGGTCATGCGATTCCTTGGGGGTATCGGAGGCTCCGCGTGTCTGACAATTGGAGGCGGCGTCATTGCTGACCTGTTTGTAGCTGAGCAACGAGGCCTCGCTACAGCCGTCTACAGCCTGGGCGCGTTGTTTGGTCCTGTGGTGGGTCCCATATGCGGTGGATTCATCGCTCAACGCGTAGGGTGGCGGTGGGTATTCTGGGTTCTTCTAATTGGCTCCGCCCTGGTAACCCTCGGTATCATAATTATGAACCGAGAGACAAATCCTACCGTTCTTTTACAAAGAAAGACTATCCGTCTTCGGCGGGAGCTCGATCGTCCAGACCTCCTCTCGTTCTACGCGCGAAACAAGACCGAAGATCAGCTTCTTCGCCGGAATGTTCTTAAAACGGGTATTTTGCGCCCGTTGAAGATGCTTAGCATGTCCCCCATTGTATTTCTCCTCTCCGCCTACCTTTCCTTCGTATTTGGACTGCTCTACCTTCTCTTCACCACCATCACACAAGTCTATATGGAAACATACGACTGGCAGCCGGAGATGTGTGGGTTGGCATACCTGGGGATTGGCATTGGGTTCTTCCTCGGCATACTCTTTGTCGCCAAGACGTCCGATGCGACCATAATCCGTTTATCGAAACGTAATAACGGCGTCTACGAGCCCGAAATGCGTCTTCCAGCCGTTGTTTTCTTCGGCATGCTGGTGCCAATATCGTTCTTCTGGTACGGTTGGTCGGCAGAGAAAAAAGCCCACTGGATCGTGCCCCTGGTTGGATTATTGCCGTTTGGGTTAGGACTGATGGGAATCTTCGCACCGATTCAAACCTACCTCATTGACGCCTTTCCGGAGTACGCGGCTTCAGCTGTCGCCGCACTTACAGCACTCCGGTGCCTTTTTGCGGCTTTTCTGCCGCTCGCGGGCCCGTCCATGTATAAGAGCTTGGGATTAGGATGGGGCAATAGTCTGTTAGGCTTCGTCGCCCTCGCGTTGATTCCGGCACCTGCTTTAATTTACAAATATGGGGGAATGATTCGCAAGAAGTATCCTATCGACTTGGACTGATTTTCAGAGGAGGGAGGATTGCTCAGACCTTGCACTCATCAATCCTAGACTTCAGAGCTACGGTTCCTTCTGCCATCTTCAAAAGGAGCATATATGGCACAAGCTACTCGAGTTTTGGAACGTCATCCTTGTGTCTCACTCGCTTATGAGGTATAGGCACCATTCAAAGTCATTGCGGCGAGCCAAGTTCCTCATCTCTTGGAAATGCCCTATCCGTATAATTGGCCGCATGTACGATAGACACGAGGCCGGAAAAAGGAATGAATAGCCAGGTTTACGTGGGATGTGTATGTCTAGCAATTTGCAAGAACCAACAAAAGAGTAGCATGTCCAAGACTCGTAATTTTGGAACAGCCTGGAAGTTTATGATAGGGGGAAGCGCACGGAGAGCAAGCTTCAGTGATAAATCCGAATGATAGCAACCTCCTGTACCCCCGCTATACCTATATCCGCACGTAGAGGCGCAGAACCTGACGTTCTAGCTCAGGAGAAAATCACAGGTGTTGAAGGAACTCCGTTGATGGTGTCCACTACGTTCGATATGTGCTTTTTCCCCTCCTTTGAAACAATAGCGTCACGTGCACCATTCTGAATGTTTGCAGTAAACTTGGTGGCGGCTTTGTGGTTAGGGCCTGTGAGGCCCTTGCGGATGGCGAGGACCGAGTCAACGATGACTGCATCGATGCCCTCGTTGACTTGGAGCTAAAACCCCTTTGTTAGCAAACACGGATAAGCGGAGACTACTGAAAAGCTCTTATACCTTCACTTTTTCAGGATCGTTATTGAGCGTTCCGTAGCTCACACACACGAGCCCTGATTCCTTCACAACCTTGACTAGCCGCGGACACAGTACCAAGGGCTCCGCTGCCGACACCACACCGAGGAGATTCCACCTAGATGCGAAACGAATAGCTTCTTGCAGACTTGCCGCACGAATGTCGCCAACTGGGGAAGTTCCAGCATCGGTCAAGAACAGTATCGGGATGGAGGGCTGCTTGAAGGACAGCATAAGACAGATGTCAGGGTTGAAAGAAGAGAAAATTATGTTGCGTTTGTTGCCAAGGTCGTAGACGGTTTTAAGGACTGTGTCGACAAATGAGTTGAGCTCAACCGCGTAAGTGTCCATTTCGTGCTCCTCGGATTCGTGGAGCATTGGATATTCTGACATGAAGTGAGCAAAAACTCCGAGGGCTAAAAGGACCACGATTCGGAATGAAGGGAGAGCATACTCATCTCTATGTTGAAACCGGTGGATTCGGGGAGCTTCCTGAACATCTCCTCTAGGGTCGTGAATGGAGCCTGGATGAAGGTGCCCCTGCTGTTCCCCTTATAGCCCTTCATCTTGAAGTCACGAGTGTGTTTCATCCGTTCAGCCAGATCTACCGTGTGGCTTTGATTGGATGTGTCCATAGAGTATGATCGTGGACGTCTCTGAGACGATCGAACTCCCTTGCCAACTTGTGCACTCCTAGCATCGTCTGGCGATGGCGCCCGAGAAGATCTTGGGGTCTGGTGCTCGCTTATATGCAGAAACTATTTATCACAAGATTAATATGAGTAGTTTAAAGATACTGGGCTGAGAGGCTATCCATACTTGCTCCAATGTGAGAGTGTGTACAGGAGCGTCAATTCCGGTCTCGCTGACCAAGAAGTCATGGTAAATGACTGGAACATGGTCTTTCGTCAACTGGACATCTACAGTATGTTAGATAAAGCCTAAAGTGGCTTCCTTCGATCCTTACCGAACTATCAAGTGATTAGTGTAATTCGGAGATCCTCGGTGATAGGCTTACCTCAACATAAGACGCGCCAAGATTTGCTGCAGCAATGAAAGACTGATACCAGATTAACGACGACATTCATACGGCAGACAAGTTGATTATACCTGGAGGGTGTTTTCGCCGAGTTGCAAGGATTTCCTGGAAGCCATGTTTTTGCCCAGACCTTCACATGAGTTAGGATGGGACCGGAGGAGAGAAACAGCAGCCGAATTCACCTCGATGTCCGATAACCATTGTTGATGTCATACTCTTCCAATATGTATGTTGTTCCGTGATAGACATATTGGGATGCGTGAACGGCGTAATAATAAGAAAATTGAAATTGACGGATCCAATAACCTCTAACGTCGCGGCAGCAATGATGGGCACTTTCACATCGCCCTGCAAGGTAATTCTGTTCGACCCAATACTCGGTTTGATGCTGGAAAGAAGTGCGACCGCCCGGCCGACGATGCGGTCCTTTGAACCCGCATATGTCGGTACAATGTCGAAGAGCAACTTCACGCCCGTAGCATTTGTTGTCATGAACGTGATAGGATCTGTACATATGTTCTCTTGCACGGGAAGATCGATGACGGTAGGTTCGCCAGTCGCGCCTGTTGCAGACACGACGACAGACAAGGCAGTATCGAGCTGGGTGGAATGGGCATCAGAAAGCGGAATGTTGTCGAGCTGCACGGCTGCGACATCCTTCCTGATATCCATGGAGCCCAGGCTGACAAGGACCATGGTTTCTTTCGTAAGATAGCGATGCCCAAACGCCTTGACAGGTTCGGGGATTCGCACGGCTTGAGTTTCCCTAAGGAGATTGTTGGACCGTCTGTCGTCTAGGGAAGAGGCACTTGGAGGTGACGCAGATCGAGCTGATGAAGTGTCGGAAGTCGGCAGAGCTCGAGTAGGACTGACTTCTGCGAGCCTCTCGGCAATCTCTAAGTACCCACGGAGAGCGGCGTGTTCCTTTGCAGTCCAACCGGAGAGATCGGGTCGCTCAAGGTCAGCGCCGGCAGCAATAAGTAGCTCGACAATAGGCAGATGGCCGTCCACACAGGCGATGAAAATTGGCGTCCACGAGAAAGTCTTTTCTGGTATATCGACGTCCGTCTTCTGATTCTCAGAGCCGCTTACTAGTGCCTCTGCACATTCACGATGACCGAAGCGGGCAGCAACGTGTAACGCAGTCTCGCCCTGCTCGTCCTGGTAATTTACATCGACTCCCGCATCCACCAATAGGCGTACAATCGCGAAGAAATTGGACTGAGTTGCAAGGGCGAGGACCGCACCAGATTTGGACACATTTTTTCTTGACGACATCCTATCGCTGCTTTCTCCGCGCCAGTCCTCGGCCTGAAGAAGTGTTTTCGTGGTCAGGGGATGCCCACCGATTACACTGAGATGGAGAGGCGCGAAGCCTTCCAAGTCTTGCCAAAGCTCCGAATCAATGCCTTGGGACACATCAAACTGATCCCACTCCTGCATGTACTTTATGACGACCTGGCAAACCACGACGAAGCCATATTGGGCAGCATAGTGCAATGGCAGTCTTCCATAGGAATCACGGGCTTGAAGCGCGGCGCGTTGGTGAAGTTCAAGTCTGGCGAGAAGATACGTCAGGAAGCGAACGGACTCGTCGTCCAGGCTCAGAAGCCTGGTCGATTCTTGCTCGGTCTTGGTCCATGCCGGGGGTAAGAGAATAGGTGACTCGGCAGGAACGATGAAATTGGTGCCTTCGACAGGGAGTTGGAGGGATGAACCAGGGCCCTGCTGTGCCTCGTGCGTCTTTGACCGGCCGATACTGATGACAAGCCTGTGGATACAATTGCGGCTGTTCAGGTCATCCTCCTCGTCTAGGGACACAATCTGCGGGAGGAGCTTGTCGATGCAGGCTTTGGATCTGCAGGAAATGGAACGCTGCAACAAATTAAGCAACAGTTGCTGGAATGAGGAACCGAGACGGTCTTCATCGCTGTTGCTCTCGTGGAGTAGCTCCGCTAAAATTGAGGCATCGTCATTGCGGATTGCTTGGTCCACGGTATCGAGAAGGCCCGGCGGAAGATTCAGAATAGCTCTCGACGACACCATCCGCATCGATGCCACTGATTTGACGGATCCAGCATCGTCGAAAGTTTTAGCGTCTCCGAGGGCGGACAGCCAGTCATTGATCGCCGCCATGTTCTCAGAAAGGCTGCTGTTGTTTGCGAACGGCTTTGGGTCCACCCTGGAAGCAAGATAGCGTTGCTGCGTGCAAACACGAGGGATCTTCTTGTCGAGCTTTTTGGTGATCTTGACAAACCCTCTTCTGTTTACTTCTCCATACCATTGCAGCTTACGCAGCTGACCGCGCAGCTCGAGGAGCGCGCCCATTAGGTCTCCCGCCTCATCTTGGTCTATGCCTTCGGGCACGCGTGGAGCTCGCCCATAGCGATCGTGAAGCAGTTTCAGCCGCCGAGCTGTCTCTGCGTATTTCCTATTGTAGAAACTATCCACATCTTCGAGGTTGCGATCGAGGCGGAAGAAGAATTCTAGCGAAGTCAGATGCTGTATGTAGGCAGGTCGTTACGCAGCTTACCTGCAAGGTCGGGGTCTTGTCCGTCCTTTGCTGCCTCGGTCGCGGATTTGATGAGCTTCTTCAAGCCCTTGTAATTGATGTAAGATGCAGCCCAGTCGGGAACCTGATTGCGCGCAAGATTGTGCCCAAACTTCATGGTGGAAGCCCTTTGTAACAGGCGAGATGGCTAGACAGCTTTGATTTCAAGCGCAACCGCACGAAAGAGGGTACGAGAGGGAGGCCGTTGGTTCCGAGGGCAGAGCCATCCGGGTATACACGTGAAATCCAGGGGGAAGGACTAGGAGGGGAGGTCGAGGAAGTGATCTGTAGAAATTGTTAATGGCTGGTCGTGCCAAATCTGGTGAAGCTTATTGGTGCAGGAGGGTGACGGCACGGCGCAGGGAGGGCCGCCTGCAACAACAATGAATGACTTGCATGCCGCGGGGCAACTTCCAAGGTTCCAAAGTTGCCAGGTGCTCAGGGTGCACGTCAGGCGGCTGCCACCTGGGCACTCGGGGAGGCTCTGGGGACGATGTGTTCTGAACGTCGCACGCGGCCAGACCGGCGGTGAATCGTGGGAGACGGGGCGGGATACTTGCCTGCAGCGCTGGACGTGGATATGGATAGCTGCCGCACGCGGCCGTGGTTGCGCACAGCGAGGGCGCGCTGAATGAAAGGACGAGACGCTCTGCCAAAAGCCGGCCGTGATTCTTCAAAATATGCAAACAGCGGGCCGAAGTTCTACACCGATTCTTTTATCGATAACAGCCCTACCGCACGCAGACGCGACAGGACAAAATTAGAACGGATGGCTCCGCGGGGCATCGGGTTCCTGGTCGTCTCGTCGCCCTGGTGGCCGTCGGGGGCCTCTGCTCAGGAAGTGATGGGGCTTGCGATTGGGAGGCTTCGATGAGAGACGCTCTGGAGCGCTTTGTCCAGGTAGGCCATGCCTGACTTCAAAAGCTCTTGCTTGCCACTGGGCCCGCATGCTCCTTCGCGCTGCATGGCGCGCCGTCGTGATTGGAGAGCTGCAGTGCTATCTTGGGCGATGCAGACAGGCGACGAGGAGAGCATTGCGCCCGTGCTACTACTGGCGGATAGATATGGGGGGATGGAGGCCGTTCGCCACGGCGCCACGGTAAGAAGCAATCGAGGAAGCAAAAGGAACGGCAGCGTGGCAGACCCGCACGCGTGACGTCCCACTACTCATGCAGTGCGTCCAGTTCCCCACCACCGAGGGCCGCTGCCCAGCCGCAGAAGCAGCAACACGGCACGCGATCACTTTCACACAGCTCGTATGGTAGCAGCATTTCCGCTGTTGGCTGACCGTCTATCCGCCGAGATCGCAAGCTTCGCATGATGGGCGTCATGTGTTCTATTATTGCTTTTCATTCGGCCTCGTCGCGAAAGATGGAAACGCTGCCGTGGGTATATGCCGCCTTGCTCCCGAACCAAACTCCCCGTCATGCCCGTTCTTGGGACCATATTTAAGTACACCACCGTGATGCCCGGCCCTGAACACTGCGGAATTTGCCCCGTGCGTGCAATCATTTTCTCATAACCCTCAACAAAGGGGCAATTCTCGCCCGCTTGCTCAGCCCCACCCTGAGAGGAACTTTAGACTTACCTGAAGGCGACAGGGAGCCGCTAGTCCCCCTTCTCGGCTTCTGCAACTTTGTCTCGATTTTGCCAGCGGAGCCAGTTGATGTAGTACCGTCTGTTGCGATCTCAGGCGGCGTGTTTGGGGGCAACACTGTTTCAATCGCGAAGTTGGATGTGTTCTCCGTCTCCTTTGGAGGTCCTTCTCGTTTCTTACACTCATCTTGTACCTGGACCACATATCCTGTAGAGTCGCTCTCTCCCACACTCATGCTAGCCTCTCCATGGAGCGCAATTGATGTCTCCGCTTCTTTCTCAGACCGCCGAGGACGACCGCGACCCCTCTTCTTCTCCCCAGCAGAGTGCAATGGAACGCCAGCTGTGATTGTGTCTCTCGTCTCCTCTAAAACTGCCGTCTTTCTGCGCTTCGTCCTACGCTCATCTGTCGTCACATCTTCAGGCCGCACCGAATGCTTTAGATTCATTGGGCTCGACTCAGACGCTTTGGCCTCGTGAGGCAATTTCGCTGAGATAAGATCGTTGACATCTCCATGATCCTGTGCACCCTTTTTGTGTTCAGTGCCCCCTTCGCAGTTCTCAGTTTTCCGCCCATGCGGAGACTTAACTGTCGGTATTGCAACGTGAAGCATTTCCCAGACTTGCCTCTTGAGTGGAGATTGGTCGTGTGCAACATTCAAAATCCGACCCTCTGTGACTTCTTCCGTAATCACCCGCGATGAATCTGGGTGAGCTGCTGTTGGGGCGTCGTGTTGACCTTTGCTAGAACCTGGGCGACTGAGCAACCATTCCACGGCTTGGTCAAATTTGTTGTCACAAGCCTTCAAGGCCTGCTTCGCGTTTGAAGGGCTGAAGCCCATAGCGCAAATCCTCTCTGCTTTCTCAGAGCTTGAAAGGACCAAATGGCCAATTGACCCTGTAGTATTGTTACGCTTGGACCGCGACTTCATAGCTTTTTCAGGTCGGACAGAGAAGTCGATGGGTTCTTCCAAGATCACATTCGTAGACCGCGATCTGCTGGGTCTCGGCTTATACCGCTCCTTTGGTAAGCCAATAGCTCCATCATCATCAAAATCGTTAGATTCGAGCTGTTGAATCTCGCGTATAGTTTTCCGCTTTTCCGACCGTGGTTTCGTTTTAGGGGAATTATCGTCTGCCTGCGCGCTCTTTGATCGGGTGCGATTTGCGGATCTGCGGTCTTCGATGGAGCTTTGTGCAGCATTTCGCGAGGCTCCTTCGCCCGTATTCGAGTCAGTAGCACTATTTGCTTGGTCTGCATGAACCGACGGAATTTGAGAAGAGGCATGGGTCCCTGCATGTTCATTGCCGAGTGACTCCCCACTTTGTCTGAATAAATCTTCGGCAACATCCCTATTCTCCTTTCTTATGTAAGTTTTGTTCTTATATTTCTCAGGGGACTACAGTCATCTAAAGACTGCTCTTGGAATGGCACTTACTGAAGAAGTAGTCATGTATGCTGACCACGGAATCGAGGAGTTGCGAGCATCTTGATCTTGCAATGGTATTAAAACGGGCATATTGGGGTGATTTGAGCGTAGTAGTTCGTCCATAAGCCTCTGCTGAGTGAGGGTGTTATTCGGTACTGTGCTGGACATTTCGGGAAACATTGCGAGAGGCTGGTGGTGTTCGAAGTCATCTCGAATCGAGTCGTGTAGCTCCCATAGACCATTTGGCAAATGTGTCGCAGGCAAGGTACTGTTGACTTGCGCTTCGAGTATTATATCAGAATTCGCCGAGTTGGTCGAGTTACGGAGCTGGTTTTCCGCAGTCGCAGGCGATGTATGATGCGCGAGGCGGCTATCGTTATTTTGCACGTCTATATTGCTGAGCGTGTGTGTGTCTTTGGTGGGTGATATGGCGGAATCTGTTGCTATTGTGGACTTGCGCTTAGTATCGCCTGTGGTTGGAAGGATGCGAGTGGCAATGCGGTCTGCAGCCTTATGGGAGGGAGACTGCGTTGGAGCGACTAAGTCTCTATGTGCGGCCTCGATTTTGTTTCTCAGTGATTCTAAGGCACCAATGTGAGCGGCATTCTAGGTGGTGAGAACGGAGCAAACGCACCTGTCGAGCCGGTGCCATTGCCGCGAACTGGGCTGCACAACTCATCCTCCCCACCACTCTCGTCATCTGAATCCTGAATCACTCGCGGCATGATTCTTGACCAAACCCCGATGGGCGTAGCAAGTTCATGCGGAGGGAGCGGGGTGAGGATGGTGGGTCGCGGTAAGGCTGCGATCGAAAATCAACACTACGCGTTAAGAATTACGCTATCACGTGACCGTCACCATGCCCATATGACCATCATTCGAGGCCCGCATACGGGCTCGTTGGTAGCGGACGTTATTTTCTATCCGATACGCCCTAAAATCTGTTCCTCCCGCAAGTAGCCGTAAGGAGGCCTAGTAGAAGAAGCTGCTCGACTTCGACGGAATCAGCTAAGATGAGCGGAATAGAACTTCGATATTATGAAGTTGTCATCAGCTCATAGTATCCTGTTACCGGGTCGAGACGTCTATAAGTTCTGTTAGGGGTTCACCGCGTTAAACTTCGAATGCGGCTCGCGAGCAGTCCTAACCATACTCATGGCAAATGATGTTCCTGACGTCATCCAAGTCTATTCTCATATACTATAAGACCCCGGGTTTGTCACTGTGTGCGCGGTTATCAAGAACCCAATCTTATTAAATCCAAACCGCGATACACTCAGCAAAAGGAACCATGTCTTCTTCGAACGATGAACAACGCCAGCCTGGTCTCATCGCCGGCCATGCCCAGTACATCAAAGGTGCTGCAGTGGTAGGTTGCCTCTCCAAAACCTTCTGACGCAACGTTCATCCTCCACTCGGAAGGTCTGAACTGCGTATATCCACATTGATAGACACCTATGTATAAGCGCTTACTTGTTTCCAGAATGCTATCGGCAACATTTCCGGGTCTGAAGCTTGGAGCACGTCAGGTGAAGAACAGAAGAAGCACGCTGTAGATGCTATGAAGGAAGCTAGTGAGCAGCGCGATCCTCAGCAGGGTTACGGCAAAGCGGAGGAGATCGCAGGAAAGTTGTCGGGGTGCGAAGGGATGCAAAAAGAAGGTGCAGCGAGCAAGGAAGACTGAAGGGCAAGGATGGTCTCGACAATTGTACCAAAATAAGGAGCAAGTAGCGGAATATTATGTTACGATTTTCACGGGATCTTATGTAAATCGTATACAATGCTACTTCCCATTATTGGGTTCGCGGTTACTGACTGTCGTCCCCATCCAGTAACTTTGCGTAATCCTCGGCGGAGGCAAATGTTGGCAGGTGCTTTAGCTTCCGCCTCTTCGCCTTTTTCTCGTCCCTTTCACTCTTCTTCTGTTTCTTAGCAATTGTGGCCCCGGTCTCCTCGTCGCTATCCACAACGCCTTGTGGAAGATCGTCGAGCGCCACAGGTATATCTTCGTCGCTGTCGATGAAGGCCTCTTCATCCGCACTCTCAAGGTCCAGGTCATCATCAGAGCCAACGTCGCTAGCATCCGCATTACTTCCAACCTCATCAAGCCCCTCTTCATCCTCACTTCCCAAGTTCAGTTCGACACCGCCCATGTCTCCGGCGCCATCATCGTCTTCATCGTCAGACATGCCGTCCATATCCAGGTCGCTGAACCCTTCTTCGTCTGAGCCCCCTTCTATTTCAGGACGGCTCTGAACAAGCGCTTTCCAAATCTCCTCTTCCCCTTCTTCGCTGTCGTCATCGTCATCCTTCTTCTTCGCAGCCTTCTCCTTTTTACTTGGTCTACCTTTTCCGGCTTTTTCAAAGTACGTATGGAAGAAAACCTCGTCGACTGCAACGTCTTGCACCTTGCGTTGCCAGAAAGCCTCCGTGTTTACTGGCTGAGCGGCCCGGGCGCCATCTCTGGAGGTGATCAACATATCGGCGACATGGGCGTTGCCAGCAAGCGGCTGCATTATAGATGATCCATGTGTGCCGCCGGACTTCGTTTTAGGATTGCGGTATACGAATTTGTCGAGGAAATTCATCAGGGTGTGTAATGACGGATCTGGCTTTTCCTTCATAGGATCTGAGTAAAGGAGTCGATTGGCAAATAGCTGAACGGATGGGTGATAATGTGCTTGCAGGGGTAGAAGCTCCCAAAGACACGATGCATCAGCCGCTGCATGCTCTGGATCTCGTTTCCGGCCGTCGTAGAGATTTTGCTTCGTCGAAGTCGGTTTTGGTGGCAGAGCGGAGTCCTCGGGAACGTCTTCGTAATGCTCATCTTCGGACTCATCAGGATGATGTTCCGGACTCGATAGCATCGTCTTGATGCTTGGAAAGGTCTTCGATAGCTCGTATATGAGATAGATGACACTGCAAACAAACGGAGGCTCGTGAAGGGTGATTACTTGTAGAAGACGCTTGACAAAGGCTTTCACTCGTTTCACACTCAGGTCCGCCTTTAGAGAGCGATACAAGAGATTGAGATACATAATCTGTTTAGATGAACCCAAGAGACGAGGGTCTAGTAGTGACTCATACAGAGTACGGTAGAAGCGATCGCTTGAGAAATGCTTCGTGGCCGATATCTGCTGGATGAGCATCAAGGCTTGGATGCTGGTGTTGAAATTGGATGAATGTGTGACTCGGAAAAGTTCCTCCATCTGATTTTCGAATCTGAGGTATAGTGAATTAATAGCCGACCAAGTAACTGAGGAAAGCAACTTACATGGCGTCATCAGTTTTGGCGAAAGGAAAGGCCCGATTAACGCCCGTCAGCACCTGAGCAACCATCTTCTCCTTCATTTCCTCTTCTGATTTATAAGCCTCTCCTTCCTTTTCTTTGGCCTTTTTGCGAGCCATCTTTCCTGGCGCGCCTCCACCGCCTTGGATGAATCCATTCTTGTTGATTTTCGTGTGTGTCTGTTCGTCTGTTCCTTTGGGCTTTTTCAAGAGGCCAACAAAAAGGCCAAAGTATAATTCTAGGAGTTTGGTTGCTACGTCCTGTTCCTTCACACTTAGCATTGTCTGATTGAGTGTGATGACAGCGTAATATTTGGCATGCGTGCTCTGCCCGGGTCGAAAAAGTAAGTCGGATTCTATTGCATTAATGATGACGCTCTTCATAAGCGGATGTGATACCTGTAATTGAAGCAGCAGGTATGATGCCCTGGAAGCAATCTTCTTGTCAGTGTCTCCCAGCTTGTTTATCAGGAGCCGCAGCAGATTCTCTTCCTGCTCTGGCTTCTCCCTCAGCAGCTCCCAGACGAAAGTGACAGCTCGGCTACGAGCAAACGTGACTTCATCGTTACACCACCCTTCTACGACCTTAAGCATTTCAAAATAAGTTCGTTTTAACCAGTCTTCGTACGCCCACACTATCAGATGGATCTTCTGAATAGCGCCCGGTAAACGATCACCAGCCTTCCAGCTAGCTGGCTTGCCGTGTAGTGCGTGAGCGAGTCCTGGTTGTTTGGCGAATGCGCGCAGCTTCCGATCGGGCGGCAGGACGACACCCTGGCCGAGCAGATCTTTCAAAGCCCCCAAAGCCATCAGCGCAGCGTTCCTGCTCTTTTTCCTGCCCAGTGCCAAGAGTTGTTCGAACGCTTTGGTGGTATGCAATGGGGATTCCTGTACCAGCAAGGTAAGGGCCGAGACTTTGTCTTCCAGGGTACCAGAGGACATGATTGTGGACATGAACTTATGCGAGGACGTGGAGGACGCGCGCGATCCTTCGTAAGCTGTGATTTCTGCCTCCAGGAGGGTGTCGGCGTACTTGTGGAGCTCATCCAGGACGTGGCGGGGCGGTGCTGAGGGTGATTCTACCGGGGGAATGTCTGGGAGGGGAGCGGCGTGCCATTCTGGCTGAGGTGCAAATATCTAGGGCAATCCGTCAGCACTGTTCTATTCCTGCTGTCACTTTTCTGCATAATTTACCCGCAATACTTACCAGTGTCGGCCGCTGTGACTCTGCCTCCCGCTTCGGACGGGGCTTCGACTTGTCCCTGATAGCCATACTGCCCCGTCCCATGCCCTGGGCAGGTCTGGACGTGCCATGGTGAGACTCGGAGTGCGAGCGCTTCTTCGTCATTGGAGATGGGAGGCCGCAGTTGCAGCAGGCGCAATAGCGAACTCAGCTAAAACTTTTGGTGTTCTGAGGTCGTGAAAATCGATCAAATTGCAGCGACAGGGGTAGCGGGCCGTAGTTTTCCCGGGGCTTTTGCCGAAGCAGCTGCTGACCTTGCCACCTCAGGCATAACTTTTCCACAACCTCAAACCTTTGTACGTAAATCACACACTTATTGCCAAGACCATTATGCAAGAACAAAAGAAATGAGCTTGCTGGCTGTTAGTCCTTCGGATGGCAACTGCCGGGTCGTCATGGTTGCCTCAAAGGGGCGTGCAGACCCGACGAACCGCGATGTGTCATCGACAGCGCCCTAGCGACGACAACGGGCGACAAGTCCTCGGAAAGAACGTGACGGCCCATCGTCTCGGCGGTCGTCACGGTTTCCTTATAAGCGGTGTATGTGGGCGTCACGATGCATGCTGCGACTGATTGTTGATCGGCGGAGTTGACGCAGAGATCGTATATCTGTCCAAGTCAGACTCTATTTGTGTGAATAGATGGATGGTATAGAAAGGCTTCTTCTCTTCCCACATCTCTACCTATTTGGTAAAGGGGTATAAGGCCTCCTCGTAAAGACAACATGTAAGCTGGACTTTCCTTCGTGTCACGTGATTCTCCCCGTCCATCATCACACTTCAGTTCGTCTCCGTGGCTTCAGCGTCATCTCCAGAACTCTCTGTTGCAACTCCCAGTCCCTTCTACAACTGTTTCCCTCAGTTATCTCGAGGGTGTACTTACGATGGTGCTTTTCAGGACGAGAAGTACGCACGTTGACCAGCTCTGGGCTACTACCAACCGTATCGTCTCTCACAGAACAGCAAGCAACGTCCCTCAAATGGAGTACTCGGATAAGCCGGCCCTTGATCTAGAAATGGCTCTTGATGAGGATCTGGAGGAGCTAGGCCGCAAGAGACCAGCAATGTTCACGTCGGCGTGGGCGGAATTTGGGTTCTGTTACTCGATTGTCATGTCGCAACTGTTGACTGTAAGCTCTCTGTACACAGCAAAGTACTAGGCTATGGGATTGTGCACATGGATTACCACTACTTGAGTGCCAGTCTGGAAACTGGACACCACTCTCCGGAGCAGCCTCGCTGCCAGCGAGACGGTCAGGCAAGCTGCAGCTCAGGTTCCGGTGCATGAAACTCGACATGGCGCCGAGATTTTTAAGTCCCACAAAGATACTCAAGCAGTGGTAACGGAGTGTGCATAGACTTACAGCCTGTCGCTGTGAGTTGACAGGAAATTCCGCTTGCTAACGGAGCGACGTAGGAGTACTTCGTATCCGGCTTCAACGTCGTCCTACCTACTGTCGCTAATGACCTAAATATCGCTCCTGAGTCAGCGACATGGCCCGCTGCCGCCTTTTCCCTCGTTGTCTCTGCCTTCCTGATCATCTTTGGGCGGTTTGCCGGTACCCATTGCCCCTTCCACCCGACAATTCAGCCACTAACTTATCTTAGACATGTACGGCGGCTCCATAGCCTACCTAGTTGGTGTCATCTGGCTTACGATCTTCTCCGTCGTCACTTCTTTTGCTCAGGACGAGATCATGCTCGATGTCTGCCGTGCGCTACAGGGTCTTGGCCCTGCTGCCTTTCTTCCCTCTGGTATGATGCTCCTTGGAGTCGTTTACCGTCCTGGCTACCGCAAGAACATCGTCTTCTCTATCTATGGCGCCTGTGCTCCGCTTGGATTCTTCCTCGGCATTTTCTTCGCTGGCGTCGCGGGCCAATACTCGACCTGGCGCCTCTACTTCTGGATAGGGGCAGGACTATCAGCGAGCACTGTTGCACTAGCGTGGTTCTGTGTGCCTAGTGACTGGGCGGAAAAAAGGGAGCTTAGGAGGAGTGGACAAGGGGGTGTTGGGATTGACTTTAAAGGGCCCTTTCTCATTGTATGTGGGCTTGTGTTGTTCGTGTTTGCGATCACGGACATGGCCCATGCACCTAATGGAATCAAGACTTGGTACATTTTGACCACATTGGTAGTAGGAATCGCGGGCTTAATGCTTGGATTCTGGTTCGATAGCCACGCTAAAGTAAGTGTCAACAGAAAGGTAAGGACTACAGGTTGCTAACGCAGCTGCAGTTCCCTTTGATCCCGGGGAGTATCTTCAAGGTCAAGAGCATGACGCCGCTTATCATTGCCATGTTCTTTTCTTTTGCGAGTCTAGGTATCTTTTTGCTCTATAGCACGTACTAGTAAGCATTGTTCTATACCCTACTCTTCGACTAGACTAATCCATTCTCCCTAGCATGACCGAAATAATGGGCGGTACACCCATGCAGCTCGTCGGGTGGTTCACTCCCATGGCCCTCGGCGGCTGCATCATTGGCACAGTTGGCGGGACTGTGCTCCACAAGATTCCTGGTACTGCAATCTTGATTCTCGCAGGTCTCGGCTGGATCGTCGCTCCCCTTCTCTTTGCACTAGCGCCCGACGGCGCAAACTATTGGTACTTCACGTTCTGGAGTATGCTGGGCGCGACCATCGGTATCGATGGCAGTTTCAATGTTGTCAGCGTGTTTATGAGCACGCATCTGCCAGTACATCAGCAAGGACTGGCAGGTGCGTTGGTCAATTCTGTGCTGCAATTGAGTATTGCTGTCTTTCTTGCGGTTGCAGATATGGTGGTTGCTTACACGGAGGACGATCAGGGAAGGAGGCAGGGGCTTAAGAATGCCTTCTGGTTGGAGCTTGCATGTGCCGGAACTGCGCTGGTCGTAAGTGTCTTGTTCGTGGATGTGAAGGTGGCTGATCACAATGGTCCACAAGCAGTGGACGAGAAGAAGGGGAAAGCGGCGAAAGCACAAGGTATCGACAAGCCCGCACGTATGAGCAGCGAGGGAAGAGATGAGGGTATAATTAGTAGCGCGGAAGCTAAAGCCGAGCTGACATCGTTACCACCCGTGGTCTTACAATCGAATCCGTCGCGCAGCTCGGAGGTGGTAGGAGAGCGATAGCAGATGCTAAGCTATGCGAGTTAGCTTCGGGACGACCTGGTGTATTGTCTCTTGTTGGCAATTAATTGGAAGATACCCTGGATCTGCAGCGCGTAAAGTTCTCCTCTTAATACACCCGAAGGGCATGGGCCTGGATGTACATTACTGATATACCACTCGAGCCCTGAGAGCGTCGTGCTCTTCGTTATCATTAGATGCTTCCTTAAGTGCAAAGTCGAAGTTCCTCCCCAATAGAGAAATGGTACATCAAACATCAACCTTGAAAGGTAACCCAATGAGAAATGCACGAGCAAGTTCCATGCCTTTCCCATGAGCCTCGATGCATACTTCTCTAACGTAAGGACTTATCTCCACCGTATCTCCGCTATACCCGGACTTGCAATAGAGCAAAAGCAATTGGTCTTTTCACGGGCCCATCTATCCGATAAAATCACAACTACCGGCTCAACATTCTGCATTATTGATTGCCTTCTCCGAAATGGCACAAGATACCCCGTACCCGACCGCCGAAAACATTCGCGGAATGTTCACTTCAGCAGGCAACTGGGACTACGACGCCTTCTGGTCTCACGTCTCCCCAGACTTTGAGTGGAGTGTCATGGGCTCCTCCATAGTCTCGGGTACGTTACCTTTGAGATTTCCCGTCACCTATCTTGGCATATAGTAGGGGTAATAGCGGTGAGAGTAAACGCCTCAAGGTAGGATCTCGTACTTTCAGTAATTCAGCTCAGTCACGGTAATCTTCATTCGAAGAATAGGTCCTCCTAGTCCTAAGTTCTGATTCCACCTACTGCGTCTGTAGCTGCATATCCATGCTTGGCCACTGGGGCTGTAAAGGACCAGAGTAATAAGTAAATGCTGCCTTGGCGACGTGAAAAAGCTGTCAGATCGGCATGGCGGGTCTAGTTCAGTTCCTGAAGGCAATATCTGCCTTGGATGTCCCGCCTCGCGCTACATCGCCACGGTCTTTTAGTTCGTCAACAATACAAACGCTGGTGGATCATTTATTGTGAAAGGGAACGCGGTGGTCACGTGAAAAGAGAAAGGGAGGGGACAAAAAGAAAAAAAGGAATTCAGAGCGGGAATTGGATCCAGGCTAAGCCTGGACGCTCATGAAGGAGATAAAGGTGAAGTAGTTAAGAGGAGTTTTGTGCAGGCGAGGAGGTTAGAGCGAGAATTGGACCCAGGCTAAGCCTAGACGCTCATGAAGGAGAGGAAGGTGAAATAAGGTGATATGATATGATTGATTTTTTTTGTGCTAGGTCGGAGCGGGAATCGAACCTAGGCTAAGCCTAGACGCTCTTTATAAGATTGAGAAGGAAGGTTGACAGTGGGATCAGCGTTCGTGCTCCTCCCAAAATCGTAACCAGTACGCCAACGGAGGGTTTGTGCACTCGGGCCGAAACATGACAGCTGGTGACGCAAAATTATAGGATATATATTCCTAAGGCTAATCACACTTATAACAACACCTTTACGACACTATTGCTTGGCAGGCTGCTAAGCTCCGCCATTCACCAGAGAGACCTCACCTTAATTCTTTTAGTCGCAACGCATACACCACAGGGACCTTCCGTGGCATCGAAGAATTCAAGGCTAATAGCATGGACCGCATCACGCGCGCTATGAAAGGCCCAGTCCGGCCGCGGGTGGTCAACATCGCTGGCGGTGGAGTGCAGGAGTGGGTGGCTATCGAGTCGGAGTTCGAAGGAGAGTTTAAGAACGGGAGGCCATACAACCAGTGTTACGCATGGTTTCTACGATTCGACAGGCAAGGCAAGGTGGTGCAAGTGAAGGCGTATTTAGATACTGCGCTAATTGACCGAGGACTGGCGGAGAACGAGTAATGGAGCATAAGGATGATCATGTGCTTTACTGCTTTTCGAGGCCTACAGTGCTAGAAGACAAATCTGTGCACACTAAGTTGCCTCTGCGTGAAAGGGCCCCCTACCCAAACTCCGAAGCAAGTGAGCTAATGCCCCGGCCGTATAGTCTTAGAAGACGCTGTCTGAGGTAACCTGGCAAGCTCTCGGACTGTTTGAACATGTTGCAGTATACTTCATCTGGATTTGTCGGAATGTGTTGGAGGTCTTGCGACGGTAGCAGACAATTTTACGAAAACTCATAAACTGGAGGGGTATGTCAGAGCGAAAGAGGCGGAGAAAGAAGTATCTTTAAGGAATTGGGGTCGCCATCAGAGTAGTAGCATTAAGGGTCCGAATTCGCACTATCTGTTACTGTGAACACTCATTACCTTGTAAAACACCCTATCCCGTATCACTACCAAGACTCCACCTTCACACCCCAGACCACCGCCATGATATCCCAGCCTAGCTCAAAACGCCACGACCTGCATCTAGTATTGAGTGTAAGGGCCACTTCCATATCCGCTCCACTGCCCCTGTCCGCCTTCCGGCGGTGGTGGTTGTCCATACGGCTCATACCCTTGCTGATAGGCCGTCGGCACTGTATACGCGTGATCTGCTACGCCTGGACCACCGGCACTAGCATGATACTGTCCGTGAGCACCAGCACCATACTGTCCGTGATCATAGGCACCCCCTTGCGCTGCCTGGTAAGCATAGTCTTGTGGCGCTAAACCGCCCACGTACTGGCTCTCGTAGGGCTGGAAAGTGCCCCAGCCAGGCGATGGCTGCGGTGACGGACCACGAGCATAGGGATCTGAGCTAGCGCCTTCAAAGTCAATATCTCGTGGGCGGTTCGGGTTGAGCAGAGAAAAGGGTCCCGAGGAGAGTTTGCCAAGGTTACCAATTCCGGGGATGTTGACGTTAGAAAGGTTGGGAAACCCAGATTGCTGGCCTTGAGACTGACCACCATGGGCCGCGCTGGCCTGGTGAGCAGAGTGCCCATGCTGCCCTTGGCCGTGAGAGTGGTCGTTGTCACCAGAGTGGTTCTTCCCGGCGCGTACGCTCTCAGACGAGAGGATGTTGTTCAAGGAATGTCCACGGTCTCCGCGGTCAGCCACCCACCGCTTGACGACGTCGAACATGCTCCTGTGGACTTCGCAGTTGGGATCGCGGATAGCCGGGTGGTGGAAAACGCGGACAACATCGTTCAGAACTTGGTCGACTGGAACGTCGGGATGATCCCAGGCATAGACGATACGCGGCGCGACATATTGCAGAATGGCGGCCGCGACCTGACCAGCGGGCTCGTTGAGGATATTGCTGAAGTGATCTTTGGACAATAGGGAGTGGGTCGGGTCGGTGCAATGCGGATCCGTCCATGGCTCGTACTGGTGGTTTGCGCTGCTGTCGACAACAGCGGAGGATCCTTCCTTTAGCTGCTTTGTAGCGGCAGCAATGATGGGTTGGATGAACGGGGCGAGGAGGGAGAGCACAAATAGTGTCACTCGCTCCGTGATGGTGTCGATGAGCTTCTCCAGTCCGGGGATCTTGGAGATAATGGCGGAGATCGATCGGACGACATTGTCGCGGAAGGCGAGGATGGGGTAGATCTTAGGCACGATAATGGACGGGTCCAGATTTGGGTTCATTCCTGGGATGCCGGGTCCTGGAGGGCCTCCCACAGAGCCAGGAGGGGCAGCAAAGTTCGTGGACTGGTGCTGTTGGGGGACTGGAGCAGCTCTAGAGCTGTTATATGGATCTTGTCCATAGCTACCGTAGGGGTCCTGACTGTAGCCACCGCTTGTGGCTCGAGAGTTCTCTTCGAACTGGCGATCTGACTGAGCTTGAAGTACCCTAGCCTCCTCTATTAGATTTCCAGTGCCCGGGACTTTAGATAGGAGACCCGTCAATGCATCGCACCCAGATTCACCACCGGGGCCGCGCTTATTGTTGCCAGCTACAGCGTCTGCCAGTGCTGTGTTTACTTCGTCGACTTCAGATTGCGTGAAGTGATCATTCGCTTCGCCGAGAACGGAATGCAGGAAGTCGACTCCACCGAAGGTGCCAGTGACAAGAGGAAAGACGTGCTTTCCATGGAGATTGATCTGACTGGCCGTTCCGGTGTGAGCAAAGACGTTTGTGAAACCTAGCTCACGTAGAACGAGTTCGGTGTAGTTAGTGTGAGCGCCAAAATCTTCCAGACAGTGTAGGCCTTGGCCCAAGCATCTTAAAGCTTCACAGAGATCTTCCTCACGACCACGGGTTTGGCCATGAGTGTACATACGCCCATAGTGGATTGCTCGGGAGAACGAGAACTTGATGTAGCCAGCGGATGTAGCCCAACCACCGTACTCATTTGCAATGTAATTTTTCATGCCTAGACGGCTTAGCACTAGAACTGAGAGCTTGAAAGATCTGAAAATGCTGCCTACCTGTATTCGGATCGATTGCTAGCTCCTGCGGAGACACAATAGGCCGTAACCGAGGATCAAACTTGGTGGCATCCACGTTGTCGGCGTAGTCTTTTGGATTGTCGATGTGCTCTTCGGGCCGGTAAACACCCAAGCGCTCACTAGTCACCTCGAACTCGGCAGTAGCATAGCCAAAGGACATGAATGCAAGGATCCAGACCAATATACGGATTGTCTCGGCTTGGACGCCTTTGAGGGTGCCAACATCAACGGCCTGTGAGTAGTCGCGCAGCCAGTTGCCAAAGTAGACTCGCTTGATCATCATCGAATTCCACTTGTGGCCTCGCAGACAGGCGACCGTGGCCAGCATGTCCTCGATATCGCCATGGCGCCAGTTGTGGCCCTCAACCTTGGAAATGGACGCGATGTTGCCCGCGCCGAAAGCGGCAGCCGGTGCCGGCAAGAGCACCAGGATGGCGATTGCCAGGAGAAAGATGTACTTAGAGGTCGACATAATGAGGGTTGGATTGGGAGAGTGAGAGAAGAGAGCGACAGAGAGGTGTTGTGGTGGTTCAAAGGTTAAGTGATGTGGCGCCGTTATGCCCCGTCAGCAACGTTGGTCCACACCTGGGCACCAGTGACGTTTGAGTGCGCCGATCGAATGTGGCGCGAGATCAGAGATCACCTGTGTGCCTGGGTTATCAAAGCGCTGGAGGAAGTAACCCGTGCGTTGCAAAGGGTGTATCATGCTAGGTCGCACTACTGAAGGAGGGTGAGCGGTGTATTCTGATCGAGTCTTGAAGGCATCTACCACCGCAAGGCTCACATGCCCCTCCAAGGTGCCCCTCCAAGGTGCCCCTCCATCAGCTCTACCCTAGTTATCGAACTAACCCCTTTCAACAAGCCTTCAGCTGAAGCCTCAACCACGCTCTGTCATGCAACGCGTCTATTCGTGCTCAGCGACGCATCTGGCGGTAGGTCGTTTTGGAAAAGACGGAACAGTGAAGGATATCTCCACACCTCCACGCTTCAGCCTCATGGCTCGCCCGTTTCGACACGCGGCACGTCCCAGGCAGCGAGCTGAAGGCGATCAAGTCATGCATGCAGCCATTCGCCAGGCAAGCGTCAGCCTTTTGCGTATCCTCCAATCCCGACGGCGACACTACCGGCGGGATGGCGCAGCAGCACATCCTCCGCCCTCACCTGCAGGTGGGCACTGCTGCCTTCGCTTGCCTTTATCAACAAGACGCCTTCTGACCCCCCTAAGTAGCCCTCTTTTGCTCTATTTACTTCCTTAATTCGCATCTTGTGCCTCAACAACTTTTCTCGACAGGAATTGATCTCGAGGCGGCCCGATAAGCTGAAACTGCGAAGATCTACCTAGGTATAATTCATTTGAGAGGGCAATTCATTATGGCAGAGCAGGACCTATCCGGGCTGAACCGAGATATTGAGGCTCTAACTGTTGAGCCTGCAACGCAATACAACTTGTCAGGCGACCTCCTGCACTGTGCAACAAGACTGGACAACATCACCGAGCACAAAGAGAAGGAGCCCAAGGAAGATGTTGGCAAGCATCGCAAGAAACAGGAGGACAACGACGATGATGTCTGCAGCTGCGGATCCTGGGATCAGGTCTCCGAAGCCGATGAAGATCTCGTTGTCGTCAACCCCATCGATTACGAAGCTTTCTTCGGGTCGGCCGACCACGGAAATGTCGTGAAATTCACCGAAATTCTCGAGGCTGGAGCGAATATCGAGGAAGAGACTAATAGGGGCTGGACTGCCCTCGTCATGGCTATCGTACGAGGTCATGTCGACATCGTGAGGCTACTGCTCGGCAAAGGCGCCGATGTAAATCATCGCTCTTGCAGCTTGCCGCCACTGGTCCACGCTACAGCCAAGGATTCCAATCTTGAGATTATGAAGCTACTTCTGGATCATGGTGCCAATCCCGAGTTCGTGTCTGGGAAGGAGCAGAAAAACGCCCTTCATTGGGCTGCATCAGAAGGCGCTCTCGCAGCTATTGAGCTCCTGTTGGACCGTGGCATGGACATTGAGGCAAAGTCAAAGCGAGGATGCACTCCGTTGATTCTAGCAGCCGACTGTGGCCAGGCAAGAGCTGCCGAGCTCCTCCTCAAGCGTGGTGCTGATCCGCTTGTGAGGAGTGAGAATGGCGGCACCCCGCTGATCTGGGCAGCGTGCCATAATCACGTTAACGCCGCCGGGGTGTTTCTGAAAGCCGATCCAAGTATTGACATCGATGCCGTCGATACATTTGGCCATTCAGCCCTCTTTCTCGCCGCCCATTTTGGCTCTCTGGAGGTAGTCGACTTTCTGCTGGCTCACGGCGCAGACGCTAGCATTAGACCCAAAGGCCTATCAATTATTCAAGTTGCTGCTACAGAGGGCCATGCAAAGGTTGTCCAGCGACTGATCGATCATGGTTGCGATGCGACTGCCACCTACAAGAACAGCGACGCTCTACGTCTCGCTATAACCGAGAAACATTCAGATGTAATCCAGGTTCTCTTACAGCATTTGGGCGGCGAGGATTATCCAAAAGAAAGTGTTGCGCTTCAATTCGCTTTGGCGGATGGCCATGCCATGGTTAAATCACTCGTGGTCACAACGTCTCTCTGCTACTCTCGCATGATGTTCCGCAAAACACACCCAGGCAAGCACGACTGGCTTACGTGGGTTCTTGAAGATGGAGGACGCTTGGTGGAACCGCTCGCAATGAACAGAATGTTACACTATGCGCTCGAGGAGCTTGATGAGGGGCTTATCGAAGCTCTCATCGCTCAGCAATGCGATATGAACATTGAGCTCGAATCCGGTAGCACGCCACTCTGCTACGCTATTCGCCACGGTAACATTCCAATCATAAAGATGATCCTATACTCAGGCGTCGATATCAACGCTTTTCACGGCGGCAAGGTCACCGCTCTCGATGAAGCCATCCTATCTATGAAGGATGGCAAAGACACTGAAATTGTTGACTTGCTCCTCTTTCACGGTGCTTCTATCAATCGCGGTAAAGATCCCGGTCACACTGCTATCTCCATCGTTCTCCTCCGTGATGGCCCCGACTGGAATGACCTCGCCATTCGTATGCTCGATTCTGTCTCAGACGTAAACGCAGATCGGGATAGCATCAACAGCACAATCCTTCACGTCGCCGTCCTCCGCAACCGTATAGATCTGATTGAGTTACTTCTCACCCGCGGTGCTGACCTCGAGGCCGTTGACGAGTTTGGAGTCACCCCTTTCCTGCTTGCTTCTCAATTCGCTTTTCGCATGCTTCCCGTCCTTCAACGCCACGGTGCAAACATGAACGCACTCTACCACGCTTCGGCTGGTGCTTTCCACGCTGCCGCGGCCCAAGGCAACGTTTCCGCCCTATCCTTCCTCGTGTGTCAGCCTGAGCTGGACATCGAAGCTAAAACCGCAAAAGGCTACACACCTCTCGCGTGTGCTCTAACCTGGGCTCAAGAATCCGCGGCTCTCTACCTCTTGTCCAAAGGTGCGAATGTCGACCTCAAAACAGCGAAAAATGCGACCCCCCTCCACTTTGCCGCCAAACATGATCTCGACGACGCCGTAAAGGAGCTGCTTTCCCGGGATGCGGATGTCTCTGCCGTCGATGATCAAGGCTGGACACCTCTTCATGAAGCCTGCGCAATGGGGTCTCGGACTTGTGTTACGCTCCTGCTGACCGCAGGGTCGGATATAGAAGCACAAGTACCAAACACAGACCGCCCGCTCCACATTGCTCTAATTAACGAACGGGAAGACGTAGCACTTATTCTGCTAGAAGCCGGCGCGGATATCAGCGCGCGTGCAAGCCGTGACCGCACGCCATTGCACATCGCAGCTGAATACTCACTACCAGAGGCTGCGGAGCGATTGACAGACATGGGTGTCGACATGGAGGCACAGGATGAGGATACGTGGACTGCGTTGTGTTGTGCTGCTAGTGCGGCAGTAATGTGGGTGCTGATCTCTAATGGCGCGAACGTAGATTACCAAGATAAAGATGGGTGGACGCCGTTGCAGCAGGCTGTTAGTAGTGGGTTGGTGAGGGAGGTGAGATGTCTTCTGCGGAATGGGGCTGAGATGGAGTCGAGGACGACGGATGATGGGTTAACAGCTCTAGAGAGAGTGCAAGATATGAAGGAGGGAGAGGGGGAGGATGCGGGGAAGAGGGAGGAACTGCTTGAGATACTCAACGCGGCAGAGGTGCAGAGGAAGGCGGACAAGAAAGCGACGGGAAAGAAGAACAAGGCTATGTGAGCGCTGTGCAGGTAATGTAGCCAAGTTTGTGCAAATGACTTCTAGTGTGTTTGGCGTTCTTGGGTTGGGTCTATGTAGTTATTTGCGGCTTTTTGCGGCTTTTAGGTTGGTCAGACATACTTAACTACGGCTCACCGCTTACGCTAATTACGAATGAATGAATACACACGTTGCGGCAACGCATATCTTGCTTCGCCGTCTAGTCTCTATCATAATCCTGCAGGTGCTCTGGTAGAATGGAAGTATATGGGAAGTGATGAAGATTTCTGGGCTTTCTGCCTGTGTAGAGAAAGATATAATTGTAGGGTCGACCAGCCTTTCATCGACCTCACTTACTTGAAAGCGTACACCGACACTGCTCTGTAGTATATCTATGTACATTTCTCTACCATTTTGGCTTCCATTTCTCGTGTATTGAGGCACTTCATGGAGTGGCGAGGAATTGTTCTCACCGATTCTAAGAGCGATCCTTCGGGCCTGGACAGCACGTAGATATTTCACATGGTTTGAATCACGGGGCATTCATCGAATAGAGCAGAGATGTGTTTTATTCTTTCCTATCTCTTTCGATCCGTCTAATTATAGATTTTCGAGTGGGAATTGAGGAAGACAAGACGCTTTCAAAATGCCCCAAACTATTCCAGACCGAACAAACGCCGGATGGGATTGGCTGGATGTGCTGTATTTGTAGGTTGCGTGGTATTGTACAGGTAGGGTACATGCTTGGTCGGGAGAGGGTATAGAGACGTGGCGGGTAAGATGTGTTTACTCGTTTATCTTGGCTAGGAGTCTGCGGATGTTAGGACTGTGTGATTTTGGACAGCGGAAGAAGGGCCATACTCATGATCGCGGAACAGAGAGTACTCCTCTTCGCCGACTTTGATTGGGCTGCCGCCGTACTACAAGTGCTTTGTCAGTCATGAGTTCTAAAGACCTAATGGAATAATGTAATGATGCGTCCAGGTACTCCATCGATAAACCTGGTTTGCCTCTTTTTCCTCAACAATTCACCCGGAATAGCCGAAAGCACCTACGACCTAGCCATAGAAAGAACGTAGCAACGTATAACATAGTGAAAATTCTTAACTCACCTGTGGAATCAAAACTTTGTCTCCGGGCTTCACGCTCGGCGCAATCCGCTTCCCATCCCGATCCAAGCCTCCCGGGCCAACGGCCAGCACCTTGGCCTCGTTCAGCTCTTTTACGGCGCTCTCGGGCAGGAAGATGCCACCAGCGGTCTTAGCCTCGGCCTTGACACGCTGTACCAGCACGCGGTCGAGGAGGGGAGCGAGCGAGCGGATGGATTTGAGGGCGGTGGTCTAGACATTTCAGCCTTTTGATGCTGGAGGGGTATAGGGGAAGTGAATATTGGGAGAGGGTGAGGGAGCAAGAGGCAGTATAAGGAGATGTTGGGGATAGCGATGGTTGCGGATGAGGTGATATGATGGATGAGAGGATTGAGACGCGGGGGGCGCACCATTTTTGCGGGTTTGGCGGTTCGACTAGGTAGCTAGAGTATGCGCGCGTTGTTTTGAGATGTGAGAGAGAGAATTGATTGCAGTTGCAGAAGTCGTCGTCGGAGGTGTTGAGTTGAATTCTGCTGTCGAGAAAATTCCAGAATCTCGAATCGCGCCAAGACCGACAGGGGCTTTGCCTGACCTCGGATCGTCGTCAATTCAACATCACGAATCAATCTTTCTGCACATATACATACCTCACGCTCCTTTGCATCGCGGTTCTTCCAGAACTTTCAATTGCCCCACCGTTTGTAAGTAAGCTGGTGGCTGCAATTGATGTGGAGGCCGCACTGCCTCAGGCTGACGAGAGAGCTCCGCGCCAGCACTCGCAATGCCACCTTTGTATCGCGCTCCTACAGCCAGGATGTGAGCAAGGCGGCGCCAATAAGCACTGAAGAGTTTTGGGACGCCTTCGTGGCAATATGGCCCTACGCGAGGAAGACGGACGCGTCGAGGATTGGTGAGTGGAGCTCTCAGCACAGCTAGACAGTGCTAATGGGATACAGGCCTCGCGGTGAGCGGTGGCGTTGACTCCATGGCTCTAGCTAGTCTTTGTAACAGCGCTGCAAAGAAATACGACAAGTTCCCTGAATGCGTAGGGCTCATTGTGGACCATAAGAGCCGGGAGGGTAGTTCTGAGGAAGCATTATGGGTAGCGGAACAACTGAGGAAGCATGGTGAATTACGCCAACGAGCGTAAGGCACAAGGCAGCTAATATCTGCACAGCCGGCATGTCCTCACATATATTACCGCTACAATGGCCTGAAAATCCGCACGAGGCGACCGATTTCGAAACACAAGCCCGAAGGTTCAGGTATAGGGCCTTAGGTCTCGCCTGTCGAGAGCATGGTCTACCCTCTATACTAGTTGCCCACCACGCCGACGACCAAGCCGAGACACTTTTGATGAGGCTGATGGTGGGAAGAGTTAGGACAGGCATGCAAGGCATCCAGGCTGTGAAGGAGATACCCGAATGCTATGGACTACATGGTGTTCACCAAAGTGGAGGGCTGGACCTAGTACCAGTACCTACAGCCGAAGGACGGCAACGCCAGCCCATCAGGATTGAGACTGGCGGAATCAAGATCATACGCCCGTTGCTTCAATTTCGCAAGGAGAGGCTAATTGCAACGTGTCTGGCAAATGAGGTGCCTTGGACAGAGGACAAGACAAACCATGATAAGACACTAACAGATCGGAATGCAATACGACACGTGTTTAAAAATCACCAGTTGCCAGTAGCTTTACAACCGGAGTCGCTCGTGGGTCTCTCTCATCGCATGCAGGAGCGTGTTGAAGATGGGAGGGAAATAGAAAAAGGCCTGCTGAAACTCTGCAAACTGCGGTTGGACGTTCGAGGTGGAATTCTACGAGTAAACTTCTCTAAAGCTAGACTTGCGATCGACAAGCTCGCTGCGACCGATGACAAACTTGCAAGAACACTCGCTGCCCAATTACTTTCACATCTAGCCACACTGGTAAGCCACGCTCCTGTCGTTAAGACCAATCGTTTCGACTTCGCCGTGGACACTATTTTCCCGATACTTCAATTGACGAAGATATCCACCCCCCCGCGGCCCTTTACGGTTGGCGGAGCGTTCTTCTGTCCTAGTCCAGCGGGTCAGGTTGGTAGCGTTCCGAAAGCAGAGTTCGAGTGGACTGTTGGCCGACAGCCATACAGTAAAGGGAACGATCCGCCTCCCCTCCTGGTTATACCTCCTAGGAACATCGACCCTGCAGTTGTGGCCACCGATTCCACGAGCGCCGGCTACCAGATGTTCGATGGCCGTTTCTGGGTTCGCATTGCCAATCCAACCGACCACACCGTTCGTCTTCGGCCTTTTAGCGAAAAAGATCTCCCGCACATAAAGAAACCGCTTAAGAACATCATCACTAGTGTAACACCTACTTCCTTCAGGGAAACGCTTCCTGTACTTACCAAAACCGATACGGACGGTAACGAAAAGATCATTGCGATACCAACGCTAGGTATAAGGCTTGGGAGCCGTAACTTCGTAGGCGGAATAAGATGGTCAATACGATACAAAAAGATTGACATTGGAGGACTTCATGTCGAGGACATTCTTAACAGTCAAGTCTCGGACGAGATAAAGAAATTGGAGAGAAAGGAGAGGATCACGATTGCAACAGCAAAACAGCCAAGAATAATTGATATCGCTCCAGCTCCCAGGCTCGCTAGAAAAGAGAAGTCGCACTTTAGGAGTCTGTCGAAATGGGAGAAGCCGGAAAGGAAAAAAGGAAGAGATGAGCAGGTCATTGGCTGGCAATAAATTATCGAATAGTCCGACATGCTGCTAGTCAACTAGGAGGCCTAGGACACTGTGCGCATGTGGTAGATGGCGAAGACGTCGCCTTGGTCTCTAGATCAGCCCTCATCACATCCAGGATGAGGCTGAGAGCACGGCCTAGAAGTGTAAATGTTCATGCGGGACTGAGCTTTACTGTGTTGCGCAGAATGGCTATATTCCTTCGCATTTCAAGCAATGTCGAACGTGTCGAAATTAGTCAAGATCGCTCGATATTCCAAGTCGTAAAACCGACTACAAATGCAGAATCTCACTCAGTGAAAGTACGAGCTCGCACATATACGATTTCGGAGGATTATCAGGCGTCCTGTTCGGCAATAGCTGACAAGTCCGAGCTTTGCTAAATATAATTACGCTGATGTTTCACCCAACTAGGCTTCGCCTCGTGGTCTTGCGCCGCAATCCTTCCAACAACCAACACAGCCTCACAAAAGTATGGAGATGCCGATTCAGAACTGCGCTTTTGCTTAGGCGGCGCAGGGATTTTCGGCCTGATTTCGGAGAAGGTAGACTTAAGATGTGTGTGGTGCCGTATTACAAGGTGCTTGCTCTCGTTCTCTTAGTTCAGTTGCTTGGTCTATGGGCAATAGCTTCATGTATTTCCATATCTTAGAGCCATTTCGTCGGTTCCTGTGCAACTAAGGGGCTGCTGTTAGTCTTTTCTATTCAGAATCAGAGTCAAAGTCAAATGCCGCACTACCTTGCCATTCCTACCGTTCTCATATTTCAACCTGGCTTCCTCCTCCTCCCTCCGGCCCGCCTCTACCAGCTCTCTCGGTCGCCCTCTCTCCTCCCGCCGCCCCGTCTCTACGACCTCCTTCGGGCGCCCTCTCTCTTCCCATCCCGTCATGATCCCCAAAGATCCCGATCCCATCCTTGACTTCGACTTCGACAATAACGCCAACGCCTCCTCCAGGACACACCTCTCCTATAACCATGACGCCAGCCCGCCACACTCTCCTTCATCACGTGAGCACACGTATACCCCACAAGATGACGGCGACATTGACGCAATCCACACTGTTCCTTCCTCTCGCCCGACACTGCACGACCTGCGCATCCCAACCTCCTCCCACGCCGTGCCAGGAAACACGTCAGAAGACCGGGGCGAGTACAGAGCCTTCGTGCCCATGGCGACTCCAAAACCGCAGCGAAAGCCCGCCCCGCCGCTCATTGAAATATACGCCGGCTCCAAACCCATCTCTGAAAAGCGACGAGATGCAGACCGGGAGCGAGACTGGAGTCATGATCCATTCAAGCTTCAGAAACAGATCCGCAACCTCCTCGCCCTCATTGTCTTGCTCCTTCTCATAATGATAATGATGATGATACCTATTATTTATTTGACCGCGCGCACGTGGGTGTTTGCCTCGTCTAATGTCTCTGCCTTCACGGCTGACGGCCAGGGTACATCGCGCGGCCTGCCGGGACTCATGGCGGATATTGCGAACAAGGCAGCAAATGCGACAAGGACGGACATTGGGGACCCAGTAAAATCGTTGGGCAATTGGGCACAGGAAATGAGCGGATGGGCGAATGCGACGAGTGCACAGCTAAAGGGGATGGATGCGGGTGGGCTGAATGGAATGGTCAAGACGGCGGTGAGCGGGGTAGATGGGGTGAATAAGAGGTTCGATGATATGTTGGACAAGTTGGTTGTGGTTGGGGTGAACGGGACTGGCGAGATTTGGTCGAGGTGAGGGGATGTGGAATGTTCATACAAAGGTAGGTGTCTGGGGTAGCTTTTGGAAATACCTGTAAAGCGGAGGGTGTAGCGTAAATCGCTTTGTATATACGTCGTGTTTTTTTTCACTGTCTATATCCATCTGATTTCTTGTGGCTGTGGTATTGTGCTTCCGTCATTCTTTCTGCTCTCAGGCAGACCATCGCACTGCAAAATCTAATCGACCTAGAGTCGCTGTAATGAAACCAGACCCGTATATTCTTGGAGATATTCCTGTTGGATTATGACAATCACCTACAGCAACCACTGCCGGTAGCACACAGGGCTTTCATGCACATTAAGTTCGCATTCCACCAATGTTCAGATGCTGCGGCCTGCGAACCATCAACTCTAAAGACGTGAGCAGTAACGGAATGTTAAAGTTGCATATTCTATGAGAAGATACATGGAATTTTTTGGCGAGTGTTGGTCACGTGCCTTCGGCCAAAAAAAGCTATCTAACTACCGTTGTAAGATGTTTTCAAGTGAGCAAACAGTAGATTAGGAACCAAACCTTCATTTATAGCACTAATGGTTGATGGATACGAGGATTACGGCTCATGTTCAAGTGCAACCTTAGCCGACTGCATTTCTCGCGATAAAAGGCGCTTTACGCGCCCGAGGAAAGAATCCCATGGAAGGGTCTATTCCCTCGACGTCGAGCCCGAGACTATTGCTTACCACAATGAGTGGGTCACCAGTTCGTGTAAACGGGGGTTCCGCACGGCACGCGAAAGCGCGGGAATTGGTGGCGCTGTGGAGTCGTCGAACAGAGGCATGTCTGCTTAAGTGACAGCCAGCCCGACTTGTTCCCCGGATCGGCCTCCCGTCCATAGCGGGCGGGTCGGCCCTTGTGTGCTACTAATGTAATTCGCAATTCACGGCTCGCCCTCCGCGATCGCAGCCACCGATCTAGCTGTGTTACTGCTATCGTCCTCCTTCCCTTCATTGACTGCACGAGCCTAGATGCAAGGCCTGGAAACTTGGTGCTGCCGGTCCGCGGAGCTGCAGATGGACTGCGGGGTCGTGGCGTTGAAGAACTGTTAACCGTCCTGGGTTGGCAGATGGACGTCTCATGGCGCATTCACCCCTCCCTGCCGCATTTTTAATGGCTGCTGCTGATAGTGGCCGCCATCCCGTCCATGACGGTGCTTTTTCTCGCGGCTCACTATGCTGCTGCAGGTGCCGTAGCATGCCCATCCCAACCTGTCTTCCGCTCGTCCTGGCTGCCGGGCTCGAGCAACACATGCCATGCCCTGCAGCCGGACCCAGCACTTCCTGCTGGGATCCATAGATACAAGTCGTGCTGGAAATGTTGCCCACGCAGATAGTTCCTTTTCGCATGTGCAATTAAAGCCGGCAACGTCCCAAGAGCAGCTCCATGCCCCGATGCGCAGATCAACCCTGCTTCATCAATCCCAGCACTGCTATCGAAGCTGTATCGCTTAACCTACATTGTTCGTCAGTCTTTTCTTCGCCGGGACATACCTGCATTGCCCTACGCCGCAAACGTGCCGTCTCCACATCCGCATGAACCTTTCCAAGCCTCCTGCGTGCGATAACACCATTCGGGAGAGCGTCATCTGATGCTTCGGGCGGTCTATCCCCCAGTGAGAGTGGCGATATGTAGATCGTAGTTCCCAAGCTTCCCGCTCCCTGCGAGGTTTCCACCACTAGCGGGGCTACCCAGCCCTTCAATGCGGCTCTGCCGTGAACTGTCCCCACGGGTGTCGTGCTTTTCAAGTTACACCTCTTGCCCCTTTCGTGACTGGCGTTTTTAGCATCGAGGCCAAGGCTATACCTGGTGCTTTCGATGTGTTCTAGGTTGCCGACGGGCTGAAAGCTGCGGATTAATCGAACACTGACACACTACGGAAAAGACGGATCTTTACCGAGTTGTCATTCTTCTGATTACTTCGTGCAAAGCCGTGGGATCATCTGGAGCCTCTAGGATCCTTCACACATTCCTCGAGGCTGCTTTGAATTGTTGAATGCAATCAGAAGAAGGGTACTATGAATGTAGATGACGATGTCGTCAGGTTGTCGCCAAGGATACGGCAGACAAGCCCTTGCTGCATAGAAATTGATGAGTGACCCAGTAGCTGAGCCGTAGCCAGTTCCCGGGGAACGTCTCATGCTATCTGTGATCAGCAGTAGTGTCCCTGGTTGTGGAGAGCGTATCGGGTCCCGCTGTACTGGAAACGTGGGAGCTGCAGCCGACACGAACTGCCTACAGGAGAAATGGCCAGCCTTGACGTGAGCGTCTATTGGATTTTGCCCTTTCAGATGTCGTGCAGAAAGCCGCAGCGAGTAGAGAACGAAATGGCGTTCAGTTCCCACGTGTTGTTGTGCCGCTTCTTTTGACTTACTACCCCTCCGCAGCAGTGCCAGCTGCTGGATCTTTCTTGAGCCCAACCTTATCACTTTAGGCTCCTTATTCATAGCCCAAGAAAGTCAAGAACGCCTGCAGTCTGCCCATGGAGGCTCAGCGTGCCATTTATACCCATGCTAGGGCCCGCCGATTGCCGCAAGGCAGAGCAAAACGTCTTGATGATCTAAACTCCGGTAGTCAAAGTCCATAGGGCACTACTAGGAAGCTAGGAGAGGCCGCCATCGATTCGAGGCACTAGAAAGCTCCTATTGATGTCCCTGAGCTAGCTTCGATGTGCACCGTCCGGTGAGAAGTCATCGTACGACTCAGTCCTGAAGAATTCGGGTGGTCGCTGACTACTGTAGCTTGCAATCGCCGAAACACCATGACTGGCGGAGAGCCTCCTGCAAGGCTAAACCTTGTGATGCACAAGGCAGACGTTCTACGATGTGATAGCCTTTACACGCTGCCACGAATGAAGATGAGATGCTCGCGCGCTGACGAGCTTGTCCCAGAGACAACATACCCTAAAATCGGGCGACCTTGCAACGTGGCTCCGACAAAGTGAATGGCGGCTGCACACCGGTAGGTATGGCCTACGTGGGTCCCCTGGGTATGTTGTATGCAAAACCAGCTTGCTGCGGATTGTTCGGGGCTTGTTCAACTTTGGTGACCACTTAGAGTTGAACAGCAAAAGGGAGGGCGATTAGGAAGGGACAAATCGACATATCGACACCTTAACCAAGTCACTGCAGCACCCTCGGACAGCTTCTCCTTACCACTTCTTTGACGCCGGCTGGCCACACTTTCACTCATCTCACGTATATTTTGACTACACCGCCGTTGTAGTAGTGCTTGAGAGTGCTCCAGATTCCAGTTGTGGTTGGTTGGTGTGTACAAGGATATAACGGTGAGGCGGGCTGTATAACCCGTAACGGAAACTTTGACAAAGCTACAAGTCTTGAGACTTGCCGCCGTAGTCCAACATTGGCATCTAGGAATACCTCTTCCTGGAGTCGAAGTCAGTCTTGGTGTCCATCTAAAAGGCCATTGCTTACCTAGTCGTAGATAGCCGCTGAAGACCCTTGAGGCGAATACCAGCCTTGTAAAACTATTCAATCTAGACACCTACACCCGCAGAGGCAGACCTCCCGGGCTCTCCGTGAGCATCTCGCCATCGTCTACGCCGTGCTTGAGAAGAGGTATCCACGGCGCAGACGACCCGACTTTACCGTACATCCGTACGCTAAAACTCCACGCTCATTCGCAACAGCCGTCATCATCTGAACCGAGCTACCCCTTTGCTTGCCTACCTGCTGGGTCGACGACTCAAGCATCGGAAGCTCTGCTCTTCTGTGGGACTACCGAAGTCCCTCTCTCCGGAGAACCCAGCAGCTCATCATCCCTTCGTTGGGAACGAATCCAGATAGCAGAGTCATCTCTGACCGTCGACGGGAGCAGCTAAAAAGGCTAAGCGACGGCCTTGATATTAGCTTTGCCACCAACCATGGACACATATGGAAGCCACAACGGCTTTCTCGAATGGAGGCTTTCCTCTAAAAGCATTATGGATATCAGTGCACAGCACCAACCAGGAGCTCATGCAACACACCCTCAGGAACCTTACGAAGGCAATCGTGCTCATTCCTGGACGGTGGCCGATCAAGTGTCTCACTATCCCCAGGGAGATTATCTGCCTGATCATATCAATGCACAGTACAGTAGTCCTGTCCAACGGAAAGTCGACCAACGTAGCGAAGAGTACCCTCAAACACGCGGCAAGGGGAGCCTGGAGGCCAACAGCAATGTTCCCATCTGGCTTCACCCTGTACCACACGATGTTCACATAGGACAACGAGCAACTAGACCGACTCCTACACCATCGCTATCGATGTCTCGAACTGTCAGTGATGTTTCCTGGAACCCCGAGGCCAACAACGTTGAATATACAACTCCCTATAGCCTATTTGATGGGACTCTTGAGCATGGTAGCTCCAACAACCAATGGGCAGTGGATGGACTATTGACGAATCGGAGCTACTCCTTCGCACAAGGAGCTCAGTCAGACACCTTCGCCAGTGGTTTGAATCAGTCGTTGACATCGGCGGCCACTAGGAACGACAATAGGAGATGGCAGCCGCAGCGAAATGAAGCAATGGGACCTTACGGAATGGCTGAGGATCATCCCAATCAACCGGTCTTCGCACGCTTCGTCCCGTAGTAAGTGGAGCCTCTGTTCCAAAAGAAAAAATACCTCGGCTGACACACTTCTCAGTGGTAAAGATGTATCATTGGAGGGAGATTGCCAGAAGGTGCAAAGGATGGAAACACCGCCGCTAGTCAATCCCAAGCCTACATTCGAAACGTCGCCGGCAGTACCCTCCCCGCAGTCTCCCGTGTCGCGTTGCGATTATCCGAATTGTCGTCAGACATTTAAAGGGGAGTCGAGGGCCGGGAATCTAAAGCGACATATCAAGTCCTCCCATCGGGATCAGGTTGGTCAAGTCCTCGCGTGCTCAGTGCCTCGGTGTATAAAGATGTTCAAAAGAAGCGACTCGAGGCTTAAGCATGAGCGGAAGAAGCATCCTGAACTCCACCGACTGCCGGCGAAGAAGAGAGCAGAGACCGGAATTGCACGTCCAGCTGAAACTCCTGGTGGCAGCTGAAGGACTTCGTTTGAGGATACCTTTCTAGTCATTACAGGAGCTTTATTAAGCCGAGGTCTATCAAAAACAGGTTATGCCTAGAATTGTCCGACAGCGTTGAGCAATCATGGCTATTAAGGGCGGAGGGTATCGGAGGAGGAACAGGGCTGCCTTCTCCGCCTTTACGGTCCTTGTGTGGGTTATGAAGGCAATGACCAACGAGCACGTACATACATGCGTCCAAGGTGCAAGATAGCATGCATATCGCCAGGGTTATCGCGAAGGTCCTCTAGTGTTGCGGTGCGTTGTTGGGGTGTCGTATTGACTCGGGGTCGATTCGACGATTCGAGATCGGGAATTTTCTATGTTCTTGTGTTGTGAGATGGTAACGGCCTAGTCATGAGTCATGGCACTTAGCTACGATAGCAGCTACACTGCACAAGAGGCGGTCTACTACATCTGGCGTGTATGAGAGCGAAGAAGGGGTGGTATGTCGTTGGCGTTAGGGCGTCGTGATTGGACATGGGCTTCGGATCTCTAATCTCTAGGGAGGCGTTCCGTCCCATTGACAAGGTGTAGCTTGCTACCTATTATAGGCACTAAGAATTAATCAACGAACATTTCTTTTTCTTCTTCTAACACTAAGTATCTCCCAGAATACATATCCTGTGTTTCTAGCACTACTAATATGAACTCCTCATTCTTTGAAAAGCTACATCAGGTTTCTTCGCGAACTGGCCGGACGCCCGACACATGCTAGCCCTAATGTCCTCCTTTTGCCCAACGTAACAGCCCTACAGGGGCAAAGCTGCATCCAAGAAGTCGAGAATAGCAGCGGATCATGCAAAGAAGATTACTTCAGGACGTATGCAATAAGTATGTCGATATGCAGGCGATGACGTGGAAGCCTATCAATGGTCATTCGTAGCTTGAAGGAATGTACTCGGAAATGTCGGACGCCGCTAGGAGCACGAAAAGGTATGTCGTATTCCTGCGATGGAAACGGCTCGAGCTCAGGATGCAGCAGGACTCTAATCGAGCTCTGGGTCATTTCATTTAAAGATTTGCCGAAACAGTTGGTGTTTGAAGCAGCATAGCCGACCATCAGGAGGTCCAGGAGTCAACACATACTCTTTCCTTCAAACGATTATCCCTTTGCACTTATTTCTCACGCACATCCCCTCACTAAGCTACGCTTTTGATACTGTGGATCGTTTCTAAATTCATGAAATATCGAATATAGTATGCATCACCTAGGCTATCTATTCCGGCGGAGGTCGCAAAAGCAATATCCGTCCATAAGAAAGTTCACATGATAGCCACCAATCCGTACCCACCACTTCAAACAATACATACGACCGTGCAGAGTCAACTGGGTGAAAATTGAAACAGACTTTGCCCAGTCTCCTAACCCAGCGCAGACTGATGCTCTCTCTAGGCGACGACATAGAGCAAGGGCCCAATAGCACAATGATGAGCGCTTCTTTAACGCACAGGCAAGTTCTGTGACGCTGTTCCACGGTGCAGATTCGCGGCTGCAGTCCGACGCAATCCACCGCTCTGCCGGCTGCTCGACTTCAAGCCATTACTGAACCTGTAGCCGCTCGGCCCTCCACCATTCGAGTTGAGATCATGCAGCGTCTGTGAGTTCATCGCATTGCCAAATTGCTGGCTGGATTCACCGCCTAGAAAGACGTTATTGCGAGCGCCGCTATGAGCGACCGGCAGACGACTTCTGTGTTGAGAGGGAGTTGTGGAGATGGGTGCAGATTCTGTTTTAAGGTATAAGTAAGTATCACTCTGTGTATCCAAAAAAGACCGAGACATACGGGCAGTCCAATTCCTGGAGCTTTGTGCTTGGTTAGTCCAAGTTGGGCCCATGCCGTTAATTTTCTCTCGTCCCTGCCCTCCCCCACTTCCTGAGCTAACGCTTTCTTGTTGACGGTGCTGATTCGCTCCGCCTTGCTGATCAAGCGTAAACTGCTGAAACTGATGCTGAAGGCCACTGCGTGTGCCAGGTATTCTATCAACGAAGAGATCGCGTCTGGAGGTGTGGATGGTGTGTTCAGCTTCGTCGGTAGCAGCGGTTGCTACGTGAGAAGCCATGACCTGAGCCTTGAGAGACTGATACAGCTTCTGGATTTGCTGCTGGGTTTTGCTTTTTTCACGAAATGCTTCGACAAGTTCATGGTTCTTCTGCTCGAGATTCTTCTGCTCGGCTTGCGCGGCTAGCTAAGGGTCAGAATGGCTCAGCAACATCTTTGAACGGGGTTGTAACCTTGGAGTTTTTCTTGCAATGTCTTGATCTCGGAATTAGCTTCGAGAATGAGCTTGTCCATCTGCTGACTCAAGTTCCCATAGTTTTCTGTCAAGGTCTTCGCGAGATACTCTTGGTATACGCTGGTGATGTCAGCGAAGGAGGCAGTGGTCACAGCGGGATACCCACATCTCTTGTGATGTCTGGTAGCTGTAGAAAGCTAGGCCTCTGCTGGCGCATTCCATGATGATGTTTGGGCTCAGCCCGCTGAGGATGCTGGTCTTGTAGTCTTCGGTAGGATTGAGTTGCGCGACGACTGCATCGTCTGGATTGCTCAGCTGAGTAGAGCATGCGGGACAAGTCCTCGCGATGCCTGCAGAGCTCGAGAGCCCCAGACTGTCTGAGCAACGGATGCAGAAGACATGACTGTCACGTGGTCAGAAGAGCGGGTGGATAGCGCAGGTCAAGATGAGTGCTGACCTGCAGGTAGTGACGACGGCGCGATCGTTGAGCTGGGTGCGGCATTTCAAAGAGTTGCACCTGAGCGTGTAATCCATCGCGCCCGGCCTGGACGCGCGATGAAGGTGGGAGGGGTGGAGGACGAGGTTTCTTCAGATGAAGCATCTCGGAAGAGCGTGACTTCCCGTTGCGGATTCCCACCTGCACGATTCCTTGCTACACCTAGATGTACAGTATCTACAGCACTCATAGTACAATTCACACCTTGGATCCTTTCTTTTACTACGCACAGCTCACCGGAACCACCAATTGACCTACGCCGAGTCCAAGTCGTTAGCAAATACGCTCTACGCCCGCCAGCCATCTTCATCTTTACACTCACCGATCCTGTGATCCCATCTCCAAAGCTTCTCACGCTATGCCACCAGCCCTTGGGGATAAAGAGGCCGTCCCCGCTACCCAGAATAGCCTCCCAGCCCTGTGCCTCTCCCGCCTCTCCCCAAATTGCATCCTCCAGCCGCTCCATCTCCTCGCCCTCCATCATTTCTTGGCCCCTCATATTTGCATGCCCATTGGCCGACCTCGATTGTTCGTAGACAGCCCTCCCTGCCCCCGGCTCCATCAACCTAACCACCTTCTGCCCTGCCAATTGCACGAATATGTTCGGGTTTGGATCCCGGTGCAAGGGAGTACGCGTGGGCGGACGCCCCAACCACAGGCTGTTCGCATATATATCTCCCCTTCCAGCTTTTAGAACAACATCAGGCGTCGGGAGATCGGCTTGGAGAGGCAGGGGAAGCGAGTCGAGCGAGCACTGGGCGAGGTAGAGGTTGCCCGGCGAGGAGTGTGAGGAGGAGCAGGATGCTAGAAGTACCGAGAGAGGCGCTTCGAAACGCTGAAATGTCTGTGAGTGATGCTCAGCATCGTCAGGCATGGAATCCGACAATGGATGCGTCGCGCGCGTCAGCTCCAGTGGGACGATGACGGAGCCATAGGGCGCCAAGTAATCAGAGTTTAGCTGGTGAAACCCGGGCTTGAAAGAATACGGATCAAACCATCTAGAGATAGCAGGAATTTGGTGAAATTGGTTTCGCAGGAGAGCCGGGACTCGGGGGTTGAAGTGGCTGGTACGAAAGCTGTCAATGCTGAAAGTGTCCAGGAAGTTCATGGACCGGAAACGCGATATTCGAGAACCGAGGCGAGCAGACATCGATAGCAGCAAAAGTCTGTGGGCCCTGGGCGTTGTGATGTCTATATCCCTAAAACAGTGAGGTTCGTGAAGCGAGTCGCGATGCGGTGAAATCTCGCAGGTCTTCCGACGCGACCCCTCCACCACTTGAGAAGAGTTAAATGTGTTACCGTCAGCGTCAGCAACACCTGGCCTTCTTCCTTTTCATACAGCCAGGTCTACCTTAGCTGAACGAAGCTGACAATCAGCTATGGCGTCCCAAGGCCAGCAAAGTACATCCCCACGAATAGCCTCATGCGAATATTAGCTGATCGCATATAGTCGAACTCACGAGTCTCAATGTCCAACAGCTCAGCCAGTTGAAGAAGCAGCTCGACAGCGAGCTCGAGCACCTCACCAGTTCCTTCCAATCGCTGCGCACAGCACAGGCCAAATTTCGAGACTGCCTAAAGTCGATATCCGCGGGGTTGAATCCCAAGACAGCCGGTATACTTCAACCCCCCCCCAGAGGCACCACCAGACTAACGCAACGCATATAGACAAGCCTCTCCTCGTCCCCCTAACGTCCTCACTCTACGTCCCCGGCACACTGGCTAGCAGCACACATGTCCTCGTCGATGTTGGGACCGGCTTTTTCATCGAGAAGTCGACGACCGATGCAACCGACTTTTATACCCGCAAAGTAGCAGATCTTGAGGGCAGTCTGAAAGATCTAGAGCAGATCTTGCAGAGCAAAGCGCAGAATCTCAGGGTGGTGGAAGAGGTGCTGCGGTCTAAGGTCACCAGTGGCCCGCAACCCCAGGAAGCGCGGTAGGACTATTGGATGGACTGGAGGGACAAAAGTACGATTAGTGAAAAATACATTTGAAGTGGCCTATGACTCTCTACTACATTATCTCAAGCCTCTGGGGTCCCTTGTGCTCCCTATGCGACCTTGCTGGGTCTGATCGCGGACTGGGCACCGTTGAAGTAGTCACGGAAGCACCCCATACATGCTCCCTCGAAAGTTGACCGTGGAGTGCATATAGACGTGGCCTAGGTGCTGAATCAAGACCTCAAATCTCCTCACTCTTTTCTTCAGTTCTCTAGATATGTAATTCGAATCATGCTCTACGAACTAGGGCATGCAATCATATATACATAAAGTCTCCCAACAGCACTAACATCTGTGGAGGTTCCTCCGACTATCTTCTCCAGCATTCCACCATCCAATCATCGCACCATAATTATATCATCACAGCTCCTTCATAGCTTTGCCTCTGCTCCACCCATCGACTTGCCCGTGAACGACCCAAAGTAGGCGTTCAAAGCATCCACAGTACCAGTCCCCTGTTCCAGCTTCACCACACAACCAACATAGCCATCTGGCCGCACTACCACCACGCCGCCTTTCTCTTCATCTAGCCCTATCTTTGCATGCGCTGCTGCTTTCGCTTCCGGTACCCGTGCGTCCCATATGTCATCTGCGTACACGTGATCTCTGTACCTACTCAGCACTGGTGGGAGCAAGTCGTCGATCTCGATCTCAGCGCGGGGTAAAGCCACAACGGTCGTGAGCGTCAGGAATGGCGTGTGCGGGTTATGGCGCTCATGGTAACGGTCAGTGTCCTCGTTCTGGTGAAGGTATGTTGAGAAGAATGAGCGTGGAGCAGTCATGTAGGTTGCGAGGTCATCGAGTGCTGCCGAAGAGATCGCAGGAGTACCGGCAAAGATGTACAGGCGGAAGGAGCCGTTGAACGGAATCTCTTGCTCGAGGTGGACGACGTTCGCGTCCACAACGCGGGTTACAGTGGCAGGGGTAAGGATGCGGCCAGTGCGAAGGTGTGTACCCTTCTGGTAGGACAGGAAGAGGGGCGACTGAGCTGGGTGTACGGGTGACCAGTTGTAAATATTTGCATCATAAGCAACACCATAGCCACTGGTGAACTCGCAGCTTGCTTTGAATGTCTTGACGAAGTCATTCTCTTCCGGTTCGTGCTTCGAGGCGGCTTGGGCGGCGGCCTGAGTGTTTGCACTGCCGACTTCGCCGGCGGAGGGGATGCGGGCGGAAAAAAGCTTTGCATAGCGTGCGTCAAAATCAAGGAGATTCTCAGCAACGAGCTTGCGCTCAGACTCGTACGTGTTGAGGATGGAGCGAGAAGCGAAGCCCGACTCGACATGGTGGATTTTCCATGCAAGATTAACAGCGTCGAGGAAAGCAGTGTTCATACCTTGTCCAGCTTTGGGCTATATTGCTGTTAGTCAGAACTAATCCTAGGGACAAAAATGGCTGGAATGGTACGCAACTTACGCTATGTGTATGGCAGGCATCGCCGCCCATGAATACTCTTTCGTCCAGCGTGTAACGCTCAGCAATCCCCTGTCCGATTGGGTAGGCTGAATACCATTCCACACGGTCCCATTCTATGTGGTAGGGTTTTAATATTTTCTTTGCGTGTGATTGGACCTCCTCCTCCGTGGCTGTTTTCCGTGGGTTCCAATCCTTGTCTGTCGAGGAGGCAAGTTGTATGTACAGCCTGACCATGTTGTTCTCTCGAGGGATCACCATAATGGATCCTGCGTCGGAGTGGATAGTACATTTCATCTACTTCCTGTCAGTCAAGAACGGCATAGTGCTGATATAAATGTACCTTGATGTCTGGAAAGTCGGTTCGCACGACACCGTCCATGACACCCCAAACATGAGCAATGGGGTCTTTGTGATGTATTTGAACTCCCAGTTGGTCTCTAACGAAGGACCTTGCTCCCTCGCCGCTAAACAAGTACTTTGCCCTGACTGTTTCTTTCGAGGTCCCATCCACGTGAGCCAGATTCACTTCCACGGGGTACACGGGGTCTTTCCCATCGTTCTTAAATCCAGTGATTGTCCATGGCCGCTGTATCTGTCCTCCGTGCTTTTCGATGTCCTCGATGAAAACACGCTCTATCAGTCCCTGGTGCAGCAAGGTTGTGAATGGGTACCTGGCGTCGATGAACTTGGGACAACTCGCCCAGGTGCCTGTGCGGTGGATTCCTTTCGCCGAAGGGTCCCAAAACGCGACTTCGTAAACCTTGGCTGGGTCGTGTGCCATGATCTGCCGTTTTAATCCCATGTTTCGAAGTAGATCGAGGGATCGAGGTTGGATGCCATCTGCGCGACCAGTCGCCGTGGGTTCGGGTCGATTGTCAATGTGCTTTATTTTGTAGCCCCACCTAGCAAGGCTCGTCGAGATGGTCAAGCCCACGGGCCCTGCCCCTATTATCACGATATCGTAATTCTCCATCGTGGGCCCTGTGAGTGCTTCAAAGGGCTTGAGGAAATCTAATGGAAAACTAAATGAATCTATAAGAACCAGAGATGTTTGAAAGGAGAAAGCTGATATGAAGTAGACGGAAGACTACGAGGCAACGGTTTATAAATGGTGCATATTGTGAGATTGAGATGGGGGTGTATGTAGAAAAGGTTTCGCTCATTCTGTTAGCCGCCAATTACATCACTTTATCCAAAATAACCCGGGAGTAAACTCGGATCTTGACTGCCTTCTACTACCACAGTCCCTGCCTGGGGCCCCGCGTTCGTTGCCGACATCGTGCCCGTATCATTTTATGATGCGGGGAGAGCGCGCCAAAAAGGGACGGATGGTGAAGTCGGTAAGTCGTCGTCGAGATGGCCGGTGCGGATTCGCGCTAAGCGTGCGTCGGACGAATCAGAGCGAGGGCAAAAGATGCTAGCTGCTGTCATCCCTTCCTTCCACCACCACTCGGCAGACGCCGCCGCCAACGTCGTCGAGCACCTTTCACTTCTTCGGCTGTGGGTTCGGAAACTACACGTGTGCACGTTCCGAATTGTGTCGCCGTTGGTCTCAGGCTAGGACCCCGCCACACTTCGGCCGAACAACTCGTTGTGTACCGTCACAACTGCCTTCGAATGTGCATATACAGAATATCCTCTAGACCCATCAGCGCAATAGTGGGCCAGACGACGATTTACAAGACGACGATTTACAGGGCGCCGACCAGCCCACACTTTAACTCGATAGTCGTGGATCGATACGCTCAAGCGTGTAAGGGTACGTGCTACGGCGGGCGTGTGTATACGTAGAGAGAACACGGTAAGTGTACAAGAAGAATGTACGGTGGAAAGCCTAACGACGACAATATGCTTAAGAAGCAGTTTCCTCGCCGTTCTATTGCAACCCATTTCTACGTGAGGCTGTGGTTCGGACCTGAGACCCCAAATTTCATTGCTTTTATTAGCTATGTTGTCTCTCACCTGCTAAGATCTTGAGTTCAGACGACAACCTACCTCCTAGCTTCTTTCAAGCTCTCAGCTCTTCCTTGGCTCAACTTTGAAACCTCACTTTGGTTGTTCACTGCAAGAGAATCATGGCCATGTGGAACAACACCGACCAGAACGGCCTTCTTCCGATCTTGCTCTGTCTTCTGATAGTGCTACCCACTATCTATGTTGTCTATCAACGGGTTTTCTCCCCGTTCGCAAGCACTCCGGGGCCATTCTGGGCAAGTCTGTCACGGCTCTGGATAGCCAAGCACTCTCGAGATGGCGACCTCAACCACGTAATGATTGATCTACATAAGAGATATGGGCCGCTCGTTCGAACAGGCCCATATGAAGTGTACGAAGCGCGAAATTTATCTCCTACAACGCTGACATGATGTTTTAGGAGTGTAGCCGACTTGACAGCTATTAAGAGTATATATGGTCTGTTTTTCAGACGGAGCTGTGTCGTCGGCAGACATCTGCTAACAAAACATAGGGGCCGGCACCAAGTTTCGAAAATCAGACTGGTACTCCGTTTGGCAAGCTAGTTGACTATCTTCAGCCCTAAGTAGTGCATTTTATGAATTATTGACAGGGAGCTCGCAAATTCGATCTTTTCGGAGAACGAAACGAATCCGTGCACGCAGTTCAGAGGCGGCTTGTCGCCCAAACATACTCCATGGGTTCCCTCAAGGACCTCGAGGAGTTTGTCAATGGTGCCATCAAAGGATTTATGCGCAAGATGGGCGGATTTCAGGATTCGAAAGAGCCGGCAGACATGGGCAAATTAGTGCAACTGTTCGCGTTCGGTAAGTCCCTGAAGGGATGCTCACCACCAGACTCTTTGTCTCATTTCATGTGTCGCAGATATCATTGGAGAGATTACTTTCTCCAAGACTTTCGGTTTCGTGGATGCCGGCATGGACGATGGAACTTTCAGCTCCATTGAAGGTATCCTCCGTTCCGCGTGCTGGCTTGGCCAAATACCCTGGATATACCGGCTTCATCAAACCCTTATGCCTGTGATTGGGAACCATCTTGGGGTAAATGCTCGTCATGGCGGAGTTCGAAACTTCGCTATGAGTGAGGTTAGATCTCGAAAAGACCGCGGGAGCGACCGGAAAGATATCCTCAGCAAGCTTTTTGCTGTGAACGAGAAGAAGCCGACTGAATTTGACTTGAATGTAGTGGTATCCATGGCTACGTAAGCTTTCCGTCACGTATCAACATTTCAGTGTGACAACTTACACCTGGCAGATCAAACATAGCTGCCGGTAGTGACACGACGGCTATATCAATTCGAGCCATTATATACTACCTCTTGAAGAACCCTACACACAAACAACGACTCGTGGACGAGATTGATGGCCTGCGACGACAGGGGAAGATAAGTGACCCGGTTTCGCTTAGCCAAGCAGATAGTATGCCGTACCTGCAAGCGGTCATGTACGAGGCTTTACGCGTTCATCCAGCTGTGGGGATGAGCTTACCGCGAGTCGTACCCTCGGGTGGCATAGATATTCATGGCAAATACTTTCCTGCTGGCGTGAGACTGCCCAGGCCGAGAACCTGTGACTCAGATACTGACAAGAGGTGTAGTCTGTCGTTGGCGTCAACCCTTGGGTGGTCCACCGCAACAAGGAGGTTTTTGGGGACGATGCCGATGACTTCAGGCCTGACTGATGGCTCACTCAAGATGAAAAGGCCATAGGAGATATGCGTAAGCTTGAAGCTTTGCCGCCAGACTTTCGGTCCTACTAAAGCCATTAGATCGGTTCTTCTTCGCATTTGGTTCTGGTGCTCGGAGCTGCATAGGAAGAAGTAAAGATATCTCCCTTCATGATAACTGGACTCGAGCTGACCTTTTACACAGACATCAGCTGGATGGAGATGTCCAAGGTACCTGCTTCGGCCTGAAGACTGTCTCAAGCATATGTTCTAACCTTTGATAGCTTATCCCTACGCTGTTCATGCGGTATGACCTCACTCTAGCTGATGCCAATGCTGAATTGACGGAGAAATGCTGGTGAGTTGTACTCAGTTTGCATTGCATGGCTCTGTTGACACGCGCAGGTGGTTTGTCATTCAGAAAGGGCTATATGTGAATGTCCGGAGGAGGTCCGTCAATGGGTCTTCCTGAGTTTGCTTCCGCCCCATCACTTACTTCCGCCAACTCTTTGCTGCAGGCAAGAGACAAAGGAGGTTCCACGTAGAGCCTGGTTTGATTAGACTGTTGAGGCTTCAACCACCTTTTCGCAACTAAGTCAAGAATCCTAGCTCTTGGCACTTGAGTGGAGGAATAGCAAGGGAGTTACTAGCATCTGGCTCTTATTGCCTGGGAAGCCTTAGCTGGCATGGATTCATCTGGAGCAGGAGGTAACTAAACAGGATGATGGCAATCTGACTTGAAACCGTACGTGGTACTTCCCACCGCAGCTGTTGACATTTGAGGGAGCACTGCCAGGCACCCTTGAACAAAAAGTGGAAATTCTCAAATCAGTGCTTCCATATCGAAACTTTCCATACTCTAGATATGCACCCCCTCTGGGCACGTGTGCACTAGCTTAGCACTGCTTGAGGTCCTCCGATACGTTATCAGACATTGTAAACCTACAGTTTTGACGAGCGTGATGGCTTGCCGGGCCACGTCAGACGGTGCTGGACTGCTCCTTTAAGTTCAACGCAGCCTGACTGCCGCCCCGACGCTGAAAGCCTGAGCTGAAAATGTCCGTCTCCACGTGTGACATCTCGGCATCCGATTGAGGCTGCGGCGTGGAGAGACCCCGGCACGCATCATACAGTAAGAGGCGTCGTCCACGCTGGCCGCGGCATGCAACTGTGCCACAGAGTTCTCGGTTGCTCCAGCCCCTCTAGGGCCTTCTGCTACGTGATCTGGAGAAGGAGGTCGCTCAAGAGTGACAGCGCTGCGGCTGATGAAGGACACAGTAGACAGGGCCGCACTTGGGACCGCAGAGAGCTGCCCCTAATAATGCAGGCGGCGCGCCAGTCAGACGTGGGCAGCAGATTTCGCCCTGCAGCATCGCCAGGCACCGCCTTCAACCATGGCGTGGCGGGCCAATGCTTCCCCAGACTAAGTGCGGGTCTCTCCCGGGTGGACATTTGGAGGTGAACGCCCAGGGACGGTGCCACGGTGCACACGCCGCCTTGGAAAACCTTGACAATTGGCCTGGAGCGTCCCGTGGGCGTCTCCTTTGTGGCCTCACCTCTTGACGCTCTCCTCCTCAGCCTGCGCCGCCGCCGTGTGCTGAGCGCAATCGCACACGACCTCCGCCGTCCCACGCAAACCCACCGCTCGCCATGTTTTAGCTCCACCTCGCCAGGTCCCCCCTGACCGCGCAGACCACCGCGCAGATTTGCTTTCCCACCGGCCGCCGGACTTCCACCCTGGCAGCTCGCTATGGCTGCACACAATTTGGCCCTTTCCATGGGCCTCCCGTCTCCCACGCTCACGAACCCCGATCTCATCCTGCCCGAGGCGACGACGCGCAGCTTTTCTCCTGGGCCGTATGCCCAGCGACCACCTTCTCCCTCCTCGCTGCTATACTACCCGGCGCAAACTGTTAAGCTCAGCGCTCTGCCAGCTCGTCGGGGCCCCAACCCGCGAATGATGTCGCCTCCCGTGACGGCGCGCTCGTCCGTCAGCACCCTTCCGAACATTGCTGAAGTCGAGGCGACGCCGAAGCAGCGCAGCCCGCGCGACCAGGTCCTGGCCTCGTCGCCCACCATCCGAGACTCCATCTTAGGAAACATGGACAACTGGGATGCATATAAAACAAGGAGGCTGAGCAATGCCTCGAGCTCTGTTCACAGTGAAGACTTGGAGAACATGAAGTGGCCGGGGTTCGAAGGTACCTTCGACGACAGCGGGGTGGTGCTGGACGAGGACGAGGAGCACCAGGGGGACGCACACAAGCCAGCGCCAGGCGACGAGGAGCTGGACAATGACCCATGGTCAGACGAGCAAGACGAGAACGATGATGACCCCTACTCCTCGGCCGCCTTGAGCAGAAGAGCGGAAATAATACTGGCGAACGCGAAAAAGAGGCTGAATGTGTGTAAATGCTTCTGGACAGCTGGACTATTCACTGACATGCTTGATAGGTCATGGAAGGAAACCTGAGAGGCGCCAGACACTCTCTCATGGCAACACCGCCACCGTCATCTTTCAACACCGCGAAGATGGCGTCGGAGCTTTCGCAGCACCTCTCGGCTGCCAGAGACCGAGACCGACAACTGTACGGGGGCCTTGGGTTCATCCCACCCCGGCAACGGCCATATCACTCCTCTCCCCTCTCCACCGGCAGTCCGAAACATTCACGCGTCTTCAGCGAGACGTCGGTCCCATCTCCGATTTCTGCCAGAGTCGCAAACAAAGCAAACGGAACTGATAGACGCTCATCAAGTGCACTGGGTCCCACAAGCGGGCCATGGTCACCAGTCGACGGGTATTATGGGGGCCACCCCTCGATCAGGGAGACGAAGAGCCAGGAGGTTATGCGCGACCACCGGAACGGTTGGACTAACGAGGGCGACCACCCCTTGCGCAAACATTCAGGGTCGCCTACTCTCGAACCCTTGCCTGAAAATGACCCGCCTGAGATGCCGAAGCTGCACCGGTCCGCATCAACTACTAGCGACCTCAGGGTTCAGATGAATGAACTAAAGGGAAAGATATCTACGTTAAAGCAGCGGGCGCGGGAAGATGGTCTACGACGCCGTAGCTTGCAGAGCCTGCGAACTCCCAGCCCCTTTACTGCTGCTGAAATATGGTACTCCGGAGCTGATGGATATAAGAGTAGCCCCATTTCTGCGGACGCCGGAGTCGGCTTCAAGGAAGAGCCTGTGCATGCCACAAGAGAGCTGTACGATGAAGACACCAACACTTCATCCACCCCAAAGACCATTCCCTTAGACCTACATCTAGGTGACCAGTCCGGCGAGCATAGGGTGCTTAAAGGTGAGGGTCACAGCGAATATCAAGAAAGCAACTACGAGGACGCAGAAGAGATTCCCAGAGAGTACGAGGGACTACCGGTTGAGGAGGGCGACCTCGATGACATTGATTTCGTGTCAGTCGATAACGACGATATGGCTGAGAGCATATACGAAGACGCAGCGTACGACGTCCCTGTTGCGGCGCGCCACGAAGATCGTCTGGACGCTTTCGACTATGAACACTTCTTCCTGCACAGTGCCATGGGGACATACAGCTCCGGCAGTCGGCGATCTAGCTCAAGTTCTGCGGGCTCTGCAGATTCTGCCGAGACCACCAGGCCGATCACGGCAATTATTGAACCTGCGGACCTGCAATCCACGCCGAGGCAATCGCGCCCTGGACTGCACCAGCGCAACGACAGCGCTTCTTCAGTCTCTACAATGGCGACATTTGCGACAGCTACCGAAGGAAACGGGTCTGACGATGGGTCTGATGATGCCAACGAACGACTGGACGAGTTCTCCCAGCGAGTATTGGCGCAGCCAGCGCAACTGAATGGCATCCACCACGTCGCGGACAAGGATCGGCCAGAGTCAGCTATCAACTTCTCGACCCCACGTGGCTCGCACTATGCCAAGGAGTCATCCGACTTGTCGAGCCAGAACTCGCGGGGGTCGTCTCCAGGGGCAGACATCGTCGGGGGACTACGGGCATCGAAGATTTTCTCAATCTTGTTGGAGTCGTCGTCGACAGAAGGCCGACGGTTGTCTCTCAACGAGCACGAGAAGCAGCTGATATACGGACTGGCAGCAAGCTTGCAGCAGGTGTGCACCAATCTGCAGAGCACAGACGGGGACCAGTACGAGCGCAAGGCATGGCGCCGCCGCCTCGACGAGGCACGGAAAGTGCTCGAGGGGGAGGAGGGCGACGAGGCATTCTGATAGCACAGCGTAGTGAGCTACTATCCTTTCATTTGTTGGTTTGTATCTGTTTCCCCTGTCTGCTGCGGTTTAGCGATCTTGATTCTACCGACTAAAAGACCACGGTCGTGCTAATTGTAATCTCATTCCGTCTTCTGCTTCTACATATGCTTTCCTTGCCTATATCTCGGTTCAGCGGAGAGTTCGGAGTGGTTTCGTGGCTTCTCGGAGCATCAATGGAGCATCAGATACCCTGCGGGACGACTTTACGGAGGGAGCGCTGGCTCCCGGACCTTCTGTATACATATTATATACCCACCATAGACACACCAAGCATTAGGATTAGAGCGTCCCCGGCTGAAGTGCACGATGCATGACGCACGCCGATGTTCGGGCCATTTCTCCGCGCGCGGCTCTTAAGTGGTGGCTTCGAGCCCGGCATGTCCCCTTGGGTTTCCAATATACAGCTGTCAGCGACCCACTGGCAGCTGTCGAACCGCGTGCGTTGTTGCCATACCACGGGGCGCGAACTGGGCCCTCTACACTGGGCTGCAGCGCGATTGGTACTGGGACGGGAGCGAGCCGTGGCGCTGGAGGCTAGAGCACCAGCAGCGCTGGAGGCTAGAGCACCAGCAACGCTGCCCATTCGCGCACGCGTCACGACACCTCGCTGCAAAGGGGCGTCGAGCTTCACCGCATCTTCTCTTCGCACAGCTCTCGAGCGCCCTTGGACCCGCGAGGGCCAATTGCGGGGCGCAGAACGGCTGCGATGGGCCGCTGGCGTCCGCAGAAGCCGCCGACATAGGCAAAATCAGCCTTCTGGGGCCCGACGCTGCGTTGCCCTGCCGTCGGTGTTGCATCTGGTCGCTCATGCGCGTCACGGCCGGCAGCTGGAGGACAAATTTTCCTGCCCTGCTGCATTTAATGTGTACCCCGCGGCCAGCCTCTTGCCCGCGTGCTGCTTGACACCGTACAGTTCACATTGCACTCGTTCCTTTGCTCTCCCGCTGCTCGCCCTCCCCCGTTCTCCTGCTGCCAGCCCCCGTGCGGTGAGGCGCCCCATACCGTCTCAGCCAGACGACGGCGATACCCTTTGCGGCGCCAATCGCTATCGGCGGGCAATCTTTCCCGCGTCGAGACAGGGGGCATTTATCGCGAGAGGCGTTTCGGCACACACCACCCACACCTGCACGCCGTTAGTGGACGCACTCCTCCAATACCCATGCGAGCCTTGTGACCGTCCCCTTCGCTGCATTCCCGCCGCCAACCTTCTCCTGCGTCCCCTCAGCGCTGAAGGAGACTCCAGTTCGCTCCCGCCGTCCACGCCCCCTCCGACGGGCTCCTCCAGACATCCATTGTGCATCGCCCCCGGCCAGAACCTCCCCGGCCAAGATTCCAATTCGTCGTCATTATTCGGCCTCCGCCCAGCCTCACCTCGCCCTGCACCCGCGATCTCACCTATCAACCCTCCGCCTGCGCCTTGCATACCGTGCAGCATTCTTCGATCTCGCCGCACCGCTCTCCACGACCTCGCCTTCCTCCACGCTGCCGCCCGCACCTCGAATCCCTTCAATGTGCCCAAGTCCCCCGCCTTGTTCACTCGATTCGCGCGCCTCCGGAGCCCAGGGCCCCTCGCAAAATGCCTCGATCCGCCGCCTCACGCCGCCCCGCCGACGGCGCGCCATTGCAGAGACGAAAGATCCGGCCGCCATCGAGAACTGGATCGGCTGAGCGGGGCAGTGATTGCGCCTCGTGGAGCGGCGGCTACGATAATAAGCACGACGCGGCTGCGAGCCAGACCGGCAGCGACACCGAATGGGAGCAAGAACCGGTGCTCGAGCTCATGACGGAAATTTACGAGGCTATGGACCGTCTGGAGTGGAGTGCGGGGATTGGGGAGAAGCGCGCGTCGAGTCGTGAAAATCCTAGGCCTGCACACGATATCTCGGTACGATACGTATTCTTCTATCTACCCTATTTGCAGATTCGAATTCGGGGATTGAGTGCCCGTGTGGACTGTTGTTTTGATCTATATGCAATTTTTTGTTTGTTTACTTGTCTGCCTGAACGACCTCTAACGGCCCCACAGATCCACAGCCTTGCGGCTCAGATCCACAACCTACTTCCCCCCTCCCGCAACACATCTCCGGACCTCTGGATATCGGGCTCGTCCTCTGAGGTCTCTCCACCGCCGTCATACGACGACACTCTGGCAGATCTGCCACCTGACTATACCACCACAGATGCGCTAGCCACCGTGCAGATACCCAATTATTCGCTCTTCCCCTCTCTCAACCCCTCAGTCGTGTCCGACGTGCCGTCATGCCTTCGGTGGAGCGGCGCTACCTCACCCGCTTCTTCTATTCTGGACGACAAGTTGTGGTACCCGCGCGTGGACTTCTCAAGCTGTGACCCCGAAAACATCAGGAGCCATGCAAAGAAGAGCGCAAAGAAGGCCCAAAAGGCGGCAGCAAAATCGAAATGGGAGGGTGGTGACGAAGAGGAAAAGAAGGACGAAGGAGCCGCAGGCGGCGACGGAGGCGGAGGGAATGGCGACAACAATGCTAATGGCGATGGAGGCGCCGGTGGAGATGGCGGAGGAGGTGGTGGGGACGAAGGGAAAGGATATGGCGGTGATGACTGGGACGCATGGGATACCGGTAAGAAGAAAAAGGGGAAAAAAGGTAAAAGGCAAGAGGAGGAAGAGGAAAAGAAGAAGAAAGAGGAGGAAGAAGAGGCTGAGAGGATAAGAAAAGAGGAAGAGGAAGCCGCTGCTTCTGCGGCAGCTGCGGCACCGGCAACAACAGCCGATACTTCGTGGGCAGAACCAGAGGCAGCTGGGGGCGGCGATGACTGGGGTACGTTTACTACCACCACCACCAAGAAAAAGAAGGGAAAGAAAGGCAAGGTTGATCCAGTACCGCTTCCGCCTCCGCCCCCGCCTGCTCCACCCGAAGAGAAGGGTGCAAATACGGAAATCACCTTTGACGACATCAATCTCGACGATATTGGCGGCGGGGGAGACAGTAGCGCACCTAAACTCGATCTTAGCTTCGGTGACAGTGGCGACACGGGCGTATCCAAATCGCCCAGTTTTGGCTTCGGTGGCCTTGGTAGCCTCAGCACATGGGGCACCGGGCTGACCAGCAGTTGGGGCAAAACAGCATCCTGGGGGTTTGACAGCAATAACGGCGATGGCGACAAGAAGCCCGAGGAGCCGAAGGACGACAACCCCTGGGGCTCTGGAAAGAAGGACAAGAAGAAAAAGGACTCGAACCATGGCTTTGACTTCAACTTTGACGCCTTCGGTGCCGATGGTGCCCCGCCGGCGCCCGAGAAAAAAGAGGAAGAGGATGACACTTGGGGCTTTTCTTCGGCCAAAGATAAGAAGAAAAAGAAGGCCAGCCTGCTGAAGGATTCTGTCCCCGACGTTACGCCTGAGCCAGTAGTCGAAACGAAACAGGAAGACGACTTCGGCTGGTCCTTTGGCGCCACAAAGGACAAAAAGAAGAAGAAAAAAGGAGCCGTTGAGGAGCCAACTCCTGAACCCGTTGTCAACCCTAAACCTGAGCCCGAGCCCGAACCGGTGAAGGAAGAGGACCCGTGGTCATTTACTAGCGTTGCTACGACAAAGAAGGGCAAGAAGGGGAAGAAGGCCGTTGAGGTCATTGCAGAGAAGCCCATCGAAGAAACCCCTCCGCCACCACCGCCTGAGCCTGTTGCCTCGCCTCCCGTAGACGACTGGGGTTCGTTTACCCCGACTGTCACGAAGGTGAAAAAGGGGAAGAAAAGCAAAGCAGAACCCGTCAAGGTTCCTGATCCTGTACCCGAGCCAATTGTTGAACCTGAACCCCAGCCCGAACCGGAGGCAGTTGCACCGGTAGCGGTAGTGGAAGAGCCTGCAGCGGACGATTGGGGATCTGCGTGGGGATCTGTAGGTAAAAAGGACAAAAAAAAGGGAGCGAAAAAGGGAGCTAAGGTTGAAGAGCCCAAAACGGAGTCCGTGCCGGAACCCGAGCCCGCCCCTGTTGCCCCCCCGCCTGCGGATGACTTATGGGGAGACGGCGGCTGGGGAGTAACCCCGGTCGTCACCAAGGGCAAGAAAAAGGCAGCAGGCAAGAAGGGCGTTGTTAAAGAGGAGCCTTCCAAAGTCGAGGAACCGCCAAAGGAGCCAGAACCCCCTGTCATTCCGGAACCAGCACCAGCCACAGATGACTGGGGTGGTCTCGGATCTTGGGGAACTCCGGCAGCAAGTAAGAAGAAAAAGGGCAAAAAGGGCTCTGTTTCGACAGCCTCGCAGCCTGATCTAACACCTCCTAACGAACCTATTCCTGAGGTCCCTGAAATTAGCCAAGCGTTGGTGGAGACTAAGGATGCGCCGGCCGATGACGACTGGATGAACTGGGGCACTCCAGCTACCTCCAAGAAGGGTACAAAGAAGAAAAAGAAAGGGAGCCTCGTTGTGGAGGAAGTTGTCCCTCCCCCAGCTCCGCCGCCGCCGCCAGCTGTCCCAGACCCCGAACCAGAGCCAGAGCCTGAGGCTGAGACAAAGCAGGAGTCAATGGAATGGAGCTTTGGTGGCCTGTTTGGAAGCAAGAAGAAGAAGAAGGGCAAAAATGCTGAGCCCGACCCACCACCGCCTCCACCCCCTCCACCCGTGGATGAAACCATCATGACCCCTGACGCAGTCGATGAGCCCGGCGCCAAAGAAGATGACTGGGCTACACCTTCTTGGAGCAAGAAAGCCACGAAGAAATCAGGGTCAAAGAAGGACACCCCGGTCGAAGTCACCGATGACACCCTAGTTGCACCTGTACAGAAGCCCGACCCCGTCGAGGAGATTGATCCCTGGGGCAGCGGAGACTGGAACATTGATCGCAAAGAGAAGAAGAAGGGCAAGAAGGGGGGAATACTCGACGCACCTCCTGCTGTCCCCACACCTCCTGGGGAGATAGCGGCGCTAGAGGATCTTCCACCAATGAAGGAGCTGCCTGAACCTCCCGCTGCAGAGAAAAAGGAAGAAGAGCCTGCATGGGGCTTTTCGACCACCACCAAGAAGAAGAAGGGCAAGAAGGGCGTTACACCTGATCCTCCAAAGGTTGAGGCGGATGGCGGAAAGCTGAGCAAGACAACTACCAAAGACTCGGCAGCCTCGAAGAGTAAAACCATGGACAGCTGGGCCGACCTCGTGGAACTGGAAGAGCCGAAGGAGGAGAAGGAAGAGATCAAAGAGCCAGAATCTGCCGCCAACGCTGCCAAAAGCTCATGGTCGACCTGGGGCACAGCGAAGGAACCCGCGAAGGAACCCGCAAAGGAACCAGCGAAGACACCGGCGAAGAGGGAAATACCCAGAGAAAAGAGGGCTCGAGAAGCAAAGGAGAAGAAGGAGCGCGAGGAGCAGGAGAGATTAGAACGCGAGGAACGGGAAGAAAAGGAGCGTCTGGAACGTGAAGAAGAGGAGAAGCGCGCTGAAGAGGAAAGACTCGAACGAGAGGCGCAAGAGGCTAAAGAGGCCGAAGAGGCCGCGGCTGCTGCTGCGGCGGCGGCAGCCGCGGAAGAAGAAAAGAAGAAGAAAGAGGAGAGTTCTGGCGGATGGGGTTTTACCAGCCTGCTTAAGCCTAGCAAGAAAGAGAACGCCAAGGATAGGAGGGCGAGAGAGGCTAAGGAACAAGCAGAACGCGAGGAGAAAGAGCGCGAGGAAAGGGAGAAGGCTGAGCAAGAAGAGCAAGAAGGGCTGAAGCAGGAGGCCCTGGAGCTTGAGGCAGCGGCTGAGAAGGCCAGACAAGAACAGGAAGAGGCGGACGCCGCGGCTGCCGCTGCGGAGGAAAAGGAGAAGAGGAAAGCTGAGAGGGCGGCCGAGAAAGCCAGGGCAAGGGAGACGCCAAGGGAAAGAAAAGCCAGGGAGGCCAAGGAGAAAAAGGAACGGGAGCGGGAGGCCAAGGAAGCGGAAGAGGCTGCCGTCGCGGTCGCCGCTGAAGAGCAGGCCAAGAAAGACGCCGAAGAAGCGGAAGCCGCTGCGGCTAAGCTGGCTTACGACAACGAGATTCTCGAGATTATTGACGAGGCGCCGGTGAAGGGCAAAAAGAAGAAGAAGGGCAGCAAAGCAGCGGAGGCTGCCAAGGCCGCTGCAGCTCCACCCCCGATGACCGACGAAGAGCTCATCGCGCTGGCGGAGGCGGAAATAGCGGGGGCGCCGGCGCCGCTCGAGGATCTGCTGGGCTTGGCAGAGCCTGCACCTGCACCCGCGAAAGAGGAGAAGGAGGAGAACGCCGGCAGCGGCTGGGGCAGCAAGTGGGGCGTGTCGCTGCGCAAGACGAAGCCGGTCGAGCCTAAAAAGGAAGAGGTCGAGGTGGCCAATGAGATCGTCTCGGTTCCAGAGCCAGAGCCAGAGCCGGAGAAGGAACCAGAACCCCCGGTCGCTGACGACCCGCCACCGAAGGCAACCAAATCGACTCTGACAAAAGGCAAGTCATCCAAGTCCGCTGCCATCGCGGAAAAGCTCAAAGCGCTGCAAGACAAGAAGGATAAGAAGGCCGCCGACGCTGCGAAAGCCCGCGAGCCCGAGCCTGAACCTGCGCCTGAGCCTGAGCCTGAGCCTGAACCCGAACCTGAGGAGCCCCCGCCGCCACCAGAGCCTCCGCTCGTAGAAATCATCGAGGCCACGCCCAAGAAAGCGTCCTCCAAGTCGAAGAAGGCCGACAAAGCTACGGCGAAAGCCTCGTCGTCCAAGAAGAAGGAGTTTGCGCCGCTTGTCGTGCCTGTGCCCGAGCCTGCGCCAGAAGAGATCCCCAAGGTCTCCACGCCTGTTCCCGGCGGATTCCCCATGGACGACGATATCATGGGTATGGACATGATCGATCTCGAGCCCTCTCCCCCGCCTCATCCGCCCGTTGTCGAGCCCCCCGCCGCCAAGAAAGCTTCCAAGAAGGCTGCAAAGAAGGGCACCAAGACCAAGGCAGAGCCTGTAGAAGAGGCGCCGGCGCCACCGCCGTCACCGCCACCGCCAGCCCCGGAGCCGGACGCTGATATTGAAGAGTCTCGAGATATGGACGTCGACGACGTGCCCTCGAAGCTTCCGACTCCGCCGCCCGAACCCGAGAGCAAGCCTGTTGAGCCGCCAAAAAAGGAGCGCGCGAAGGTCGTTCGCAATCAAGCTGGCGCGTCTTGGGGCTTCTGGGGTGCTGCTGCTGCGGCATCAGCACGCCCGACTCCCAGGAAGACGTCTCGCGACGATGCTACGACACCCGCAAAGGTCGCCACTCCAGGCTTGACGCGGTCCAAGTCTGCCCGCGTGCCCTCGACGAAAGACAAGGACGTCATGTCAAAGTCGTCCGGGTCCGATAAGGTTAAGTCAGCTTCTCGTGGCAAAGCCTCTCGCGGAGCGAGCTTCTCGCTCTTAGGTGCCCCTCCTCCTTCTCGATCGAAGTCGGTCCGTCAAGCAACGACATCGAGGACAATTTCGCGACGACAATCGGTTGATGGCGACGCTGCCATGATGTCCCCTCCACAGACTGATACAGATATGGGCAAGGTGTCTGAGAAGGCGGCAAAAATGATGGGCATAAGGCCCTCTGTGAACAGGCGATCCACCACGAGGGAGAAGGTGAAGCCGGCAAGAGGTAAGGACTCTTCCCTAAGGATATCTGTAAAGAAGACTGGGCATCCAGCTAACACATCAAAAACAGCCATTCCAGATCCATATGCTATCAGCGATGGAGATCTCATGCTCGTAGATGAGGATCCACCATCACCCTCTCCGGCAGCGAAACGGGAATCTCGCCCCACTGCTACGAGACAAACGTCAAAGCGTCATTCAGTTGCAGTCGCACCCGACGAACCTATCACTGCACCACCCAGCGCCGACGATCCGCTGGTCGATGTGTCTGCCGAGGGAACCGCTCCAGCTCGGTCGTCTCGCCAAGATATGGACATTGGCTACAACGAAGCTCCACGTCGCGAACGCGAGTCGGCGAGGCGGTCAACTTCAAACGCTAAAAAGTCAGACGGTCTCATGGGCATGTTTGGACTTGCCTCGGCACGCAAGAGGGACCGCCCTGAGCTTGATGATCGCCGCGAGCGACGCAGAACTGCCTACGAAACCGAGGATGAACGGATACGACGGAAGCGATCGTCAACCCGTGGCGCCATCACCGACGACGAAGCCAAAAGACTACGCAGAGAGGGTCGTCGCGTTCACCGCTCCCGTCAGCCTTCCGACACCGAAGGTGGTGGCATGACTGATGCTGCTCGAGGGATGGGCGGTGCAAGTGCAAGCACCGATGCTGAGGCTGAACGAGAGCAGAAAAAGGCTGAACGGCGAGCAGTTAGGCGCGCACAGAAGGAGGCAGAAACTGTACGTGCTGCTGAATTAGCGGAAGCAGAAGAGAAGGCTGAGAGGAGGCGCGAAAGAGAGAGGGCCCGCGAGCGGGCGATTATGGATGAGAAGAAGGCTAAGCAGAAAGAAGAAAGGGAGCGCAAGAGCAGGGAGGCCGCTGAGCTTGAAGAACGTCGTCAAGAAGAGAAGCGTGCGAGACGTGTGGCCAGAGAGGAAAGGAGAACAGACGAGCGAATCATGCGCGAGCCGGAAGCACGAGAACCAGAACGCCGGCGACGAAGCGGAAAGGAAGGGGAGCCCTCACGCACCGGCAAATCTGAACGCCGCCGGTCTCACGTCGAAGAAGACCCTGCCGCTCGCAGAGCACGTCATGAAGACCGTCGTGCTAGGCGCACTTCAGAGATACACCCATCATCACGAGCGGAACCTGCGGACTACTTCGATCCCCGCAACGCCACCAACCACCGACGTCGCAGCTCTTACATGGATGCTAAGACCACTAATGGCGAGTCTTCAAGTGGGAACCGCCCGTACCTGGCGAAAGGTGGTGACAAGACGTCTTCTTGGGTCGACTCACTAAACAACGATCCTCCACTCCCCGTTCCCATGGCAGAGACAGTCCTCGATCAGCCTCCTGGTGACCAAGAAGGAGAGGTTGTCGACGAGGAAACCCCGTCTGCAGACGAGGACGTAAGGCTTCGCATTGCTGGACGACGAGGAAAGAACCGCGACAACAGAGAAAAGGAACCTCGAACTGAGCGGAAGCGAGACAGCCACCGTCGACGGGCCGCCGACCCTCAGGCTAGCAATGACGAAGAAACAGATGGCAGGAGCAAGCGCAGGAGTCACGCATATCCTCCAGTTTCCTATAACGAGCCTCCCGCGCGAACATGGGATGGCCGTCCCGCCGCTGCACCAACTGGCGGCAAGAGAGGAAGCTGGTTCAAAAAGATTGCTGGTTTGGGATAGAATCAATGATGGTGTTCATCCTTTGATGAAGATTTGCTTCAGCAACGTCTAGAATTTGAGCGTATATTGGTTATTGGAGTAGCGGCAACATCTTTCGACGCATTTCTTCCTCGGTCCATCCTGTAGTACCATCCCCATCGCTCTTCCATTTTGCTATCGGGCAGGCCTGGAGCAACACTGTATCTAGGATTGGCTTTGTTTGCATCGAAAATCTCGGAACTGCATTGGGTTGGGTATGGGCCTCATCACCACTTCCTTTTTTTGTTACGTATTATGTCATTTAGTACGGATACGACGTCTTTCAGTTTGTTTCGATTTGTATGAGCGAGCGCTTGGAGCTACTAGGATTATTTAGGTTGGGGCTTGGATTGAGTTGAATCAGCTTGGTGTTTTGAATTTCGGATTGAGAAGAGCGGAGCGAGCTGTCAATTTTCTTCCTGGGGTGACTTTGCCCTTTTACCTTCGTGGGTTTTTTTTGTGCTTGTTTTGGAGATATAGATACCCCCCAGCACTACGCACGAATACCCTATCGTTCTCTTTCTGTGGGTTTGGATTGTTTGTGGTTGGTTGGTGTAGGTAGTACGTTGGAGTTAAGAATATTCCTTGAAATTGAGATCAAGTGGCACCGCTCTCACTACATTGGCATCGACGTGAATATTAAAGGAAAAGTCTTGAAGCATGACAATGTGAAGAAGTACTGAGCCATTAAAGTTCACTCGAGTTTCACATAAACCCTTCATCTCGTTGGGTCCGATTCGGGCCTAGTTTCACCAACGTTAGCGCAGCGTCTCACCACCAGCTGCCAGCTCAAGAATCAGACCACATGCAAAATAAACATCGTCAAGCATCCAGTGTTCGTTCAAATGACCTTGTAACGAACCGTCAGGTCTAGATCCGAAGCCATCCATGGTTATGCCGCGCTCCTCAGCTAACCAGCGCCCGCGCCTCCGTGGCTGAGCTTACGATCAGGGCGCATGCGGTGACCGCCTACTTACAAGTATAGCAACATCTTACAAGCTGAGACCCTGCTTAGCCGCGACCAGCTGTGACCATCCGGTGTGATCCTTTTGCGGCGGTACGAGGTAAGTACAGCACCTAGCCAGTATATATGCATAAGGGGATCGTCAGGTACCGCACCACATCTGCCCTCAACTTCCTCTCGTTAAACCTCCTCTACTACCAAAATCTCTCGCTTCCCGTATCCTCTCTTCATTTGAGAAAAAAAAAAGGGTCCTTTCCTTTTCTCAAATAAATCCAAACCAAACCAATACCACCGCAAACAATGTCCCTCACCACCTTCACCTCCCCCCTCTCCGCTCCCACCCCCTCCTCCTCCTCCTCCTCCGCCTGCCCCATGGCCCAAATCTACACCCTCCCCACCACCGACGCCGCCTGCGCCGTCCCCAACAAGCCCGCCTCAAACTACACGGCCGTCATGGCGCAGTGCTGCCACGCCGCGCCCGTCACCAAGTACGCCGACGGCTGCGGGCTGTACTGCCTCGCGGCGGGGCAGTCGATCGGGGAGCTGTCGACCTGCCTCACGGGCAATGGGGTCGGCGTCGGGGAGGCGTTTTGCAATAAGAACACGACGAGTACCGCGACGGGGAAGGTTGAGAGCTCGGGGGCGAGTAAGACCAGTGCGGCGACGCAGACGAAGCGGAGTGCGACGGGGACGGCGGCGGCGGGGGCGACGAGTACGGGGGCTGCGGCGAGTGGTTATGTGAGGGGGCAGGGCATGTCGAAGGCCGGGGTTGCGGTGCTGGGGTTGTTGCTTTTGTCGAGTGCAGTGGGGGTGTTCTTGTAGGCTAGTGGTGGAGAGGAGGGAGATTGGGATATGTACGAGGCTAGGTGGGTTCTCGAGAGAAAGGGGTGGTGGAGCTTGAGTGGTGTAATACCTTCCTGTTCCTTCTGTAAATAAATTTGGGGTGTAAATAAATTTGGGGTGTAAATTTAGGACTCGCCTTCATTAAACTTTATACTTTCAACGCTCTGTATCAAAGCTAAATCCAAATGATGCGAACTAATTAGACTAGATCACGCGGATACACGTACCACACTAACAATAGAAGTGGGAATGTGAGTCTCTATCACGACGCCTAGACATATTATCGCACATGATCCCTCCCACACACCACCAATACTCGACCTGCGGTTCCAAGATGCTCCGCAAAACCTCTAGACGGGGGAAACAATGCCAACTCCAGCACCCGGACGATCCATTTTCCCCGTCCCATCACAGTCCAACTGCGGACAACACAAACGTGAAGGTGAAAGCAACTCTCATTATGATACAATCTAACCGCTGAACTCTTTGACGTCTGTCTGCTTACCGTTGAGCGCCAGCGGCACGATACCGCTGACGTGCATCTCCGGACCGTAGACGTGCATGTTCAGACCAAGCTCTTGGCCGACACCCTTGATGTTCTTGAGACCCTCCTGGTAGTTGGGGCCGGCACGACGGATCCAGATCTGGACCTTGTGCTCGTTGAGAACGGGAGCGACCTCGCGCAGAGCACGGATGACACCCTTGAATGTGGAGGCGACCTATTAAGGGTTAGTGACAGTAATTTCGAGTATATAGAATGTTAACATACGTTTGTGAAGTTAGCAATACCACCACCGATGAAGAGGACCTTGCCGTCGGGGTGAAGGGGCGCGCGAAGCATAAGATCGAGAACAGTGCGAGCGTAGTGGTAGGTCTGAGTCTCGCTGGGAGCACCAGAATATTCTCCGTAGTTGGCAAGCTCGCTCGCGAAGCCAGCAGAGGCAATGGCATCAGCGTAGACGACCGACGCACCACCACCAGCAACGAGCGTCCATACACGGCCAGTGGAGTTGAGGATGGTAAGCTTGAGGGAGGCACCGGTCTTTGCGTCCATCTCAGCGATGTATGATTCCTCCTTGCTCATCTCACGACCGAAGGGAGCGGGAAACTCCATTGGTGGGCCGGCATCGACGGTCACCTTGACATCTTTGGAGGCGATCTGAGGTATGCCGAGAGCAGTGGCGCTCCGGGCAATAGCCCACTTCACACCGCACTCAAACTCAGCGGTTTGGTCAATCTTGGCAGCAAGATCCAAGAAGTGCACCTCAGCGGAGGTGGCATCGGCGTTGGGGATGACGACGAGAGGGTTGATTTCGAGGTAACTGGGAAAACCGTTAGGAAGGTTTAGTGCAGAAATTTGAGCGTACTTACGTGAACTGGCAGTCAACGTAGACAGCGTATAGTCGGGAGATGAAGTCGACGAGGACGTTGTGCACACCCTTGGGAACTTTCTTGAGGAGGGTTGAGGCAATCTCCTCGTTGGAAGGGTACTCGCTGAGGTCGACGGGGATGAGGAGCTTCTCAGCCTTCTCATCGACATCGCCGACATCAACACCACCCTCGTGTGTGAACAGGATCCAGTCACCCTAATGCGGAAGTGTTAGTGTGGAGCACGTGATGGCGGGATGGGCAGGCGACAAGGAACAAGCCGACGCCACGAACAGAGCCGCATCAAAAGCGCAGTCGAGACGGAAGCGATGCAAGAGCTAGGAATCAGGAACAAAACGATAAGAAACGCAAGGGACGGAACTTTTCTGACTGGTGCAGAACGTGTGGGCCTGGATAAGGGTTTCCCTTCGTCCGGCCGAGTTCCGTGCAGAAGGCAAACAAAAGCCTAGCAGCCGCCCGTGGTGTTCTGGAACCACCTTCCACACCGGGCTTTTGTCATGCTCTAAAGTTTTCCAGGCAAAAAACACTTATTTTCTTACTTCTGGAAAATGCCATCGACAACCGGAGCCAGAACCTGTCCAAAAAGGAAGAAAAAACAAAATCACATACCTCTCGCACCGAGTTGATGTTGATATAATATTCGGTATCCTGAGGATGGGGCACAAACGGCTCCACCAAGAACTGCCTTAGCACACCATCGACCGTCTCGACCTTCTGAGGCTTTCCTGCTCTCGCCTCGATCCACGCGCGGGCATCGGCCCAGGTCTTGTTCAGCGCCAGAAGACCGCTCTTGCCTCGCCGCTTGATCAATTGATCGGGCTTTGCGACGAACTTGGAGCCCGGGACGAGCAGCCACGGATATGTCACCTCGGCCTGGTCTAGGACGTCCTTGGGAGCGGCATCGGCGGGGAAGTGAAGAGACGCAAGCCTGGCGGGAGGATTGTGGGTTGCGGTGGCAGGCAGAGGAGTGGGCTTGATCACGGGCGCGCGGGTCAGGTGGTAGTTGAGGATGGCCTTGCCGTCGGCTTCGAAGATGGATTTGGCAGACATGCTGGAGGATTGGAGCTATTCGGGGAGGTCTGAAGGTGCGTTTAGCTTCTGTCCAAAGTCTGGCTGGAGGAGTGAGAAAAGAGACGGGCGCGCAAGAAAGTATCGGCAATGCGAGGCAGGGCAAGAGCAGAGGGCTGAGGCGCGGTCTCGAGAGGGCACCCGACGACGGCGGAAATTATTGGGGATGGAGAATGGGCTTATGGAAGTCCGAAAGTGATTCTCGGAGGTGTGGACAATCCCCGGAGGCGCATTCCGGCCGAAAAGCGCGGGCGGACTCACCTGGGTGCAGTTGCAGAGACGACGCGAGTTTGAAGAGGAGAAGAGGCACGCAGCAGCGAAGAGGAGGGCAATTGCGGCGGGCGCGAGGGTGCAGCTGAGGAGATGACGCTCAAAATCTTGTCGGTGAGGGCAGCCCGTGGGCGTTGGTGCTCAGGTTGAGCCCGCGCTAGACCCAGGGCCCCGCCAAGCGCGTTCCTGGCCGCCCGTTGGGAACGGAATCCGACAATTTCTGCAGCGCTGAACTGCGGTCTACGACGCCAAAAGACGGCTCCAGCGCCCTCCGCACCGCCTGCGCGCCGCTCTCGTCGCGCGCTCTCGCTGCAGCAAAGCCCCCGCTGCATCGCCGCCAGACACCGCCAGACGCAGCAGGACACGGCACCCAGCGCCCGCTCACTCGCACACACGGCTCCCCAGACCAGGGCCGGCGCTGTGTGGCTGAACCCCGGGCCGGCTGTTTCCCCAACAATTGGGCTGGGCATTGGCCTGATCGCGGGCTAGCAGCTCAACGCCGAAGCGGTGTCCAAACTTCTCTCCCGAAAAGCGTCATCTCGCCGTCTCCCACCACCTCCAGACCTGTCCCCGTCTGCTTCCTCGCCTCAATTGCTCCCGCAACATACATACACTCCCGTACGTCCCCTTCCTGTGCCCTCGCCCGCCGTGCTCTTGTCCCGTCACCGAGGCTGCACGCGCTGAGTCCGGCTGTGCGTTTTTGGTTTCTCTCAGCGCCGGGACTCACGTCAGCACCACTTCCCCAGAGCCCGACCGCCTCTCGCTTTTCAAAACTGCGCGCGTCCAGCCAGCTAACACTCGCGGAACCTCCAGATAATACCGTTTCTCCGCACCCTCAGCCGCGACCACTTCTTCCAAAATGCCTTCCGCGGTGCCCACCACCAACGGCGCTCCCGCGCCAGCGACCTCGACCTCTCTCAATCCAGATGGCCCGTCTGCCAACGACAACATCCGCCGCTTCGCAGCTCCCAGCCGGCCATTGAGCCCGCCCGCCGAGCACACTCTCTTCCATCCCAAGACGCGATGCTTTGTCTAGTGAGCGCCCTTGCAGCCCGCCAAGAGACAATTGGACACGGTGCTAATGGGACTTCTCTACAGCGGCCTCCAGCCCCGCGCCGTGCAGGGCATGCTCGATTTCGACTTCATCTGCAAGCGCAAGACCCCCTCAGTGGCAGGCATCATCTACACGTTCGGCGGTCAATTCGTGAGCAAAATGTGCGCACTTCCAATTTTCACATGACAGCCGATCTGGTTTCGGAGCTCCACTAACGCACTATACAGGTACTGGGGAACTAGCGAGACTCTCCTGCCCGTGTACCAGTCGGTAGAGAAGGCCATCGCAAAGCACTCCGATGTCGACACGGTGGTCAACTTTGCGTCATCGCGCAGTGTCTACAGCTCCACTATGGAGTTGATGGAGTTCCCCCAGATCCGATCCATTGCCATCATTGCCGAGGGCGTGCCCGAACGAGTAGGTGCCAATGCTCCGAATGTCAGAAAATAAGGTTGTGGCTGACACGTGCGACAGCGCGCCCGCGAGATTCTCCACGTCGCGCAGAAGAAAGGTATCACCATCATTGGCCCGGCCACTGTCGGTGGCATTAAGCCCGGTGCGTTCAAGATTGGTAACACGGGTGGCATGATGGACAACATTGTTGCCTCCAAGCTCTACCGCCCCGGCTCCGTCTCATACGTCTCCAAATCTGGAGGTATGTCCAACGAGCTCAACAACATCATCGCAAACACGACCGATGGTGTTCTTGAGGGCGTTGCGATTGGTGGTGACAGGTACCCGGGTACCACATTCATCGACCACGTGCTGCGGTACCAGGCCGACCCCAACTGCAAGATCATCGTCTTGCTCGGTGAGGTTGGTGGTGTTGAGGAATACCGTGTGATCGAGGCTGTCAAGTCCGGCCGAGTGAACAAGCCAATTGTCGCATGGGCCATCGGTACTGTTGCTGGCCTGCTCAAGACTGAGGTCCAGTTTGGTCACGCCGGTTCGTTCGCCAACTCTCAGCTCGAGACAGCTGTGGTGAAGAACAAGTCTATGCGCGAGGCAGGCATCTTTGTCCCTGAGACCTTCGAGGACATGCCAGGTACGCTTGCCGAGGTCTACCAGAAGCTGCTCAAGTCTGGCACCATCAAGCCCAAGCCAGAGCCCGTCGTCCCCAAAATTCCCATTGACTACTCCTGGGCGCAGGAGCTTGGTCTCGTCCGAAAGCCCGCCGCTTTCATCTCGACCATCTCCGACGACCGTGGTCAGGAACTTCTGTACGCTGGTATGCCCATCTCGGACGTGTTCAGGGACAACATTGGAATCGGTGGTGTCATGTCGCTACTATGGTTCCGTCGCCGCCTTCCCGACTACGCCAGCCGCTTCCTCGAGATGGTGCTCATGTTGACTGCCGATCACGGGCCCGCTGTGTCGGGTGCCATGAACACCATCATCACCACCCGTGCTGGTAAAGATCTTATCAGCGCGCTAGTCAGCGGTCTCTTGACTATTGGCTCGCGATTCGGTGGTGCCCTTGACGGTGCTGCGGAGGAGTTCACCAAGGCCTACGATAAGGGTCTGAGCCCCCGTGACTTCGTGGACACCATGAGGAAGGAGAACAAGCTCAGTAAGTGCTCCACGATCTTCCGTTGGTGACATAGTCTAACAGTTCTTAGTTCCCGGTATCGGTCACAGAATCAAGTCGCGAAACAACCCCGATCTTCGTGTCGAGCTGGTGAAGGAGTTCGTCAAGAAGAACTTTGCCAGCAGCAAGATGCTAGACTACGCGCTTGCCGTCGAGACGGTGACGACGTCGAAGAAGGACAACCTCATCCTCAACGTCGACGGATGTATTGCTGTGTGCTTCGTTGATCTGCTCCGCAACTGTGGTGCCTTCAGCGCGGAAGAGGCTGAGGACTACCTCAAGATGGGCGTTCTCAACGGTCTGTTCGTGCTCGGCCGGAGTATCGGTCTCATTGCCCATTTCTTGGACCAGAAGCGTCTGCGGACTGGCCTCTACAGGCATCCGTGGGACGACATCACCTACCTCCTCCCCAACCTTGCTGGAGGAGCACCGGGCAACGAGGGCCGTGTCGAGGTCAGCCTCTAAGCGGGGACTTGTGCGGATATGGGTTATGGTTATTGGAAGAGTGTTCTGTCATTGGGCCCGGGATAGGAGTTGCTGCTGCTTCTTACACAGCTGTGGTCTGCTTAGTTAAAGACATTGTGCGCGGGTGTAGCATAAGATTCTCAGAGATCTGAGTAGAGATAATTCGAGGCGGTTCTTCATCGTTACAAATGCACTACTGCTAGTCCATGAAGACTAACAACCACTAATGAGAAAGAGACCTGCCGACACTCCGAGGACGTGACTCCGCTCCCTCCATGCCGCTCCCTCCATAGGTATTTGCGGAATAAGCCGTGCAGCCTTACACCACGCGACTGACCTGTCGACATGGGGCCACTGTTGCCAGAGGCTGGGCGTCAGGCGTGCATGATTCGAATCCTCAGCACGCAGTGAGACAGATGCTAACCGCATGCATCCGGCTGATAGGCTTATCGGCGAGCTGCGCTGGTGACCTTTCAGCCAAGCTCGTCGTCGACCACGCCCCGCCCATCACGGTCCCACATGTCCAATTGCAAACCGAGGGAGCCCTGCCTTGGGCAGAACCTCGAGTGTCTTTGTTGCAGGCCTCTCTCTGTGACGGCAATGATTGCCGTACGACCACACCCCCAAGGCGGCTGCGGACAAAGGGCCTTGGGCGCGCCCCCCCGGCCATGCCACCATCATCATGCAGGCGGCTGCGGCGGGGTAGCTCCAACAGGGCGAGCTCGGAGCTGTGCACAGCTAGGTAAAAGAGCTATCACGCAAGGCTGCCAAGCGCCGTTTTCTGCTGTGATAAGCTGCCTCTGCCCTGCTTTGCGTGCTCGAGCTGCAGCGGCCTCTGTCTTGGCTCAGGCAGCGCATCCGCCTCTTAAGTACCTCTTTGACGCCTTTTCTGGGTCCCTCCGTCAGCTCTCCCGCTCTCGTCTCGTCTTTTGACACCGCTTCCCCGCTTCCCCGCCAGCCCAGCCACCATGATTGCGCTGGTTATTGCTATCTTTGCTGCGGCCTGGCTGTTGCCGGAAATCAACGCTGCCGAGGATAATTCGCAGATTCAGGTCCATGGAAGTGTGATATTGTAAGTTCCGACATGAGATGTTGGAAGCGGGAACTGACTGAAGCTTGACAGCGCTCGCACTGGCGAGAGAACGCCCGTTCTCGAGTCGAACACTCCTCGGATCCTCACTTCTCTGGGCGCAAATCAAATGTATGAGCTCGGAAGCAACTTTAGAGGGTATGAGCGACCAAGAGTCCAAGAAATCCTTTGTTCGTGCTCTCTATCTGACATGCAACTGCAGTCGCTATATCAACTCATTCGACGGGCACATTGGCCTTGGGCAGCAGCCTATTTCTGGGCTTTCGTCTAATGTTGGTGAGTTAGCCAGGCTTTGAAGTCCTGTTAGAGTGAGCCTAATGTCATGTGCCGTAGTCAACAATGACGAGATTTATATCCTCACCACAGACAGCTCATACACAATAGCCTCAGCCCAAGCGTTCATGCAGTACAGCATTACCGTACCCAGCCCGCTAGATACGGATTGCTAATCCCGCTTCAGGGGCCTCTATCCCCCATTTACCTTGAATGAGACTACCGCCCAAATGTTAGATGCTACAAACATCTTAGCGAACGGGTCGTACATTGACTATCCACTCTCGGGCTACCAATACCCCAGTATCTATACCGCCTCAGACCTAGAGCCAATGTAATCTACATGCCATCTCTCGTTACTGAGCTCTGCTAATGGATGAGAAGGTCGGTTTGGATAGAAGGGTCAGCCAACTGTCCTGCGAACGACGTGGCTATCGAGGAGTATTATGACACTAAAGAATTCTGGGAAACCCGAAACTCGTCAATGCCACTCTATTGGGCGTAAGTGGTGGGCTCTGTGATGGCAGACTTAGGCTTACTGAATACTCCTCAGCACTGGATTCAACACGATGTTGAGTGACGTTCTTGTAGAGTCCCAATGGTGAGCTTCAACCCCGTGTAGTCTTCGAGTTAACAGTTCCATTTAACAAAACGTCAAGGGATTACTCTCATGTATGAAGAAGCCGCAGCCCTCGATGGTATCTCAGATGTAACTGACAAGGCAGGCCTATCTCATCTATGACTACCTAAACTACCAATATTCGGTGAGTTCTCTCAAATTTTTCTACTATGGCCTTTCGCTAACGATGTCGTGAACAGCATGACCAAGATACCTATGAGCTTTTCTCGGAGAACGATACCTTCGCGGGCGCCTACGACGAGCTCAGGTTCCTCGCAGATCAACAAGAGTGGGGACTCTATGGCAACATATCCGCAGATTCTGATTCTCAGATCAGAGCTATAGTAAATCCCCACTTTTCCCGGTCTCACAATTCGTGTGACTAAGCGATCAATAGGCAGGCAAAACTCTGGCTGCGAAAGTTCTTGGACAATTCCAACAGCTCGTATCTGCCAGTGGTGAAACGCCAAAGCTCACTCTATTTGGTAAATCTTATCGAGTGTCTGAAGCATGGTGTAACGCTAACATATCTTGAAAAGTCGGCGAACACGAACCTTTCGTTTCATTTTTCTCCCTTGCTGAGCTGCAGTTTCTGAACTCAAATTTCTTCGGCATGCCAGAAGTAAGCCTTCTTGAGCTTCTCATCTACTGATCAGTACTAACATGCATTCCCAAGTATGCTAGCGCAATGGTATTCGAGCTTTTCTCTGTCGGTAATAATGACTCGGGGTTCCCGACCGACGAAACTGATCTCTGGTAACTGCTAGATCAATATCGTCTCTCCTAAACGCATGGCTAACATGTCCAGGATTCGCTTCCATTTCCACAACGGAACAGATATCGCAGCAAACGGCACTTTGCAGTCCTTCCCTATGTTCAACCGCGGCCCCAGCCAGACGGACATGCCATGGCTCGACTTCGAAGACATGATGTCGCGAATTATGGCAAGCACTCCAGCCCCAAATCCGCAGCCCCCTCACTAATACCGCTTCAGACCTCCAGCGTTCTCGACTGGTGCAACGCATGCAGCTCCCAGGCGTTCTTCTGTCTCGCATTCGACGACACCATTGTCATAAACAGCACATCTCACAGCAGCGACATGACTCCCCAGGTCGCCGGCGTCATCGGCGCAGCCGTAACCCTCGGCGTTCTCCTAATCGCATTCATCCTCGCCCTGCTAGTTGGAGGTATCCGCTTCCAAAAAGTCACTCGCGGCAAAAAATCGGAGCTAGGCGGGTTCAAAGGCTCAGATAAGCTCCACAGCGACGCGGACCTCAACCTCCCCAAGAATGGCGCTGTCGCAGGCATCGTCAGCATGGGAAATGGCGATAAGAAAGAGCCGAAGGAGCGTGTTGGCAGCTGGGAACTCCGCGCCAAGGAGGGTGGTAAAGATATGGGAGACAGCATCAGTAGACGAGAGAGCCTAGACGAAGAAGCTGGCGTGAGTCCCTATGCTAAGCCTGTGGCGCCGAATGAGACAGTGTAGGGAGAAGTTGGGACGCATGAGAGATATGACTGATTTCTGAACGCTCTTTTACGATACATGGTTGGAGTTTTAGCGATGCTGGAAGGAGCGATATATCCGGCTTGGCTTTGAAGGTTTATGGTTTCTTTACTCTGCTTCTTACGACACGGTATACCCCCCGGCAACATTATGGGCGTTTACTCTTGGATTTTTGAGAGATTTGGGAGTTTTGGTGGTAGTCAGACGGCACATGAGGACTTCTCGAGGATGACATGATTTATGTGGTCGCGTGAAAGAATTGCTCCCGTATAATATGCTTGGAGGCTTGGTCCGTAAGTCGGCATAATATATGCTTTCGCGGTTGAATGAAAATCTATGCCTCTAATCCTCACTGGTTTTCTCTGTGACGTATTTTCTTGGGATTCACTCTTCCATCAATTGCATATCTGAATTACCTCGCATCTCACCGCCTCGAATGTGTGTATGGCGGACGGTGGCTGAGGACTTCTTGTGGGGCGTCTTTGCAACATTCCCTTCCTCTCTTCACCTCCGGGGGGCTTCATTTGTCGAGGTTCAATATTGCCTTCAGGGGAATGTACAGACATGGAAAGTGTGGAAGGTAGATGGAGGACTTGGGGGACGATGAGGGAGGACGAGAAGAATCGCACGGACCCTTCACTTTCAAACCTGAGTGTGCTCATACTGTGTATAACGCCTTGTCCAGGCGTGTGTACACCCTCTAGAATCCGAATGAGAAATAATCTCGCCAATATGAACAGTCCGGAAACTTGCGAGGCCAGCCCAGACAGCCGCAAGGTGTTGTACACATCTTCATTATATGATGGAAAGCCCCAGACTTCTTTAAGCACACTAGCAATAGTAGGTCTGTGTAGAGGCGGACGGCGCGGACACAAATGAGGGACGAAAGGGCCGCACGGACTCTTCACATTCACCCCGGTGTGCGCTTCGTGCAATGCCTTGCCCCAGGTCTGTGTATGCTTTCTTGCCACTATCATAGGTGCTTCGGCCCACTTTTAAAGGTCTAAACAAGACATATTTGAACGGTCGATAAAGTCACTGGGTCACCACAGTCGGCGACACGCTCGTTTACTTTCATAACTGTGATTTGGCTTAGCGCGGACACTAGCGCGGATCGAGAGCCTTAAACAGACAACCCTCACACCGGCACGTCCACCATCATGGCGCGCCCCAAGAACTCCAAGAACAGCTCAAAGAAAAAGAGATCGAAGGCCAAGAAGACTCACAATGCCCCCCAAGAGCCACAGCTTCCCCTCGCAGACCCGCAACTGGAAAGCCGCCTAATGCAACTTCCTGGCGAGCTGCGCAACCAAATCTACGCCCATCTGTTCAGCTCCACTCGGCTCACGTATGGCGATCGATCTACCGGCCGTATCACAAATATAAAGATGAAGAGTGCCCCGAACTCTCTCGCGATACTCCGTACTTGCCGTCAAGTTTATCGAGAGGCTGCAACTCTCTGGCTTGGTCTGGTTCTATTCAATTTCGAACATGTCGAGGCTCTGCTCGATAAATTCTCTCCGTTGCCTACAGAAACCCTATCGAAAATACGCTACGTCCGTACGCGAGGACATACTTTGATGCTACAGCCAGTCGGCGATGATGTCGACGTTTATTACAGACTCGCCGAATCACTCAAGCTTCTTCCCGAATTGCGTCTAGATACTCTCACCATTCTTGGGCCTGCTGAAGGAGACATTGCTTACGACACTCTCGACGGATTGATCAAGCACGGCAATGGCTGGAAGGAGTTGCACTTCATCACACCCAACTCCAAGATGCTGGGTTTCGCTAAGCTAGACATGTTCATGATGGATCCATATTGGCGTAAGCCTCAGCCTAGCACATGGAAGGCAGCTCTACTCGAGCGTGACTCCATGGTGGGCTCCACCAAAGCTACAGTCACGATCTACCATTCCACTCAAGCCAGCGTATCTGGCTCTGTCATCGATCCCCGTACTCGCCAACTCTTCGAGCAGTCGGTCCCCCGGAAGAAGGACAGCTCGAAATTCGGGGTGGCAGCAGACACGGCTCCTCTAGCGGAAAAGAAAGAGTTGCTAGTGATAGCGAGGCGGGGCCAGGGGGCTGACATTGCAGAGCGATCAAGGCCTCCATTTGGAACGAACGATATTCGGGAGTGGGCGTATGGGATGACGTGGGCAGAGATTAGACGCCAGTGCATCGACTATCTCGATGACAAGGACGACTTTTACCTCTCGGACGAAGACGATGAGTCTGATGAGGACAACGAGGGTTCTTCTGGCAGATGGAAGCTCAAAGAAAATGCCCGGATTGACAGCTACAACCATGTGGACGACATTGAATGGGACAGGACCGAGTAGATGGGCCTTCTTAAAGACGAGGCAATGTCATCAATGGGCTATGTCCTGGGCGGGATGTGTCCTGGTTTTGGCGGGAAGATGGGTGGTGAGTAGTGGTACGTACCGTCATCTGAGGTGGCCTGGCAAGCTGTCAGGTCGCCCAAAATGATTCACTTATATGTCGTCTAGAATCGTGAAAATGTTTCTAATGACCTCAAACGGTGACAACCAAGTGTACACAGGCATGTATCCAACACAACATACCTGCTTCGGATGCTGAAAGTATGGAGTAACCCACAGAGCCGACAGAACTCCCTCACTACCGCTAACTGTGCTCCAAAACTTCCCAAGATAATAGTCGTTCACATATGCGCGTGGTTCCCACATTACATATAGGAAAATCACCTCAAATGGCTTACAAATGACGTGTGATTTAAAGCAAACTTAGGACCCTGCCTTTGTGTTACGTTGAACAGCGCGTATTCTCGCTCCCCACTCAACACACATCGCACACCTGTCCTTCTTGCACCAACGCCTGCCATCATGCCGCACCCCAGAAAGCGCTCCAAGAAACTTTACGATGTCCCCGACGAATCTTCCATAGCAGTGCAGCCTTCCTCGAGCCGACTCATGCAGCTTCCGGGCGAATTGCGCAATCAAATCTACGACCATCTTTTCAGCTCAACCACGTTAACGATTCACAAGCGACTTTGGGGGGAGCAGAAGGAAGGCCTAGCGATACTCCGTACTTGCAGTCAGATCAATCGAGAGGCCGCACCTCTATGGCCCGGTCTAGCGCTGTTTGATTTCCCGTCAGTCGAATCGATGCTCAATACTCTCCTCTCACTACCTCCAACTACGCTATCTAGGATCCGTCGCCTTCGTATGCCAGGGTACGATTTGATGCTCAAGCCAGTTCATTACGTCGACGGCGCGTACGAGAGGAACGAAAACGCAGTGTACTATAAGCCCGCTATGGTGCTCAAGCTTCTTCCAGGACTACGTCTAGATGTTCTTACTATGAGAACTACTGTAGATCAAAGTTCTGATGGCGCTAGCGCCTACGCAGCTCTCAGCGGCCTGATCGAGAATGGAAACGGCTGGAAAGAGCTTCATTACATCGCCAGCTATTCCGACATGCTCGGTTTCAAGACATGCCAGTTGTGGGACCAGGACATGTATAGGCGCAAGCCTCAGCCGAGCAATTGGAGCAGCATCCTATCCGAACGCGACGGTGCAGACTCCAAGCCTACTGTGACAATCTACCGCTCGACTCAGCCCGACACACCTGGATCTGTCACGGAGTTGGCCACTCATGAGCTCTTCGAGCAAGAGATACCTTTGGAGGAAGATTATCCAAGGTTTGGGTTGCAGGCGGACAATGCGCTTTTGGCCGATAAGAAGGAAATGCTGGTGATAGTGAAGCGTGGCAAAGGCGTCGACATTATGGAAAGATCAGAGCCTCCGTTTGGATTAGATGACATTCGGGAATGGGCGCAAGGCATGACATGGGCGGAGATAAACTACCACTCTCTCGGTCGGGGTGAGCTTGACGCTCTCAACGAGTAATCGCACGACGGCTGTTCTTCCAATAAAGATAAAGATTCGGAGGATGGTCATGACAGCTCGGGGTAAAATACTCTCGGTATACGCTTTGCGGGTTAAGTTTAAGACAGTAAGGAACTCACTTATGGTGAGGAACTGTAGTTACAACCACACTCCCCTTCGCTCCTTCGTCCACAGCCATCTTTAAAATTCAGGTCTCATTAGATCACATTAACTTTTCCTATCCCTAGGATACGTATTCACAAATAAACCCCTCTTCATAATCATGCAAATACCCATGCCAATACACCATATCCGTACCCTTAATCTCCATTTCCAATTTCGTCCCGCTTAAACATGACTAAAAACTCTAAAAGAACCCATCATACTCTACACCTCGTTGCTGGGATACGTAACCTTGTCCGTAGACACAAACTCTTCCTTAATGGCCCTCAGATTGACGAAGCGGCTCAACAGATTCGCGCTGCCCGCCTTGTCGTTGGTACCGCTGGCCCTGCTGCCTCCGAATGGCTGCTGACCAACAACAGCACCGGTGCATTTGCAGTTGATGTAAAAGTTGCCTGCAGAGTTGCGGAGCGCGTCCTCGGCGTATCGCACTGCCTCCCTGTCACTGGCGAAGATGGCGCCGGTCAGCGCGTACTCGGATGTCGAGTCGATCTGCTTGATGATGCTTTCGAAAGCGTCAACAGGAGCGGTGTTGTCATCGTAGACGTAGACCACGAGGATGGGACCGAAGAGCTCGCGGGATAGGAGGGGGTGGTTCGGGTTCGTGGTCTTGTAGATGGTGGGGTGGATGAAGTAGCCCTTGGACGAGTCGTGCTTGCCACCAACCAGCAGCTCAAGCTCTTTATCATTCTTGGCTTCGTCGATGACGGAAGAGAGCTTCTTGAAGGAGGCCTCGTGGATCACGGGGCCGATGAAGTTAGAGAAGTCCAATGGGTCCCCGACCTTCAGTGCTTCGGTCTCGGAGACTAGGCGGGTTTTGAAGGCGTCCCAGACGGACGAGGGGACGTAGGCGCGGGAGCAGGCGCTGCACTTCTGGCCTTGATACTCGAAAGCTCCACGTACTGTGTTGACGGCGGCATTGTCGACGTCGGCGCTGGGGTGGATGAGGTGGTAGTTCTTGCCACCGGTCTCGCCCACGATGCGAGGGTAGCCGCGATATTTGCCTGCTGCGACGCCTTCTGCAATCTTGCCATACAGAGAGCGGAAGACGGCTGTGCTACCGGTGTAGTGTAGAGCTGCGAACTCTTTGTGTGCGAGAACCGTCTTGGTAACTTCCGCAGCATCACCAGGGATCCATTGTATGACGTTTGGAGGTAGTCCAGCTTCCATCAAGATAGAGTATATGAGCCAGTTGGAGGCGATAGCGGAAGGAGAGGGCTTCCACACTACAACATTACCCATCAAGGCAGGGGCTGCAGGGAGGTTGGCACCGATGGCTGTGAAGTTGAAGGGTGAGACGGCGTAGACGAAGCCTTCCAGAGGCCTATATTCGACGCGGTTCCATACACCCGGTGAATTGTGAGCCGGCTGGTGACTATAAGTCTCCTCAGCATACTTGACGTTGAATCTCAAGAAATCGCAAAGCTCAGCAGCAGCATCGATCTCTGCCTGCCATGCATTCTTGCCCTGTCCTACCATAGTGGCAGCCATGATCTCATATCTGTATTTCGTAGAGATTAAATCTGCAGCCTTCAAGAAGACAGCAGCCCGGTCTGCAAACGGTAGTGATTCCCATGATGACTTTGCTGCCAGAGCAGCTTCAATAGCTGTGCTGACTTCTTCGGGGCTGGCGTTGGAGTATTTGGCCACGACGTCAGAGTGAGATGCGGGGTTGTGCTGCGTCAGGACGGAGGAGCCTTTGATCTTACGGATGGTCAACCCAGGAAATTGAGATATGGGAGAACAGAGTTCACTTACTTGCTTCCCGGCTACTACGATTGGCACTTCAAGAGGTGTTTGCTGCTTCAGAGCTGCAAGAGCATCCTGAAGCTTCTGCCTGTCTTCAGAACCTTTGGCATAGTGTTTCTGGGAGCAAATATCAACATTAATGTTTTTTCATGACAAACAGACCATATGCTTACATTGGGCTCATTGTTGACTGTCGGGACCTTGAAGTTTGCAATAGAGGCCATGGTTCTTTTTTGCGATCTCGTGGCGAGTGATGAAGTTTGGAGGGCACACCGATTGATCTGTACAAGAGATTGTAAGCCTTTAGAGGAAGACATTTCGCAATACAGAAGACGGATTGAATTGATACAATGGCAAGGCAAGCAGCGTACTTTTAAAGGTGTTGTAGGAGCAAACCAGAGTGGATATTGTGAATACTTAAGCCGTTTGAACCGTGCGTCAGATGCGGCTTTCGTCGGTTCAGCTTGAGTGGGGTAAAAAGCTACAGAGAGCTGCGCCATATCGGAGCCTCGAATCGCGATTTTGCTCCAGACCTGCCTGATCTCACTTACAAAATGCTAAGACGGAGGCCGATATCGCAAGTCATTCAGATTTTTTTGAGTAATTAATCATTCGACAGGACGTTGATGTTAGCTTCTAGAACCCTGAAGCTGGAAGGAGGCATGTATGCAAATACAACTTCTGTTTAGAATGGCACTGAACAGAAGAATGCGCAATAATATCGTCTTCAAAAGCCGATTAGTAGATGGTACCATGGTCGATTCTGTCATCGAGAGTCGTAAATACAGTGATCCCATAGTCACGTTGGACAAAATGCACCAAGACTCCAACGCCTCTGACCATGCTTTTCCGTAGAGCAAGGCATCATCATACTTCCATGGTATCAACCGCATCATCAGACCCATTGCCCCAAAGACCTTCGATCTTGAACTCAGCAGCCAACTCCTTGACAATCTCCTTTCGGTCGCCCACGGGAGCCGCTTCCCCAGCCTTAGCAGGCACAGTCGATTCAGGAGCAATTTGTAGTACGGGAGGATCCATCCAGCCCTGGATCCTACCGTCTCTCCAGTCTGTTATGACTGTCTGTGCCGCGCTGTGAAGATTCGGCACTCCACCTTTCCCTAAACGTCCTCGCTTCCTCGCCACTTGGACCAAGAAATCCGTAGTCAGATCGCCATTGGTAGACATCAGTGGTGGTAGACCATAGACGTCCAAAAGCTTCGCAAACAGCTCCGGTGACGAGGAAAGTCTCTTGAGGAGCAGGGTCACTGCTGGAGCCGGGTCTTGGATCTCTTTGGGCGGTACGGCGTTGAGGAGGACCAGCCTAGCGTGTTCCTCAATCTTGCTAGTTTTGGAGGTGTCGACTGAGCGTGATTGTACAATTCCAGGCGAGTCGAGGAGCTTCAACTTGTTGTCCAGTTTGACTTCCCGCATGCTTGTAGTAACTCCGGCCTCAGCCCCCGTAGGGCATGCCCCGGCTCTCCCTCCGAGTCTCATGGATAGAGCATTGATGACGGAGCTCTTTCCAACATTTGGGTAACCAAGTATGCCCACTGAAACTGCGCGCTTGAGCTGTCTTCCTTCTGCAAAGGACTTGAGTGCTTTGAATAAAGTCTCTGAAGTCCCCTTGATCGTCAAATGTTTGTGGTCAAATATCCGAGCATTCGGCGCTGGTTTCGATGCTCGGAGTGGTAGCGTGGGGAATGATCTGCCGAGATGGATCATCCAGCCCTTCAACACTGGTGGAGGTACCAAATCGATCTTGTTCAGCACAAACATGAGGCGTTTGTTACCAGAATCAGCAGCAGTGATCATGCGCTCAACCTCTTTCGACCTCGTGCCTTCAGGATCTCTGGCGTCTAGGACGTAGAGAATGACGTCTGCGGCGTCTACGACTTTTTCGAACTCCTTCCGGAAAGCTTTCATTGAGGAGTCCTTGCGAGTGGAAGAGTTAGAAACACCAGCAGCGTTGTCATCAATGCCAGCCCAGCCCTCTTCGTCATCCTCATCCATTTCATCAGCGCTGTCGCTCTGATTTGCCTTGTCATGCTCTGCGGCGCGTGCTAATGCGGAAGCTACGAATGCTGCCATTGGATTGGCATCCGAATCGTCCTATAGAGTTAATGGTGGACCTGAAAGTGGGACATCTGAACATACCACTTGCATGGAGTCTTCCTCATCCGTGCCGAGTTCATACAACGCATCCTCATCTTCCTCATTTTCCTCTAAGCCCTCAGTAGCTTCTGTATCCGCTACAGCAGTACCTAGCCTCTGAGCCTTTGCAAGATCCTTCTGTCGCGCATTCTCGTCTTCCTTCTGCCTCCTCTTCTCCTCAATTTCCTGCAGGATCTTGTCTTTATACGGGAATAGGTTGGGGATTCCAGGGTCCTTCTTGAGTCGCGAGCGCCATTCGGGGTTCTGTTTGATTGTCAATGGATGCTTTCTTGGCTTGCATATATCTGCATACCTTCTTCGCAAGCTTTCGTGCTTTGCGCTGTTTCGCAGCACCTGCTTTTTGGATATTGTGTCGCAGCCGAACAGGCACACGCTTCGAGGTGGGTTCTTTAAATATAGGTTAGCATTATGAGATAGGTAGAATAGATATCGTAGGGCGCTTACTTCCAACTTTCGGCATCGTTGCTGTGTGTTGGATGTCTGGTCGCGGTGATTCTCGAAAATTCAAGTGATGTGCCAAGATTTCAGGGCGGTGAGAAATTGCGTCCAACCAGGGCATTTGGGGCTTGACCTCACGCGGGGCACGAAGAAAGTGGCACACTAGACCACCAAAATCAGCATATTTATTGTGCCACTTTTTCCTAGTGACCGTCACATGATAGTTGTCTCCATGAACTACGGGAGTGCTTCACAGCAGTAAGTTCCGTAGCCTTTTACAAGGGATATATGATGGTGAAAAGAATATCTCATTAAGATACAACGACAACTTATAGGTCCGTGCACACTCGTCCGCCACTGCTAGTGCCCTCATGGTATTTCTAAAATATAGACGCAATTCTATTAGATGCTGTTGCATGAAACTTGGTTTCCCTCAGTGATACTCCAGATGTATTACTCTGTGCCCAGACTCATGGCCGGCCCTGGTACTGTTTCAAGTAGCATTGAAGGACTTGGGACCTTGTTTATCAGGTGTTTTTGAGAGAAGCCCGCGTCACCACATCCCATTCAGGTTATGCACATGAAGCATTTGAGATAACGTTGGCACAGTACGAACGGCAACAAAGTCGTGAGGGGCAGGGTAAGCGAACTCAATTTACGAGTTCAAAAAGGCGGGTAGGTTACCCAAGGAAGTGTAGTGCCCCACGTGCATCGGATCAAGTATCATTCTCTATCACTCGCCTTCTACATGGATGTTGACCATAAAAGACATCCACACTCATTTTAAATTAGGCTCCAATCAGATTTGTTTTGCACGATGGGGAGCATAGAACCGACCTTCTCCGCACCTGCGGAAGAGCACTCTTTCAATGGGCTGGTATGTGGCTCAAGTCACGCTATAGGCCACAAGAATCTTACCAACTCCAGCTTTTCGACATGGATGGAACCATTATCGATTCGACGGATGCGGTAGTCAAGCATTGGCAGAAGTACTGGTCCCCCAACGCCGGTGACCTCATTCGCTCATGTCGTCAGGATAGGAAATGAGCTCGGCGTCGATCCAAACGTTATTCTAGCTACATCGCACGGGCGGAGATCGATAGATACTCTCCAGATCTACGAGCCCAAGCTGGCGAATTGGGAATGTCAGTCCACTTCTTCCCCCGATTCTGGGTGCGGCTTTAATGGTGTTTTGGTAGACGTCAGCCACATTGAAGGACTGATCCCGAAGCAATTTGGAGCCGACGCTGTGGAGATTGCGGGAGCCCGGGAATTACTCCAGCAACTCGAGAAGAGTTCTGTTCCCTGGGCAGTGGTGACTTCAGGTACGAGGCCTTTGGTGAACGGCTGGCTCGATATTATGAACTTGGCTCGTCCGAAGAACCTTGTAGTGGCGGAGGACGTCGAGCACGGGAAGCCAGACCCTGCATGCTACCAGCTGGGCCGATCTAGGCTCGACGTGCCGCGAGATGCTTCGATGCTGGTACTGGAAGACGCACCCGCAGGCGTGCGAGCTGGCAAAGCTGCAGGGTTCAAAGTCGTGGCTCTGGCGACAACGCACACGCTGGAACAGCTCAGAGAGGCCGGCGCCGACTGGATCGTGCAAGACATGCGCAGTGTGAAGCTCATCGGATGGGATAAGAGCACGAGAGAGGCGAGGATCCAGATTTCCGACGCGCTGGTCTGGCGGACGTGAAGCCTGGAGGGTGGTGTCCAAGTCAACTTGCATTGCACGGTGTTGTTCGCAGTACCCAATCCAGCGTAGATACATGTTTCCTTAAAGAATGTCTCGCGGTACAGGGCATGATTGATGGAGTTTAGATCGAATCAGAACCTCAGCATTCCACGTCCCCCGGGCATGGCTCTCATTCGACGTGGTCGACACATCGGTACGACCAAGTCACATGGGTGGAGTGTTCGCATGGCCTTCTTATCGTCGAATAGGTGTGTTGCATCGCATGGACAACTTCAGGAGTACGAGTTTCTCGCCATACCGTGAAGGTTTCTAGAACGGTCACAGGTTACAGCGCATGGCCGACGTCATACGGCCGATGATCCGAATGCTTCTCCTTACTTTTGGCAGCGTGAGGGCCTCTGTGTGACGGCGGTTTCGACGGAAAGATTACGATCAACCCGCCCCGACAGCGATCGGTCACAAGAAGCAACGGCTGCAAAGGGGATATCAAATAGAGGGCATCATGAGAGTCAGTCCCTCCACGCGGTGCAACCAATGCCTTGCCGGCGTGGCATCAGCTGGCGGACTCGCGCCTGGCTATCACGACGTCGCCGGCCTGTCACCTCCCCAGACCACGACGGCTGGCTCTCCAGCGCTTGGGGTAACGGTTACTCGGTGCGCCTGCGAGGCACGGCAGAGGCACGGCAGACCTTGCGTGGAGCAGTTCATCGTCGGTTGCAGGATGGTTTGGTAGGACGGCGGCGGCGCGAGGTCTGGCTGCTGCAAGGTACGATGGTGACTGATACCAGCAGCCCGCGGCCCTTCCGAGAGCCATACGGGAGGCGCTGCATGCCCCTGGGAGGTGCAGCTTCGCGCCCGCAACGGACCGGCCACAGTGGCACAGCGGAGGAACAGCGGCGGCCGGCCCAGGCGGGCAGAGTCTGGCCTGCTCGCGGGTGGTGAGGCGCTTCGCGGGCGGCCCATGGCATCGTCGTCCAGCTCGCCGAGGTGCTGGATGGGTGACGAGCAGCCTCAGCACCGACGAGTCGCGGCTCGCAGCAAAGCCGGGGTCAGGAACAGCGGTTACAGTAGCGGGCGGCAGCCTCACGCAGGACCAGGCTCGCTGGGGGACGCGCTGGGGGACGGGCTGGCCGGCGGCGGCGGCGCTGGTGTCGTGGGTGTCGTGGGTGTCGTGGGCGGCCGTCTCAGCACAGCGCCCGGCCTGGTCGAAATTCTCCGGCGTGCTCTGTGCGGAGGCTGGTGCCGGTGGTGATGCGAGAAGAGGGCATGGTGCGATCTCCCGCGCGGACGTGGCAGCGTGGCAGCGTGGCAGCATCGCGATTGCAGCAGCGATTGCCAGAGGCACGGAAGGGGCCGTGAGGAGAGCGTCCGCCATGCCCATCATGCCCCTATTGCACCCAAGCCCAGCGGATCAGCCGCCCGCCCCGCGCGCCGGCGAATCAGCAGCGCGAGGGACGGGCAGAGGACAGGGCGGCCTTCGCACGGCGGCCGTCCAGGTCGTGGAGCAGCGCGCGGGAGCTTGGGCGAGCAGAGTTGCGTCGGCCCTGGCGGTGCGGTGCAGGCCGCAAGTCACAGGCCGCCCGTGCCAGTCGCAGCAGACGCTGACTGAGTGCACGCCGGGCCAGAGGCCTGCGAGGAGGCGCATCGTCCTGCGTGGGGTGTTATTTTGGGCTGGTCGCTGGGCTGGTCGCTGGGCTGGTCGCGGAGCTGCACGCCTGGCCGTCTGTCTTGGAGGCGCCGGCCAATCGACGAGCTCCCGCACGTCGGGGCCCTGGGCGTCGCTTGCCGGGCGCTCAAGTAAAGTGCAACGCCCAGCCCGATTCTCCTGACCTGACGCCGTCCCGACACCATCATCGACTCTCCGCCGCACGCACGCTCGCTCGCTCCAGCATCCCTCCTTCGTTCGGCCTCGATGTTGTAGCCCAGTCACTCGTTATAGTCCGCATTGCCCGCCTCCGACGCCCCGCTCCGCTCCGCTTTCCTGCGCCCGCTCCTCCGTGCTGAGCCAGCCTTGCAAACCGCCGACAGCCCCCTCGCCGCAGACCTCGCGACCTCGAGCCGACCGCGTCGCCCGCCGCGTCTCCCGAGCCTCCATCATTACCGCCTCGCGGAGCCGTCGAGGATGGCCCAGTTCGGGTCCTCGATGCGCGCCTTCACGACCGACGGCGAGGGCCCGAGTGCTCACAACTTGGGCCCCGCCCGCCTCCCCAACGGCGCGATGAAGCACGAGTTCGGGCAGAAGCAGCACCCGCAGCTCGTTGCGCCCGCGTGCGGCGACGTGAAGCCGCGGCTCACCAAGGAGCAGCACGACATCCTCGAAGCGCACTTCCAGCAGCAGCACAAGCCGAGCACCAGCACCAAGAAGGGCTTTGCCGAGACGCTCGGCGTGCCGGTGGACAAGATCAACGTATGTATCATGCATCTCTGGCCCGGGTGCCGTGGCCCTGCTGACACGCGTAGAACTGGTTCCAGAACCGCAGAGCAAAGGTGAAGCAGGACCTGAAGAAGCAGATGAGCCAGTTCAACATGAACATGAACATGTACGGCGCCAACCCCGTGCCCATCACCACCGCGCAGTTCCCGCAGCACCCCGAGCAACAGCCGTACCCGCAAGCAACCGCCCAGCAGGACTGCTACGCGGCTGACATCAGCCCTACATGCCTCCCTGTCGATAGCATCGAGGGATCGGCGGCACTGGAGCCGCTCGGCGCGCAGATACCTCTCCACCCCGGCTACGACATGCACATGCTCCGCTCCATTCCTGAGACGGACCGGGGAGCGTCCTATGTGGACAACACGAACGCCGTCATGCAGTCGCTCATGGCAGCAGCAGCGGGGTCGTACATGCACAGCGCGCCGCAAATGCCCTCGCAGGATGCCGCTTATTCCTACGACACCACTGGACTGCCCCACTCGTATCAAAATGACGCTCACTTCCCTCTTGCCTCTACTATTCCTCAGGATATGGGAGCAGCCAATGATATATACTCGAATGGCCTGGATTACAGCAACTTCGAATACGCGAATCTCACGACCACCACATCTGCGCCGAAAGTCGAGAGCTCCGGCTCCCTGTCTTCTGAGCCATCTCCGTACTCTGGTGCGCAATCGTCATCCACAGCGCAGTCGTCTGGCCCCAATGCCATGTCGTCTGTGACTTCTGTTGCTTCGCTGTATTCGAATTGGACTGACGAGCACCATTCTTCAGCCGACATCACGCCCGCAAACCAGCGCGATGATCCTTTCGATCATTCGTACGGCAACATTCCCCAGGCGTCAGCGTCTGAGCAGATGCTGCCACTTTGGACCAGTCAGCCATTCCAGCAACACGAGTTCTACCAACACGCCAATGCGTCCGCACAGGCCATCCTATCGTCTCCAGAGCAAAACGAGCACAAGATCAATCCCAACAACGCAGATCTGGAGCCACCAAACGCCTTCAGCGAGGACATGTACGCTCGCCGGAACTCATCCACGACGGCCCTGACCGAGTCTCTGAACTCGGTTGGCATCCAGAGCAGACAGGGGTCTACAGAGGGCTTCAAGCAGCCCAACCAGCCATCGACCATTGCATCGCGACGACAACGGCGACCCGCAGCGCTGAACCCAACTACCCTCAGGAGTGCCTCGTATTCCAGTGGCATGCCTGCGTCTCCTGGGACGAGCCAGACAAGTGCTGACCACACCCTCCGCCGCATCCGGTCCACAGGTGTAACCAATACGGGTCGTATTCAGAAGTCTGCGCCCGGATCGGCTCAACGTTCGCCGCTCAACTTCACCTTTGCCGAGGCTGCTGCGTCACCTAAATTTGCCCGAACGGCCTCTGGTTTTGCAAGTACGATTGGACCCTCCGGTAGTCTGGCGCCTCCTACGCCATTAACACCAAACGAGATGGCAAGATTCCCATACTGGCAAAGCAACACTGTCATTCGAAGCCAGCAGCCTATGCCGGAGCATAGTACGCCAGAAAGCCTCAATGTCAATTGGTCGACAGAGCCACAGCCAGCCGGCATTTATTCGAATGGTGGTTCCCCCCCTAGCACTCCATTAGATCTGGGGCAGCTGAACCACAGCCGATTCAGCAACAATCCACTGTACAGGGACACGCCACCGCAGTCAGCTCCCGCCACGCAGCAATGCTTCTCTCGGACAGTCATGGCTCCCCCACAGATGCCTAGCGAATATCACTCGACGAATGACCTGACTCTCATGCATCCCAAACCGTCGCACTTCAGACGACCTTCGTTACCGGACACCAATCATGCTTACATGGACAACCTGCATATGCAGTACCCGGTCCAACCTGGCAATGTCGCTGGCGATCTCCAAATTAATTACAACTTCTACAACAAGGACTACATGCCGACTACATCGCAGGAGAACCACCAAGGTCAACCGAATTCCACCATGCCTGAGTTCTATGTGCATGAGTACTCGCCACCTCAGCCCGTGGGCGAGGCCAACTTACCACGTCGGCAACAACTCGACACGCAACCGAAGAACTACATCTTCGCCAATCAAGGCCCACGCGATTTCAGGTGACAATTAGCCTCATGATGTCTCCAAGTCTCAACCTTGGTGTTCGAGCCGACGTGCCCGGACCTAAACATCACGACTCTATCAGTTGACTCCATCGCAGCATAGAACATCGTTTGCGTTACCTTTAGATGGACATCTCCAGACATCTACTACCGCGAGGCCTCACCAACCATATTTACGTTTTGATTTTGATTTGATATACCCGGTCCCCAATGAGGAGGGCCCATGTGTTTTCTTTATTCCGCACTTTCCATTGTCCATTTTGTGGCATATACTCATCTCCTTCTCAGAAGGCAAAAAGGGACTTTCTCGTCTTTCCATTGCTATGGAGTCGTTTCCAGCGTTGGCGTTTCTCACATGATTAGCGATTCTATTCTCAATCCGCGCGGCTCTCATCTGAGCACCTTAATTCTTAATTTTGTCTTTCGGCAAACATATCAATGTCGGTGGGAAAGCTATCTCTTTGTTATTTTACACATACCAGTCTCGGAGCCCTGATGAGGGCACAGGCAACGAATGGATCGAGGGGAATGGAATACAAACGGCGCAGGAAGAGCAAAGAGCGGTTCAGTCCGTGTTCTGAGTTTTTATGTCACGGCTACGCGCAAACAGCACTACACAAGGACGGCCAGAAGGACGGACAGGCAGGTGGATGGCTTGGTCTTCTTCCCGTTGCATATGCACAGACGCTCTCTAATGCTCTAATCTCGTAATGTCTCTCTTGTTATCTTTTCAAGCGCTGCTTTTCCCGCTTTGGAATTGGGGAGGGGATGATTGAAGAGGGTGGATGAGAAAGGAATTGTAGAACTATATGTACACGCCCGCGAGGGGGAAAGGGCGGTATCTCAATCACCAAAGAGCTATTGGATTATGTGTGATATCATTCATCTACCTGTTAATTGCGTGATACGGTGTTTCCAGATGAGGATTGCAGTCAAGGGAGGCAAAGTGGAGGAACATCTTAGCTGCGACGTATCGCGCGGTTGCTAGGAACTAGGACTATCGTATCAAAACCCTTCGTCTCAAGGCTATCCCCCGATATGCGTTTCCCTCTGGCGCCTCCAGACCTTCCACACTTCCCTCGGCAAGATTGAGGATTTCCATCTTTCAATCATGGGCAAGTGGGGCGGTGAGCAGTTACACGAACTTCTGCGCGCGGCTTCCAGTGTTCTTCTTGGACCATTTGACCGCGACCAAAGCGTTTGAGGATTGCGGCGGACAAAGCTGGGCCGCTGTGCGTAATTTTGTCTTTTTCGAGGGTGCGGCGGCATGCGGCAGGGCGCGAGATACTGGGTGCTTCTGTTATACTGCTTGACAACACCCGTCTCCCGTATCTTACTTCGCTCCATTTAGAGCACATCTTCTTCAATACAGAGCTGGTCTACTTTTTGATTGATCATAATGACACCCTGGAAGAGCTCGCGCTCCAGAATTGCTACGCGGGCCAGTCGAAGACCGATGAAGCGTGGGGGATAAAGGGACATGACGTGCAAGTCTCTTTTTGAGTATGCGCTTTCCAACGCCAAACGCCTCCATTCGCTCGTTATTAGCCCATGGCAGTCGCGGGTTCCACAGCCGAAAACCGGTGGGGTCGACGAGAAGGATCCTTCGTGAGGCGGGATAGAAAGCAGGACTCCTGGATGAAAAGATACGCGAAGCTAAGGAGATTTTGGAGGATGAACCTAATAGACCGGTGTTCGCTTACGGCTTCATCAACCCCGCTTCATAGCTAGATGCGCCAGGGTGACGAAGAGGAAAACTTGGAACGATTCTTGGAGGGGGCGGATCGGAAGGCGTATGAGGAACTTCAGGAAATCATCGAAAGGAATAAGAGGTCTCTTGTCAGAGCGCGCGAGGGATGAAAACTGAACATTTTGCCGACCGGATTACTCGCAAGGCCACCTCAGATAGTGGCAGAGAGATGTACACAGGCTGGAAATATCGTCGTAGGATGACCGATATATGTAGAATTGACATAGGTAGAGTTCTCAAGCTCGTGTTGACGGGGTCAGGGTCTGATTTTAGAAGTAGATGTTGCTACCGAGTGACACGTTCTCATCCTTGATTCATCCCAACATCAGATCAATCCATTCTAGATCCTGGGCATCCCAAATGTCTCTAGCAATTCGTCCTATGCCTCTTCGATACGCGACGTCATCTTCCCACTCAATACACATCACATTGTAGTAGTGGTATATGTCGTTGTTACTCTTGTCACTCTTGGGACGCTGTAATTGAGCTCCTCCACCTGATGACTATAGGGATAAGAAGAGGCATAACCCTTAGATAACTCGACAAGCTCCACACGTCTAGAACCAGGTGGCGTGATTTGGTTTTTTAGGACATCGGCCTACGTGCCATCTTGATGTCGAACTGGCACAATGCTCTCGTTGCTTGAGACGTATAGGTACCCTGAGAGCCACTCGTGCTCCTTTATTGACATAGGCTTCTCCAATGATATGAATTCTTTATCAGCGTACAGATATGTTCCTCGTGTCCGACATGACAGAAAGCGAGTTTTAGAATGGTCCTGATAGGAGTCATCTATCTCTGCCAAAGGAATTGGGTACCAGAAGTTCAAGTCCGGAAGTCTTTCGTTTTTGTAGTAGTCATCACGTGGATGAAATTTGATATACCGGCTCCATCCCTGCCAAGGTAGTTCTGCTTGAGCTCAGCCCACCTTGAGGTGATGGGGATTCCGGGCCCATCTTTCTGCTTGTGGCCAAACCAATGTACAGTAGGTACAAGTCGATCGTTATCGAGTCGTGGCGATGTCTCTTTAGAATGGCCGTGCCGGACGTAATCAGATGCTCTGACCCAGCTCTCGGGATCGATCTCGGCATGCCAACCAGCCCAGGTCCAACCGGGGAAATAGCTTCCTGAGAGACCGTTGTGGTGGGGCTTTCTGCGATGCCCAAATGTGGATGGAAAGGTATGCCACAAAATGGCTGTATGAAAGAACGCAATGGGGAGACCAGCTGCAAAGCCCCCAACAAAGCTCTTACTTAGGACAGAAGTAATGCCCTGAAACGCTCGCAATATATCTTCAGGATAAGTGAAATTCATTTTACTATACCAAGTGATCAAACGGTTCGAGTGGGAAAGTTGTGGGATGCGGCAAGAAATCATCTCTCTATAACCTTCGATATCCGATTGTTGGCTGGGTAGTAGCGAGCTTCGTCGCTTGCACTCTGGGTCTTGGGCATCAGCTGTTTCGACAGCGCTACTTTCTTCATGCCAAAGTGCTTGATTGCATTCCCACCGCACGCCGTCGTTCTCGAATATAATGCGCCTTCGGGAAAAGATGTGTTCCTGCAATGTCCATCCACGCCCGTACCACGGAGGCTTGGGCTTCGGGTCGTATCTATGATATCTTCTCTGTACAATCCTGTGCCCGGTATGAAGCTGGAAGATGTTTTAGCGCATGTGCCTTCTCGGAGAGATCCCTCGTAAGCCGAGTAATCCCGAGTAGGCATTGATGCCCTCTGCTGCGATGATTCTCACTGTCGCATTTGCAAAGATAGATGCTATATTGTTTATCTCTCTTGTAGTGCGGACCTCGTCATCTTGGATAATGCAAAGTGCATCTACCTATTAGGCGACTGTCAGTTCGAGCATTCTTCGCAGAGTTTTTGAGCTATAACTCACCCATAGGTATCTATCACCCATTGTCTGAACGACTGATATGGCATCCCATATCGTCTCAGGAAGCAGGGCACCTCGGTCGGAGTGTAGCGCCATACGAATTCTCAATTGTTCAAGGTTCTTTTTCAGTGTCTCGAAAAACGGCTTGTGACCCCAAATGTAGCTCAAGGCAACGTATACATCTTGAGATGAGCCCGCAACTAGGCACCATGTTTTTGTGTCGATAAGCCTTCAGAAAGTTCAGTATGTCTTAGATTTGTGAAGTCCATAAACGAACGAACCAGGTTGGCCCCTTGCCGACTAGCGTGACATCCACCAAAGGTGTCTTCACAGTCACACCTATTCTTCCATCCTTGAAGTTTGCCTTCCTCGATCTATTCCGGATCTAGGGTCATCGCTGTACCATTATCAGCAATTGGTGTCTCTGCTGAAAGCTCAAGAGGCGCAGAGACCTCATTCCCGCTACTACTGAATCCAAATGAGTGGCGTTCTGGCCTGAACATATAGACGTTAAAACCACGTTCTTTCGGCAGTCCGTCGATGGCGGAGAAAGCCCCATAGATGAGCTTACGAAGTAGATCACAGCAAGACAAAGCTCTCTGGTCATAGGTGCCTCCTCTCAGTTCTCTCGCTGGGCCCTCTGCTAGTAGGAACATGCCAGTGTCTTGACAGACCGGAGCATTGAATATTTTCAGTAGTCGGCAGCAATCAGAGCATTCCGAGGCTTCGTAGGTTTCTATGCGAACCTTTGTTAGTGTGGACATAGAACACCGTCAGAAAAATGTCAATATACCACTGGACATGAAGAGTATTTCAAATGAAGTTGAATAAGCAAGCGTTGCTTCCCGCTCGCTCTGTCACACCGTTGGTTTCATCAGCCTTGCGGTTAGCTCTCTTAAACCTTCAGATCCGCCGTCGAGAACAGGGATGAGAAGCGATAGTAGATTAGTCCAAGGCAAGTTGAAAATGATCTTTAATACAGTATTTCGTGAGACTTAGGCGGGGAAGATGTTTGGTGGTGAAGGCTGGAAGAGTGATGCCGCTGAACTTCCATTCGACAAGTTCAGCCTGGCAAGGCCACAGGGCTGTTACTTGAGCCCCAACACGTGCAACCACCTAGGCAGTTGATACGACGAATTGATTCAAGTCCCCCTTGAATCTTAGTTGAGCTACCCGAAAACCTTGAAATAACTATTAGCAATCTGACCATCAACATAACCTGGTGCTCACCCACAAAGTTTCAAGCCCATAAATCCTACTCCATTTCAGGCTACTGGAGTAAGGCCATCCAAAAGTTACAAACATACGTCATGGCATATCAACACACTCAAAAAACACACGGAACTAAACCCACTCAAACAAAAACTGCCAAGCAAGCAGGTTTCCATTTCTATAGATTCAGCTAGCCTCAAGACACTCAAAGAGGCAGGCCGCATCGCTCTCTCCTCGTATCCTAACGACCAACACCATGCAGGTTTACAATTGCAGGTCCTATATTTTATACACGCAGTCTACGCCGTCTGCACCTCTCCGGAGCCTCCTTAAAGATATACATATCCGCGCAGTTCAAAAGGGAAACGGATCTAGCACTTGAGGCTGAACTTGCTGCCGCGATTGGCATCCATGGCGCCCCAGTGCGTCTCGTCGGCCGGCTTGCCGTTGTCGCCAATGCTGGCGGGCTTCCATGGCTCGTCAAAGGCCTCGAAGTAGAAGAGATTGACGCCCCACGCGAGCATGCCGCAAATGGCGGATTGGTAGTAGGTCTTAGCGTTTGTAGTTCCAGCCTTGGCTGCACCGTAATCGGTGCCACCTGTTTGACGTGTTAGTACTTGCATCAAAAGGCTTCTTTGGGGATGGGGTTTCCAGTACCATCAGTAGGCCAGCCAGTCTCGCCGTTCCAGAGTTCAGGGGCCTTGTCAGGGCCGCCAGCAACGGTCTGGATGTGGCCGAAAGCCTGCATGATATCATCAAAGTAGGTCTTGGTGGCATTGTCCAAGCCCTGGGCCTGCCAGAAAGCGAAGGCATTGACAAAGCTACTCCGATCAGTATTGTTGTCCCAAAATTCCATGGGCGCTGTGACTACTCACATCATGTCCGCCACACTGACGACAGCATCGCCAGTTCCGTCGGCAAATTTGTTCCAGCTATCCGCAGTGCCAACCTTGATAGGGGTCGAAGTAACGCCCTTAAGCGCCGTCTTGACTGTCTTAATCTTGTCCGCAAGCACCTCGCCGGTGAAGTTGCCACGGTAAAGGGTCTCGGATCCGCATGTAACGCCGTAGATGCTATTCGCGTATTTTGGAGCAACGGCTGTGATAGCGCTTAAGTCTGCATCGAAGGATTCTTGTACATCGGGCCTAGAACACAAAGGTCGCATTAGTTTGCGAAGTTTAGAACAATAGCTGCAGATGAATATGCGTACCAGATTCCTAGCACGACCTGGAAACCCTTCGACTGGGCCGCCGGCATGATGGAAGCTGCGGACTTGCAGTCGGACGCGGAGTAACCTCGCACCAGCTTGGATCCAGAAGCAGAAGAAATGGCATCGAAGTCAGACTCGTAGTCGGACTGGCCCTTGCAGGATCCATCGGCGTTCTTCGTACCCAATGCGAATCCCAGAGTGCCGGCAGCGGATACTAGAGCCGGCGCAGCGACCAAGGCGATCGAAGCAAGAATGGAGAATCGCATGTTGTCGAAACAGGTGTTGCAATCAGTATGGTTAGGGGTGCCGATGTTTGGCGTAGGTATCGCAGGTTATGTGTTACAATGGTTCTGTAAAGAGTGTGGTAGTGAACCGAGGAGGAAAAGGTAAAGAAGGACACGCAGTGACGCGTAGAAAGAGTAACGGGGTGGACGTGGAGAAGGGAAAGCGGAGGTGAGGTTGGTGAAGGAGAAGCTGGCCTTGCCGTTTCGGGCATCCGCCGACGCCGTCCGCGAGCGCCTCGCCAAGGCCGTTGTTTTAAGGGGCACACTATTTTTAGCCCCGCAAACACCAGTGTTTTGGAAACATTGTGAGAAGGAAGGATTCGAGAGACTCTAGTGGTTTACTATCGACGTAGTCGGTTCATGTAAGTTCCTTGGCCCAAGCATGAAGGATTGCATACGACGGCAAGGTGCAAGAACCTCATGGCGTGTCGTTGGCTACTATCACGTGCTAGAACTCTATAGCCAGCACATGGATCAAAACATCTGGGAGCAGGTGGTGGGTTGATGGGCAGGCGGGTAGCTTCATCTACACTGTCTTGCACAGAATAGTGATTACATGAGTTAATAAGAGCACAAGACATTTATAGGGCCTTGTACATTCTCCTTTTTCATCTTGTGCATTCCTACGACTGTCTAAGGGTATATCGTGGATATTAACATTATCCTTCGTACTATATCAAACCCCGGGTCTCGCGACCCTTCTATACCAACCCCACAAGTCCGGTCCTAGATCCATATGAAACGCTTGAACGCATACCGAAAGAGCCAATCCATCCTAATGCTCCTCCCTATGCAAAGCCCAAATTACCACCCCTCTACTTCTTACTCTTGCTATGAACCCTGGTGAACGATCTCGACCTCGCCCTCGATCCTTCTGGCTTCGAATGACCACTCCTAAAGCTCTCCCTTGTATGAACGCGATCGATAGCGTACGGGTTGTCGTTGATCTCCTCTGGTCTGTGACTCCGCGCGGAATGCGCCGTCTTAATTCTCTCGAAATGTGGCTCCGCCTCCTCTTCCCACGAATAGTCCACCGCCTGCTGCTCGGCGTCTTCTTCCTTCTCAATGTGCTTCTCGATGTCCTTCTCGCCGCGCTCGTCCTCATCTTCGCGGTCAGAGACATCGTTCGAAGCAGGGACCTGGCCACGCATCTTCTTCATGAAGGCATCTGCCTGCGCGGCATATTTACAGCGCAACCTGATCGGACCTCCGTACTTATAGAAGAGAAAAGGGAAGGGTAGGCACATGAGTGCCAAGAATGCCGGGATGGAAGAGGCCCAGTGAATTCCCAGGTTACGGTACATCTGGGTGGTGAATAGGGGGAAGGCTGCACCGAAAAGTGACCGAAGGACCGAGTTTGCGGCCAGAACGGAGGCCGCGAATATCGTGTAAGCGTCGATGAGGTAATTCATGACGCCGAGGAAGACCAAAACCATGCCGAATCCGAAGGGAATGCCTGCGCATACGCTGGCTGCCCAGGGGAATGATGGGTAATTGGTCCAGGCGAACCAGAAGAGTCCAATGGGTAAGACGCAGCCAGCAACCATAACAGGCGGCAGACGATCCTCCGGGGTAGCAAACCCGCCGCCTTTCACTGCGCACTTTTGGTATCGTCGGTCGTCGTAGAAGATAGAGTATACTAGTGCGAGTACCATGCCTACATGCAATTAGTAATCGTCATTATTGCAGTATCTCGTCATAGTATTTCCAATCTTTGTACACTCTTCTGATACTGCTTGGGGTGGCCTCGCGAGTTCACCGACTGTTCAAAAGGATGAACTTCCATTTTCTGAAAATACCCTGAGGCACTACAAGCAGTGGCAGGAAAGTGTGCAGGCATCTATGACGAAAGAATGTGTTCGAGAGGGGAAGCTTACCGACTGCAACGCCAACAAATGGCAGACCGCCAATACCTTCGCTCCAGCCGCGGTCCTGCTGATAAACGATTGGATAGGCGCCAAAGAGCATATAAAGCGTGCCATAGATGATAGCCATGTATACAGAGAGGAGAAGGACGATAGGCTCGCGGAACAAAAGGATCCACGGTCGTTTCAAGCCGGTGGAGAATGCCTCGGAAGCCGTGATAGTGCCTTGATCAATATCACCCCTATTGAAGTCAGCATTGTGCCATATAGACGAGAAATGAGAAGACATACCTTGACTTGTACACCTTGCCAGTGATCTTCGACAGCCTTTGCGCCCGCTTCCTCAACAATACTGGAGGATAGGTCTCAGGAACTAGCATAATTCCTCCAATCCAAATAATTCCAGAGAAGATTGCCATGAGACCTTCAACCCATCTCCAGCCTTCCGTCATACCCAGGAAGCCACCAACGAGAGGACCTAAGACAGGTCCCATGAATGGCGCAAGACTAAACAAGCTCATGGCGAGCCCTCGTTCCTTTGCGTTGAACAAATCCGCCACGACTCCGCCCGCATTTGTGAGGGGGCTGCTTCCGAATGAACCTCCGAAGAACCTTAATATCAAAATGGTCCAAGTATTTTGCGCTCCAGCACATCCTGCGTTGAAAGCAGCGAAGGCCATGAAAGTGACGAAGAATGTGGTCTGGCGGCCGTAGAGTTCGCTGAGAGGAGCCCAGAGAAGTGGACCAAGAGCGAATCCGAGAACGAAGAACGAGAGGCCGAGAGTGATTACTTCTTGGCTGGAGTTGAACTCTCTTATGAGCTCTCCGATACCTAGTGAATGATGAGTGTTGACTGTGTGAAATATTGTGGGACGGAATCGCACGTACCTCCAGAAAATGCGGAAGAACAGAAAGACACCGCGAGTGTTGCAAATGCCATGACCAGACAACTTATCCACTTCTTCAGAGGTTGCCATCTCATAGGATTCCTTGGGTCATCCTCCATCCAAACAACCACATACGGATCCTCTTCTGTACCACTACCCTCCCAGTCGTAGTTCAGCATCTGCGGTGTCACAACACCTTGGTCGAGCAACATTTTCCAGTGCGAAATGGTATTAGGCCCCTGGCCAGGCTGGCCTGACTCGACATCGGCGCCTGATTTCTCCATGTCGCGTGTGGACCCTTACTGAGGTGGTGGGAATTGAAAGAGCGAGAGAAAGGAAGGATGAAGCCCACGAGGAGCAAGCAGCAGAAACAAAAGGGCCAGGACCGGGAATAAGTCCTGCAGGAGTTGAGTCCATTAATAAACAACTCACCAGTGCCACCCACCAACGTCCAGCCCTGCTGCAGCCCAAAACAAACCCACCTTTTCTCGACTCGGCCGAGCATCAAGCTTCGCGATAAAAGCATCGTGCCAGGCCCCACTCCCAGCTCGCCCAGCAGCTTCCATTGGGCCACAATAACTGGGCCCGGCCCGGCGAAGCCGCACCTTTCCAAGCTCGAGACCACATACATCATCTTTCGGGCAGCTGGCCGCAGAGATCTCCCGCTTGAACGGTAGCGGTGCCCGCCGGCACCAGGCCGATGCGGTAGTGCTTAGGCTGTGAGTGGGCAAGCTCCGTTGCGTTTGACCGAGGCTCAGGATGCAATTTACCAGGGCCACGTTTGAGGCGACGGCGTGAGCCATTCCGCAAGCTTCGCACGCTTAACGGCACTCAAACTGCCCGAGCAGAAAACCGCCGTCTTGCCGCTGTTGGTGGAGATGGGCTCATCAGCTGGCCCCCAGAAGAGCATGTCTGACCGGAGCGCCCGGATAGGCGGCACTCGAGAATCGGGCGGAGGGGCGCGTGGTGGTGAGCAAGTTTGCAGGGAAAGGGTGTCTTATTAAGGTTCGAGACGGTTCTTGCTATGTATGGATGGCTTCCAACCCGTGGACTCGGTAGATCTTCCTCATTGGATGTGCCATGCGCCAACGGGGTTTGTGTCTTCCACGCGGATCCGAACCCCAGTGGACGAATATCGAAAGGTCTACTGTGGCGCTGTTCCATCTGGAACATATTTCATCCGGTAAAGGACCAGGACCTCCCAACACCATGCAGAGGTGTCATCACCTGGCTCGTCCATTCTCGTTCGTATGCTCTAACCGACCCCATTCACCACTCATACACGCGTACTTCTCGCAAACTACAATTTAATTAGATAGTCGATTATATGACTCGATATACTCTCTCCTCTGAACAAGCCCCCCAACCACCAGAGGAGAATCGTTGCTTTGTACGTGAACTAAAGAATGCACGATTTGAATACGTGTACTGGAACGAATGCTACCGTCAAACATCGACGATAAGTGCCCAAACGAAAGTCCCAGACAGCGACCTCCAACCAAACGCCATCGCTAATGCAAAGCACCTCACCATGCTCAGTCAATGATGCGGAAACCAATTTTAATGCCACGCAGTATACAGCTCGGATGTACACAGCCAACCGCCAACCCTCGCCTCATCACCCTACAAGAACTGCAGACTCTGACGCCGCGGGAGGCAGAACAGAGAGTAAGCTGCAAGGCAAGAAAGTAGTCAGCCAGGAGAGAAACAAAAGAAAAACTATGCGCTGTAGACTTCAGAGTTCTGCCGGGAGGGATGGAAACTACCTGCGCTGCTTGAGGTGTCGCTGGGTGTCTGCGGCGTCTGGGGCTCTAGAGAGAGCTGTGCGCGTAGAGACATGATCCAGTCGTGCTGGAGCAACTCGACCGCCGATGCTCGAGTAGATGGGTCTCGTTCGAAGCATCGGTTTAGGAAATCGATGCCTTGCTCGCTGAGCTGCTCTTTGGTCGGCAGCTGTGGAGGGTTGCCTTGGGCAATGTTGTACATGATGGCCCACTCGTTGTCCAGGCTGGCCCAGGGGCGTCGACCAGTAGCCATTTCGAGGATAACGCATCCTAGGGACCAGATGTCGACTGCGCCATGACGGCCGAGGTTCTGTCCGCGAATGACCTCCGGTGACATGTACATTGGAGTGCCAGTCATGGATTTCTGCCGCCCTTGGCGGGTGTTGGCGTGCTCAGCTGCAAGCGTCTTGCCTTGCCTAGCAATAACCTTAGCTGCCCCGAAATCCACAAATTTGATTACTCCGTTATGATCTAGGAGAATGTCTGCATAGAGGTGAGTAAAAAGTTGGGTTTCGAATATCGTGAAACTTACTCTCGGGTTTGATGTCGCGATGGACGACACCGCTCTCGTGAAGATACGCGAGACCCTCCAACATCTGCAGAGCGTAGACCATAATGACGGTTTCATCCTCTATCCTCCCATGTTCTAGTAGTCCGGCGAGAGAACCACCTGAGCAGTACTCCATAAAGATGTAGACTTTGTCTCTGTGAGGCTCGATACCGTAGTACGATACAATGTTGGGGTGATCCAGGACTTGCAATACACCCATTTCGTCTCGAATTTGGGCGACAATAGTAGGAATGAGTTGTGGGTCTTGAAGACGAATCTCCTTGACTGCCATTAAGTGGCCGGAGTCTAGGTTCATCGCGGCATAGACGGAGCCGAATGTACCTCCGCCGACGAATTGGCCCTGCTGCCATCGAAGCGTAACGTTCGTAGTAGATGAAGAGAGGTAAGTAAGTGCTCGGTCTGCTTCGTTGGAGTCTTCTAGAACTCGTCCGAGTGCTTGTCTCTCTGCTTCCTTCTGCTTTCTGAACTCATCGATTTCATTGAGTTGCTCAAGCCACTGCTCTTGAACCAAGCGAACAGACTCTTCGTCGTCCTTCAGGCGACTAACGTCAAGTCTGAGCTTTCCGATCATCGCGTCCATCCGTTGTTTCTCTGCCTGTGCCGCAATTGTGGATCGTGCTCCCATGATATCGAAATGCGAGATGAGCAAAGACATGCACCCAGCTACTTTCGCTCGCAACTTTGCATACTCTCCTTCGCTGATGGACAGTATGTTCTGTCCACGAGTCATCATCATTGCAAACTCTAAGGCTACCACAGCCCAACGGAAAGTCTTGCGATCGGACGCAACACAGTCATCGCAAATAAAGCTCACCCAGTCCAGCGCTAGTCTCGTAAGCTTGAGATTATTCAGTGCCCGTCGATTGTGGTCCATGTAATAGACCGAACGCTGACCAAATTCCGTGGCGAAGGCGAAGCATGTCTGGATAAGTTCCTGACATTCTAAGCCTACAGTCTGCTTTCGGATAATCTCAACACTGTCCATAATGGTGTTGGATAGCTTGTACGCCGTTTTCTTGATCTTTTGTAGTTCCTGGTTGACTCGAGGAAGGTTCGCCCTCTGTTCGATAAGCTTGGTGAGATCTACGCCAATCGCTTGCATGAAAGTTGCATTCGCATTCGCCAAACGTTGCTGGGAGCCATCGGCAATAAGCCGCAGACGACTGGTCTTAAGATCGAGATGAGGTTCGCGAATGTCGGCCGCTAGATTCCTTCCTGACCAAAACATTGGATCTTCTGGTTTGAGAATGAGAACGTATGGGTTGGAAGGATCCTCCGGGTTGTCTTCAGCGTGATAGCAAGTAGTGAGCAATGACTGTATGTCTGCCGGTCGACCCTCCAAAGCCGGAGAAGCCAGGATGTATATTCCATAATTGTCACCGCCATGCGTTTCGACAAGGAAATGTCCAGACATGACGAGGGCATCGTATAGATCATTTAGTTGCATGGGGTCAATGTTGAGGTTATACTCCGTGCAATTCTCGAACCGTTGAGTGAGGATTCTCGAGAAACGGAAAAGTTTCCTTTGACGTACTCGGACGGAGTCCAGAATCTGCTTGTACCGCTTGTCCATCTCGGCTCCAGCAACCTCTTCTGGGCGCCGTTGAAGTTCTTTCTCGAAGTGACTGGTCAGGCGTGCTAGTGATTTGGAGGTAAGGGAACTAAATTGCACATTAGCATTGTCGAATAATATCGGACTCTCATGAGCTCACCTGAATTGTTCCGCAACCTCGACGTCTCCGCCTTCTAACCGTCTCCCAAGCTTGTTGGAGAACTCCCACTCCTGCTCAAGGATTTCGGCTTCTTTGAACGTGTTCTTGTTTGCGGATAACTTCCAGTTTAACATCTTGAAGTAGAATTTCAATGCGTCTAAGACAACGTTGTCAAAGTTTTCTTCGATACAAGGCGGTGGTTCCCAGCCCCGTTCGGGTTGAGAAACAATCGTGTAAGCTTCCTTGATATTGGTAGCAAGCGTAAGAAGAATCTGAAACTGTGAGATCATCTGCTCTGCCATCATGATGCCTTGTTGAGCTGGGTCCTTGATCTTCTTGGCATATGAAAGCCGCATTCGGATGATTTCCTGGACGAGACGAGAGGGGAAGTTGATGAGTGTGAGTAGCTCTTCGATGTATGGTGGGAGATGTCGATCCGCAAATGCAGAGGCATTCGCAATCAGCGTAGCCTTTGCCTTATTGATTACTTTGTTCAACCCAACTAGGAGGTTGTTCTTTCCCTGAAGCGACTTGAGACCATCTTCCTTCAGAATCCTATCAATGAAGGAGGCATCGTCGGTAAGATGGCTATCGGGGCTTGAATTTCGGGGTTTTGAGAAATCGAGTTCGTCGTTACCTACCCAGCTCTTCAATATGCCCAGCTCGGTATTGATGAGCTGAGTAGTGTTGTGCCATGCAATGACTGCGTCACAACTCTCCTTGTAGCTTGAAGATGCAGCCCTAGGATGGACCGTTTCCAGAGCTAGTCTCGTCGGATAGAGGTTTTCGCACTTCTCAATCTTCTTGACCACTTCTTCCACCTGTTGAGTAGCTGATTGACCAGCTTCGGCCTCCCCTTTGATCTCAAATGATATTATAGCTTCGATGCTGGCCTTGATTGTAGCTCTGCCATCCTCAACCACTCGCCGTTGTGCTTGTAGGGTCCGTCCACAGACCTTGGCCCTAACACCAATCCATATTTCTGCTTTCAAGCTGTTGTCGCCTTGCTGCTCCGTGCTTCCAATCAGCCTCTTCTTTTCCTGCTTTACAACATCTCCCGTCAAGACGCTGGCCAGCATCGAATGCCACTCCAGCCTCTCGCGATTTGCTGGAATTTTGAGCTCCTCCACCGATGGCAGCATATCATTATTGCCGTAGTATAGCAGTGTCTCCTGGTCGTAGGGGTCGTTGTCGACATATTCTGCCGTCGAGGGAGACTCCTCGTCTGTTTCCGAGTCTTCTGTGCTATAGCCGATGCTGGGAGTGCGCAGGTCGGCGAAGAAGTCGTCTTGCTCGTTTTCCTGCCGTATCCGCTGCACATATGCTTTCTCTTGCGCGCGGTATTCTGCGTTGGGATTGTTCCGCCGCGACCGATTCGTCGACGAGTTCCTGTGGCGACCATTGGTACTAACGGGGAACTGGCCTGGCCGACGCGCGGGCGCGTAAGCATTGGAGGGCGTCCGAACCGCACTGGGCCGCGTCGTACGGGCTGCGGTCATGCCGTTCGTCTGTATCGGGGGAGGGTTTTCAAATCCTCCATTCGTCGTGGTCGCCGTGCCCCGACGGAAGGGAGCTGGTGGTGCGGACCACCCATAGCCGGCACTGCCATTAACAGGAGGGACTTCTTCGAGGGGTGTGGTGGACATGGCGGGCGCAAACTGGTACTGGGGCTCCGCTTCGTCGATGGAGTCGTGGCGATGGCCGTGCCCGAGAGGGCCCTCCTGGTCCGAATCGCCAGACGAGCCCGACCCAGAGTCGTGGGCGGCAACGTCTGCGGTTTCCATCACGGGCAAGCTTTGGTTGTTGAAGCGCGTGTCGAAGGAGGTGTCGGCATGGGCGGTGGTGAAGCGCACACCGCGAGAGGGATCATTCATGATGACGAGGATGGATCGGCAAATGCTGCCCTTGGGTTCGCGAGAGTGGAGAACGGAGGTGTGGCGGTGCGACGCGGAGCAGAGGCCGCTCGAGGTCGAAACAAAGAACACGAGGTCGAAACAAAGAACACGAGGTCGAAACAAAGAACACGAGGGCTTCACCGATGGCGACGCTGCGGTTTTGACGCGCTCTAAGGTTGGCTCTGGATGCTGCGATGAAGTTTTTCGTGTTCATCCCTCGCAGCGCTCCAAGGTTGCTTCCAGGTTTCGCCTCCCACTGCCCGACCTCGGTCTCTTTGCTGCGTCGCCTCTATAAAAGCGCCGTGTCCAGAATCTGTGCAACAACTATGCTTCACACACGGTTGTTCCAACGGCTGGACATATGGCTGGCATTGGCTACTCCGGACCGCGGATGAGAGCTGCTAGAGCATCTCGTCTGAGCCAGAATCCGCCATGACTTTCAACAAGTTCAAGACAGCAACTCATGGACCTCATACTGTTGCAAATCAGCACTCCACCAGTCTGTGACTGGAAAGAGCTGTCCATAGGACGCAACTTGTAGCTGCGTGCTTCCTCCAGACGAGGCGAACCACCAATCGCACTATGGAACTAGCACCCAGCTCCAGCGTCGGCGTCGGCGGCATGAGACGGGGCTGAAGGAGTGTGATAGGGGCGAGAGCGGCTATCTTCTGCCAAGAACTCGCAGCAAAAAGTCCACGGCACACCGGCCGGAATTCAGACTCAAAAATCTCCAAGGGAAAGATGCCGCTGTCACCCCCTGTCTTTTAGAATCGTTTATCTGTCAGCCCGAATCAGTGTGTGGGGCTGAAATTAAACTCGTGGGGTTTTCCGGCTCGACCAATCCCATGCTTCGGTAGGAAAATGTTCTCGACCATCTTAATCTCCATCGATGCCCCCCCAAACTTTGCCTTAAGAAATGTTTGATTCAATGTTTGCTCCACTCTCCGCCCGCCTGTGATAGAATACAGATAACAGCCCCTTCGCGGGATGTCAAAAAGAGCTTGCCCACAAGGCTGTTGGGGGTACCTATCCGCCTGAAAATCGCCAATATCAGGGTCTGCTAGGAAGGCTACCTACCCGGGAATCATGATACCGCTAAAGTACACTAATATCGTTTTCATTCAGACGCCACCTAAGCTAAGCAGTGGATGAACAGAGAACGAGATGAAGAAGCACGTCCTGTGCGGGACCTACCACGCTACCTACGTCCTGCTTCAGATCACGTACATAGTATTCCTAAGAGGGTACTGCAAAGGATATGCATGTAGTCTCGGATTCCAACATGGTGTGAATCGCTCTCATGACCCTACCTTAAGCCATCTTTTCTCAGATGTCTAGATACCACTGAGAAAAATGACCGCAGAAAGAGGGCACATTTTGTCACTGCCAGAAAAAGAACCCCTCCATCTTGAACTCTGTTGGAGCTATTGCATGGGCTCTGCCGCATTGAAGGACGTCCAACTCGCAAATACGCCAAGCTCGCCTTCAATAATCGCTATTGCAAGAAGCTTAGCTAGATCCCTTCCTAGATCTACCTTAAGCTAATGCCAGAACGACTCTCGAAGCCACAAGAAGACAACGACTAAATCGAGGATGGAAAGTGAAGTGGCCGCGCCCCAAGGCACTAAACGAGAAATGCACTACTACTCCAATGAAAGCGATCAACATAAGACCGATGACTGCGGCCGCCTCATCATCTTCCTGACCACTTTCTTGCCACCCTCAAAACTGCCTCAAACGAGCTTCTCCGAACACAGATCTTCCGCGCCTCTGAACGTCTCGTTCTAAAGCTTCAGACAGTCTAGAAACTCGCTGCGGCACTCCTAGGGGCTCTATCTATATTAGCGCAAACAAGGAAGGTTGCTCCAACGGTTTGTCCCCTCGCTAAAACAGGGCCGAACGCCCCAACAACCAACAACACACTATTACCGTAGTCCTCCGGACGGTGGCGGAGCCGGGCCAGGGGGATTTCAGTATGCGAACCGAAAATCATTCTCAGCGGGACTGTTGCACGCCTAGATTCATGTTGGGACATTGGTAGTTCACTACATCGATCAACCCCTAAGACCGAGATGCTCATCTCTATAATGAGACCGTTGCAGAGGCTACAAGCGTTACCATTGGAAGAAATGGAATGCTGAAACCGGAGTTTTTTGACCGGTCTGATGGTCATGGGGAGAAGAAATGGCTGGTGGTTGAAGTGTGGTGGTGAACGTGCTGCGGCGTTCATATTATTATGTGAAACCCCCAAGAAACCTCACTGGAAACCAGAGCTCGAAGCACAGAAGAACCCCAAGAAGAATATCGGTTTGAGATTTGTTCCACGCACCTTCTCGCCGCCTTCGACACGATCGACGGCCCCACCGTAGCCAGCGGATCAGGGGGGCCTACGCAGCTCTATACCTATGTTTGGCATGTCGCACGTCCTCACCGACCACGGCGTTCACGTTCATCACATCTTTCGCATATGCACTAGCACTGCCGTTTTCGTTGGATGCCAGATGCGACCAGTGCTTCCTGTCGCAACACTGGAGAGAGGTCTCCGGACAGCATCATCAGACACTCTATCGTCGTGTATGGGTCACTACGTAACTGCAACCGTTTCTGGCGAACGCAGCGTGAAGACAGCGAACTTGCATACCGCTGCTTCGAGGGAGCCCGCACTGGCTTTCCTACCGTCTTTCGGATAGTATATTGCTTTGAGCGACTCTCGCCAGATTGCCTGCGTAGATCAGTCCGCCTTGAGCTCGACTTTCAAGGCTTCAAGGGGTAGAGGGACGGAACTTCGTTCTGTTATACTAGGAGGTGGAATCGGGGAAAGCCTGCGGCTGCCGGTGGCACAGCGACGTTTGACGGAGACGTGCGAATGACAACCATTCGTAGCACCTCGGAGCCTCGTCTCTAAGACAGCAGAAACGCGTCCGGATGGCGGCGGGGCGTCAACAACACGATGCTGGGTGGCGGCAAATGGGCAGCGGAAATTGAGCGGAGGGGCAGGGATTTCTCCAGCCGTTCAGTACATACGGCGCTGTACACTCTCACGACTTCTTCCGGTCTTGCGCTCAAACGACGTGGTACCCGACCTTGCCGAACGTTGTGGGCTGGGTGGCTGGGCGAACAAGCATCCTGTGCGACCTTCCGTTCTGTACGAACGCTCTCTGGCTGCTACAAAAGCGGTTCCAGCATGTCACAGACAGAGATGGGCGGCCCGGCACGACATGAGAGGGGCGCGGCGACCAGAAGGCTGCGAACTTTGAGGCACTCGGAAATTGGCTGCTTCTGAGGCAGGCATTCGGGAATAGATAGATTGCTGACTTCCAGGAAGCTTGGCTACTTATTTGATCGCGTACGGGAAAGGACGCAGTGGCACAAAAGGAGGGCGGGCTGACTGCCGTACCCCAGAGTCTCGAGATCGCCGGAGCCCGGTGACGAAGTGCGGTCTGTGGTGTGAGTCTGCCTGCTCCGCCTTCTTGTGTCCAGACACCAATGAAGCATCGATGTTTTCTTATCGCTGCACCGCATCGCTTACCCCAGAAGATGGACAGTGAAGTTGCGGCAAACGGTGGAGGGAGAATAGAATGAGAGTCATTTGAGGCCAGATGGAGAGATCTCGGAGGGAATCTACTACATATAACGGCAGGGGTACATCTAGAAAAGAAAAGCAATATGGACGCACAGGTGAGGTATGGCGATGGACCCCTTCTCCACGCCGTCGAAGTCGCTACTGCAGGAGACGGTTAGTGAGGCGCATGGCAAACGCGCACTGTTGGAGTTCGCAAGCCGAAATAGAGCCTCGTTTCGACGATGCGGGATGTGTGTGGGGTGGTGGGCTGGAGGGGGAGTGGGAGCTCGCCGCAGGGCGTTGGCACGGTAGAGCCTTGGAGTCTCCGCCGCCACCAAAGGGCCGTTTCTGCGAACTTGGCTGGAGAAGCTGGCCTACCTCGACCGGAGACGGCTTCAGCGGCCAGGAGAGGGCGTCAGAAAGGCCAGAGAGGCCGGAGATGCCAGAGGGGAGACGCTGGAGCAGGCGACAGCGGCCCATCAACGGCGCAGGCATCAGGCCAATCCGGCTGGCCTGCAGGGTCGGAAAAGCTTAGTATAGGCTTGGCGGGCGGGACAGGTGCGATAAGGACATTTCTCTTTGGAAATATCACCACGACCGGCCGCCTGATAGGAGCGGACGCCAGCAGCAGTGCTCGCGCAGCTCTTGGCCTGGGTGATAATCGCACGCCCAGCAGCGTCGTCCACCGCACCCACCGCGTCCACGCCGCGCAGCCCGGCGCCCGCAGCGCACACGAGCAGCGGACTCGAAGCAAACATCGGCCGGCCTGCATCCACGGCATCCCGCGGGCCCGATTGGCAGCTCCGGGCTGGATCGCTAGCTGGCGCCAGCCCGCTGCCGGTGTCACGCATCTGGCGCAGTTGTCCCCCACCGTCCGCCACGCCACGGCGAGTGGCCAGCCCGCCAGGCCACCCAGCCGTGTGGTGGTCAGTGGGTGGTGCCGTGGCTCTGGTGGAGCCCTGCCCTGCGATCAAGGGCAGCCGTCCGTTGAAATAGGACGCGGCCCCTGACTCCCAACCGCGCTGGATTCTCGCTGGCTGCACACCTCACCTCCGCCAGGCCATCCATATAATATCCCCACGACGCCCGGACGGCGCCCGCCCGCACGACACGGCCGCTGCGTGAAGTTCTCCTGGCATCAACCTGATCGATTCTGCACGCCAAGGCCTCGCTCCGCATCCCTGGACGCCAGCCCCCTCACTAAGGACTCCGAGCCGCCCGTTTCTCGCCCGCCCAGCTCTTCGCACCCTTCAGGAACCAGAACCACCCTCTGCGAACCACCAAGTGACTTGACGCCGACCCTCTTTAGCTGCACTGCTCAAAAACGCTGGCTCGCACCGTTCGCACCAGGCCGTAGTCCGCCATGGCCGAATCAACAGACCCCCAGCCTCTTCCCTATGTTCCCCTCCAACCCTTCAACAATGACTCCCTCGCGACGGGCGGCGACTCGCTGCTCTACGACCTCAACGTCTTCTACAATGTACGCACTCTCCAGCTGCAGCGCGAAGCTCGCGTGACTCCCCTCAATTCCGGTGGCTGACTCGTGACAACAGGCGGGCGATATTGCGTGGATGATAACCTCCACCGCACTTGTCTTGCTCATGATTCCAGGCGTTGGGTAAGCAACTCCCTGAGCAGTTTCATTTTCATTTCGCAAAGTCACAAGTCCCCATATCTGACTCACTACAGCTTCTTCTACTCTGGTTTGGCGCGGCGAAAGTCCGCCTTGTCGCTGTTATGGCTGTCTGTCATGGCCACCGCAGTCGTCTCTTTCCAATGGTTCTTCTGGGGCTACTCCCTGACTTTCTCCCACAAGGCGGGAAGGTACATCGGAGCCCTCGATAACTTTGGCTTCAAGGATGTCCTCGCCGCCCCCTCAGTCGGCAGCCCCCGCATCCCCGACTTACTATTCGCTGTGTATCAGGGCATGTTCGCCGCCATCACGTAGGTCTTTCCTCAGGAAAAAGCACGGGACATACCTAACCGCAGATGTACAGTGTTGCTTTAGCTGTTGGTGCTGTCGCCGAGCGCGGCAAAATGCTCCCCTGCGTTATCTACATGTTTGTTTGGACCACTGTCGTCTACGACCCGATTGCCTGCTGGACCTGGAACCCCAAGGGCTGGGTGTACCAGATGGGCGGTCTGGACTTTGCTGGAGGAACCCCTGTCCATATCGCCTCCGGCACCGCGGCGCTGGCTTACTCGTACATGCTCGGAAAGAGAAGGGGCCATGGTACTCAGGAACTCAACTACCGCCCGCACAACGTCACTCACATCGTCATCGGTACTGTCTTCCTCTGGGTGGGATGGTTCGGCTTCAACGCCGGTTCAGCGTTGTCCGCCAACCTCCGCGCCGTCATGGCTGCCGTGGTCACCAACCTGGCTGCGTGTGTCGGCGGCATGACGTGGTGCCTCGTTGATTACCGTCTGGAACGTAAGTGGTCCACCGTGGGCTTCTGCTCGGGGGTGATTGCTGGACTGGTCGCAATCACACCTGGATCGGGTTATGTGCCCGCCTGGGCCGCGGTTGTTTACGGTGTCTGCGGTGGCATTGCTTGCAACTACGCTACGAAGCTGAAGTACTTCCTTCGCTGTGACGACGCTCTTGACATCTTCGCTGTTCATGCCGTTGGCGGTTTCGTTGGCAACATCTGCACTGCTTTCTTTGCTGCGTATGTACGCTTTGATTCGCTTCTAGGACAAGAATGCTAACATACTGCACAGGGACTACATAGCGCATCTTGATGGCTTCAACCACATCGATGGTGGCTGGTTGAACCACCACTGGATTCAGCTGGCTTACCAACTCGCCGACTCAGTTTCTGGAGGCGCTTACTCGTTTGGCGGAACCTGCATTATTCTAGGCTGCTTGGACGGCATTGGAAAGTTCGTGCCGGCTCTGAAACTTCGTGCCACCGAAGAGGAGGAGGTCCTGGGTATCGATGATGTGGAGATTGGCGAGTTTGCTGTAAGCCTTCCACCCCCTATAACCACTTGACTCTATACTAACCATGTATAAGTATGACTACGTGGAGCTCACCCGCGAGGTCAAGGTCACTGACGACGAAGAGGACGATTTGTCGCAATCAGAAGACCAACACAACATGACGGGCGGACCACAACACGAGAAGAATCACGACTCTGTTGATTCCTCAGGCCATTTCCTCCAGCATTGAGCACTTCGCTTCAACCTTTCGGAATTTTGGGTGCACTTCTACAGGTGTTTTGGCTGTAACTGTAGGGTGCTGGGCGCATTGGTATAACCCTTTTGTGTAATGGAGCGGCTACTAAGACCTGCGAAAGACTTGTTTAAACGATCTAAGAGAAGATCCACTACTCTTGCGAATTATTTCCTTGTCTTAGTCCACGCACTGGGAAGCATTCTGGATCAACTGTTTGCCTGGGTGACAGAGCCAGGTTCTGGGATGCCGCCGCAAACTATGTCTAGAAATTTTGGTTCGCGGTTTACCCAAAAAATCACGTCCTGTAATGAATGTACTTCTACCAGTATGCTTCTCGCCTAAGATTGACCGTGTCTATGACTAGATGTGAACTGCGAATGACAAACCTAAGCTTCATATTCATAACTCGCCAGAGTCTGAGTTCGTGACTAGGAGGTAAGGTCGCATAATACTCTTCAGAATCCTCCGCCTAGCACTTCAATGAGCCCTGGAGGTCCCGCGGGGCATGAAAAGGTAGCACTCGAATCCTAGAATACACAGTACAAAGGTAAGCTGTCTTGTGTGTGTGTACACCTTTCTACGACTGCTTCCAGAGCTTCAAGGGATTCATAGATAGCCTAAAGTGAAGAGTTTCCATCACTCTCAAATACACTGAAGCACCCTTAGCAGTGGCAGACAGGTGTACACATAGCGTGCTTGATAAGTGATAGGCTCCCTTACATAGAAATCGGCAGTCTACGAATCCGTGGTTCTGATTTGAAACTTCCTATCCCCAAGGTACACACTATTTCTGAGCATGTGTACGCTTGTTTAGCACCGCTTGAGGCACTCCAGTATGCTATTGCGATTCATGAAATACCAGTTTTGGCAAACCTGATAGCTCTCCAGGCCACCTCAGACGGTGTTGAACTGCTCGAGTGTGCTACTTTTTGGCGCCTCGCGTGGAGGGGTGACGCTTCTCACGTGACTGTTTACGGTAAATCTGACTAATCAAAGCTCGTCATGTATACTAGCGCCTTGGCGGAAAATGAGGCCGAACTGTTGTTCCGTGCCGAAAACAACTTTATCTTCTGAAGCTTCGACCTCCTCTCAGTCCACAACAACAACAGCGCTTGGCTAGCTAGATATGTATGCAACTATTATTATTTAACTAGCCTGCTAACCGTGCCGAACGGAACATAAATTAACTAGAGCAAAGCACTTACACCCACATAGGACGGCACTAGAGAACGTCATTCACCCGAACCAACCAATCGATCGATAGTTGTCAACATGTCTGCCGAAATCAAGCCATTCCCAACCACGGACGATGAACTCAAAAGCGATGTCCGAGTCTACTTCTCCAAAGTCGAGGGCAAGCATCTTCTCGAGGACGAGGACGGCCAAGACTGGGAGCTTAACGAAGGCTACACTTGGATTCCTAAGAAAACGATGGTACGTTCCCCACAAAAGAAAGGCATCCCGTGTAGCCATCACCGGCATGATGCGTCCATGATACGCGAGGCGCGTTACTCTCTCTGGATGGCATTCTAATCTTTAACTTGATTGTCCTCGAATTCAGCTTGATGAGGGCGACTTTCAGTATGTCCAGTCTGCCTCTGCTGCTGCGTCTGGCGGACTCAACGAGGTCGATGAAGAGCGTGTTCGCCAGTTCCAATCTGTCTATGCGTCTGGCGGACTCAACGAGGTCGATGAAGAGCGTGTTCGCCAATCCCAGTCTGCCCAAGAGATTGACGAAAGCATGAAGACGATCCTCTCTCACAAGCGCAAGAAGGGTGATGACCACGACGAGAGTGTAAGTACCCCAGTCTATTTGACACGCTGGCACAGCAGCTGACACTTCTTGTAACTCTAGCGTGTCAAGCCCAAGAAGGCTCCGAAGACCGAGCAGCCGCGCATCGAGAAGCCTAATTGCGCTATATACATCACCTCGCTTCCCCTAGATGCGACTGAAGAGGAGGTCGCCACCGAATTCTCCCGCTACGGTGTCATCGCAGTTGCTACAGAGTCTGGACATGCGCGAGTCAAGCTGTATAATGATGAGGACGGCAATTTCAAGGGCGATGCCCTCGTCGTATACCATCGCCCGGAGTCCGTACAGCTAGCCATTCAAATGGCTGACGACGCCGACTTTCGCATTGGACAGAAGGGGCCGCCTGCTATCATCCACGTCACCGTCGCGGATACAACCTACAAGAAGCAGAAGGAACGTACGGCCAAGGTCGGCAAGGAGAAGCGCAAGATCGTCAACAACTTGCAAAAGTTAAACGCGTGCGTAACCCAACCCCTATGTTAAGCTTCAAAGGTCTAACAATTCGTAGAAAGCTTACGGACTGGGACGATGATGAACCGTCCACAATCCCAAAGGCTGCCTCTAAGTACGACAAGATGGTCGTCCTAAAGCACATGTTCACGCTCCACGAACTCGCGACAGATCCGAGTGCGGCCCAGGAGATCAAGGAGGATATCATGGAGGAGTGTGAGGAGAAGTTCAAGGGCCTCGGAACTGTCGCTAACGTTACTCTCTTCGATCAAGAGGCGGAGGGAGTTGTCACTGTCCGCTTTTCCACTGTCGAAGCGGCAAATGCGTGCGTCAAGGTCATGAACGGTAGGAACTTCGATGGCCGGGTGGTAGAAGCTTCCATCGCGACTGGAGAAGAGAAGTTCAAGAAGACCATCGAGAAGCGTGATGACGTCGAGGAGGAGAGGCGACTCGCCATGTTCGGCGACTCGCTGGAAGAGGATTTCAAATAGGGACACCATTCTCATTCACACCTCTGGCCCATGTATCGAGGCACCATATATCAACCACAAACTTTCATACAATGCCTCGTCATACATATCTTCTACACTCTTTTGCCGCTGCGTGAGGAGCCTCAGGATATTTTCACCATTCCGAATGAGAGAATTCTTGCATTTTAGACAACGAGCAGACTGGCGAGGCCACCCCAGACAGCGTCAGCAGGGTGTACGTAAAGCAGGTTAGAAGTCTTTCCGCTGCCCACGGTTGCTATTACAGTGCTAGCTCATCAGTTTAGGCACGCGGATATCTCGCTGGTCGGCCTTCACTTTTGCTCACTCCTTACCACTGTAAGGAGTACCCCAGCTAGCATGTCTTCAGTCGGTCAAACAGTAGCCCTATTCCCCCTGCATGTAAAAATTATATGACAGGGCACTGCACCCTCCCCCACTCCCCCCAAGGTCCCCTCACAGCAACCCCTTCGTCGCCTCCTCACTCTCCCCCATCCACCGCTCCAACACATCCCTATCCCTCACCCGGATCCCGACCTTGAACTTCCGCGGCTCCATCGTCAAACTCGTTGGAATCGCATTCGCCTGCAGGCAATCCAGCACCGGCATATCCCTCTCCTCCGCCGGACTCACAAACTCAAACGCGGAGATCAGCCGCACAAACGCCACATACAACTCGCGGTTCGCGAGATGACTTCCCGCGCACATTCGGCTGCCCGCGCCGTAGCCGTAGTGCGGCGTGCCGCCCTCGCCGACGTCGAGATAGCGCTCCGGGAGGAACGTCTCGGGGTCTTTGAAGTGGGTGGCGTCGTAGTCGGCGGCGTAGGCGTTCATGTAGAAGGTCGTGCCGGCGGGGATGGTGGTGGTGTTGTAGACGATGGGCTTGACGGAGACGCGCGGCAGGCAGATGGGGATGACGGTCCAGTAGCGGAGGGTTTCTTTGACGAGGGCGGAGATGTAGGGGATTTTTTCTTCGGCGAGGCAGGCGTGCCAGGCGGAGGTGGAGGGGTAGGCGGTGCGGATGGCAGTGTAGGCGGTGCGTTGGATGTGGGCGTACGAGGGGGAGGAGAGGAGGGCGATGAGCATGATGAGATTCCCCGGGACGGTGTCGAGGCCGGCGGAGACCATGGTCAGGCAGATTGACTTTATTTCGGCTGAGGTGGGTACGTTAGTTTGAGCGGAGGAGTGGGTGATGCTAGGAAAAGGGGGTGGGAGTGACTAGGCGCACCTTCGTTAAGTTTGGCTTCGGGGTCTTTGAGGACATTGCCGGTGATGCAGGGTTTGTCTGTTCCATTGGCGACTTGCGATTTCAGCATGTCGAGGAGCTTGGTGAGGTAGACGTCGCGGCGGACGCGGTACTCAGCTGCCTCGTTGTTGCGGCTGGGCCATAGCCTTAGAAGGGGGATGTAGTCTTGCCAGTTATTGCTCGTGCTTCTAAAGTTCGACACTGCGCGCTCTACATCGCAGATTTCTCGTAGGAGTTCGTCGTCTTTGTCGCCGTCGATACGAATGCCATAGTTGAGTGATAGGGAGGTGTTGAGGGCGTAGCGCTGGAAGTATGGGATTGGATCGACGTCTATTTGGCCGTATTTGCTGTCTTCGAGCAGTTCTTTGATGCTGACGTTGGACTCGAGGTCGATGATTGGCATGTAGGATTGCACGGCAGGGCGGTTGAGAGCTGTGGCTGCGGCCTTCCGCCTCTGCTTGCACGATTCATCCCAGGGAGATGTGCCGATAGTGTATCCTTGACTGCTCGACACTATCTTGTGGAAGGTGTGCAGGGTGGGTCGTGATATCAGAGCCGATTGATTCGTGATCCAGATATGTTTTACCGACTCAAACGTATTCGCGAAGACGATTCTCTGTGTTCAGATGAGAAAGGGAGTAAGCTGAGCTTTGAAGGCATACAACACGTACACGATTGCCCATCCGAACTTGAAAGACTGGTCCATACTGCTTTACCCAACCTTGAGCTACTTTAGCATGGCTGCTTCCGAGCTGGAGCAGGTTTCCAAATATTGGTACCCCGGGTATCTCAGGGAGTCCGTCGATCTTTGGGATATCCGTACGGTTGAAGTATCGAACCACCAGATAGACAGCTGCAATGGCAGTCAAGGCAATGACTTGAAGGGCCATCGCAAGGAAGCTTAGCTTAGGAGATGGTAAGAGAAGAAGACAGAGAGTGTGAGCCGAAGCCTATGATGTTGCTCCCAGACAAGCGAGGTATCGAATGTGGAAGAAGTAGCGAACAGTATTCGATGCTGTACTTGTAGAAAACAAGAACATATTGTACAAGAAGATGATAGAAAGCCGGGAAATGCTAAAGACTTGCATCAAATATCTAAGTGGCTACGCTGTTCCGCTACAGCTCTAACAGGAACCTACTCCGCAGTAGCAGAGCTGTGCTGTAGCTGGTAGCCCTCTGGTGACTAGTCTGACGTGCAGACATCACGGCCGTGTTCCGCGTGGTATGCGCTTCTCCGCTTTGTCGAGGCTCTCCGCATTCCTTTCACTCCACTGCGGAATCTTCACCGCGCGCTACCCCCGCAGATCTACAACCAGTTTTCTAGCGGCTCCGTTTTTCGTCTGGGGTCGCAGTTGTTCCGCACATTGATGTTGTCAGATTGTTTGAGTGAATCCAGATTCGCCGGTTGCCCGAGATGAAGACGTTTCTTCGTCTGGAAAATTATCCAATCTCGAGTGTCCTCGAAGCATCACCAGGACAACCATGTGCAAGGGAACACCAATGGGTTAACATCAACGAAATTTCCTTGTAGAGAGCAGCTGGTATCAAGAACAATGCTAGTCATAAGTACCTAGTATCCCTCGATGCCACGCTTACGGGATTACTCGATTCTCGGCCGTCTATTCAAAAGCTAGTTGAGGCGTTTGCGCTTGACTTCATTCGAATAGCAAGACGCAGTCTAACCCGAAAAGCTCACTCTACACTCCCTGAAAAGTTTGACAATAGCTTCGTAAACAATCGTGGGAAGCGGGAGCAGGTGTAGATGGAAGCGAGGCCGCGACGTGGTGTTGTGGCTTAGAATCATGCCTGCAGGCTCAGCCTTCAGCCAGCTGGCGGTCAACTCTCGACTGTCACTCTTTCTTCAGCCTTCTCGCTCTTTTTTCATCATACTTCATCGTGCGCTTTCTGCTCTCAAGGTTGTTCGAAGCTCTCGTACCGCCTTCAGTCATCGAAGGATAGCATGTAACTCTAGCTGCTCCAATTGACCTTGTACTTCACCCCCACTAGAGCAGACATCCTGGGCGAAGGACCCGTTCGCCGTTTGTGCCTGTTGGTCTCCTAGCCGGAATTTCCGGCGGCAATACGCCCACGATGGAGGTCATAGACCGAGTTCAATATGTGCCTAAAGTATACACGGAGTATCCCAACGGAACGAGCATTTCACCCAAGTCGAGAAGAGAACATTCAGAAAAAACGGAAGGAGGGAACGGCGCAGATCCGCCTTCTTGGGGGCCATCGAAGATCATACCTATCGACTTGATATCTGAATTTGAGAGAGACTTCCCGCCCGTTCCCGCCGAGGATCTTGAATACGACAGATTAGACACCGACAGCGACAGCGACGTTCCTATCATCAACGGCCCCGTCTCTTCACCGCCTCAGCGGACCACCCAACTGCCCATCGAGCAAGTAAAATCTCACGACGAAAGAGAAAGCGATGCAGAGTACATCCCAAGGGTTAGGAGTAATCTTCAGGCTAACTACAATATACACCCCATGCCATGGTTGAGCGAACAGCAACATTCTGATGAATCCCATCCCTTCCAAAGGTTGCACTCGGAAGCCTCTACGCCGGCCTTGCCATCGCCTACCAATAACCCCCGCTTGCTCGACACCGTCGAGGAAGCAATTCGGCGCCTTATTCTTCCGGAATTGAACGCTTTAAAGGAGGAGCAACGGAATCAACAGAGTTCACAAGAAAGCGTGTATGACGGTGACCTATCTACAAGCTCGCTCGGGCCCTCTAGTAGACGCATATCAATGGCTTCTGACGTCTCAAGCCTACCGGATTCACAATCAGCACAAGCATCCTCGATCATTGCTGGGTTTCCCACTCAATCTACAACAGCTCATATCCCGGAATACATCAGTGCGAATGGCTCTTTCAAGTCCCATGCACTTAACGATGACAGTGATATTGAGGATTTTCTTCAAAAAGCAAGGACCTGGGGAAATTTTTCCCACAAGCAGATTCCGAAGTCTATCATGCCTCCGCCCAACAGCGCTTTAACTGGTCCTGCTCTCCGCGAGCCGACAGATGGTCTCTCTAACGAATATGTCAAGAATTTCTTCATCCGCAAAAAGGTCTCAATTGATGAGACAGGCTTGGTCAAGGATGCTTTTGGAAGAATAGTAGGAAAGGCTGTGGAAGATGATGAGGGGGCCTGGTGGTCTTATGCAAGACGGATGACGATGACACTGAACGGCGACGTGTTTGACGCTGATGGTGATCTCATTGGTGTCTGCGAAGTCGTCTCCGAAACGGCTAAAGACCTCACCGATGAAGCGAAGGACGGCTCCTCTGTCGACGAAGCCGGCCAAAGCTCCGCCACTGATAGCGATGCCGAGAGCCTGATCCTTGAACCTCACGAATTCAAAGCTTTGGTGACGGACCGCAAGGATATCGCAGCTGAATGCGGTCTCGACGTAGGCCACACAATCCTTGATCGATCCTCTCAAGACTCTCTGATCGTGTCCGGCTGCCTCGGCCATGGGTCCCTCGGCATAGTTGAGGAAGTGCGTAGGCCGAACTATAAGACCTTCGTTCGAAAGCGGGTTCAGCTTCCCTATCGTCAACGAAAAAGACGTCTACAGATCATCCAGGAAGAAGCGAGAGTCCTTGAAGACTTGTGCCATCCACATATCGTTCAGATTCTAGGCTCATACGAAGACCATACATACGGCACCAAGCAGTTCTATTGCCTGCTCATGTCGCCGGTTGGAGACGGTGACCTTCAGACATTCATGGACGAGCTTGGAGCTCGAGAGCCAACAGAAATGGAGATTCGATGGCTGATGGACTGGTTTCCGTGCTTGACCTCCGCATTAGCATACATGCATGACCAAGGAGTGCGGCACCAGGACATCAAGCCATCTAATATCGTTCATCGAGGCCCACAGATCTTTTTCACGGATTTCAGCTCCTCGTCACGTTTCAAGATCGGCCATACCACTTCTACAGAGAACCCCGCGCGAACGTCAGCCATGTATGCTGCGCCTGAAATGCTTGACTACCTACAAGATGACGGCACATTGAGCAAGCATGGCCGAGGTGCCGATATATTCTCCCTAGGGTGTGTCTTTTCGGAGATGGGGACGATAATTGGACATAAGTTCAGCTTGAGAAAGTCCATTCATGAGTTTCAAGATTTCCTATTAGCACCACCACAAGGCCGACGCCAAAGCAACAGCTCAGCAGCAGCCCGAGGTATACTTATATACAGTCGAGTGACAGAAAGGATCGCCCTATGGTTTGAGCAACAAGTCAACCTTAACGACGTCTTCAAAGGCGTCATCGCGCCAATGATACGCCTTCCGCGGGAAGATAGGACTGATGCGCATGAGGTTATGCATAACCTTTTCAAATTGGACGAGGACATTTTCAGAGAGAGCAAAGGGAAAGAATACCTCTGGAGCCCTTGCGACTGCCATCGACTTGGCGGAAATTTTGAAAAGGTTAACAGCGGTTGACAAGAATGCTGGATTGCGCAGATGTCTACAACTTCAAGGCTGGCTCGATCCTGCCTACACAGTCCCCAAAACCAACTAGGGCATCATCGTCAAACCTACAGACTCCAGTGATGGTTACCTCATCTCCATCCTCGAGGAACTTCCGCTCTTCTTCCCCCGAAAGCTTGATGGAGACCTTTCCGTTTTCGGTTTGCTCTAGCAGACTTCCTCGCTCCGACGGCTCCAATCCACTTATGGTTCCCGAGCCCAAAAGGTCTCCAACTTCAAGTGGACAGCCGGTAATGGAGTGGTGCGTGAGCATTTGAGGAAATGACCACAGAAGGTTTCGTGAGCTTGTCCTGCAAACAGTGCTCGATTGGCCGGATGATGCTGTATATGGTCAATACTGCCAATTCGTTACGCCGTCAGTACCTACTTTTGAGATCAACCTGTAGCTTGATATCGTACACGTTCTCTGCCTTCTTCTCTTGGAGATATGGCAGAACCTGGGTATCATTCTCTAAGCCTTTTACTAAGAACGGTTCCAATGCGTCAGCTAATACGACCCACGCACTGATTGAAGTCCCAAAGTTTTTTGCATTGAAGGGTCCCAGTGGGACGTACTCCCATGCTTGGACATCTCTAGCCGACCAATCATTCATCAAGACAACACCAAAGAGGCTTTCCTCCGCTTCTCCGATTGGGATAGGCTCTCCCATTCGGTTTGCTCTGCAGACAAAAGCTCCAAGCTCCAACTCGATGTCTAGCTTTTTGCAAGGTGAGAGAACGGGTACCTTGTGCTCAGCAGCAGGGTTCTCCAAGATCTGGCCATTTGGTCGACGAATCGGCGTCCCTGACACGACTACCGAAGAAGCACGGCCATGGTACCCGACGGGGAGGTGTTTGTAGTTCGGCTGCAGGGCATTTGCAGGCCCGCGAAACAGCACGCCTACGTTGTACGCATGATTCAGACCAGCGTAGAAGTCGGTGTAGTCTCCGATCGTGAAGGGCAGATGTGTCTGTACTTCTTTCAGGGGAAATATGGCTTGCTTCTGGAGGCGCGAATTGGTCTTGAGGACCTCTGGGTAGGGAGTGTCTTTGGCAAAGACGCTCTGTATGTATTTGCGAACCACGGAGTGGATTGGCCGGCCTAACGCAGCAAAAGCATTTAAGGTAGGCTCCGAGAAGACAGCTTGATGAGGCTGAATCGTAGATATAGCGGAGAAGCCGTTGTTTGCGGCGAAGATGGCTAAGTCTAAGGCGTAATCTCCGATGGCAGTTGCAACATGTGGTGTCGACGAAGGAATGGATATGATGCCAAAGGGGATGTTGGCTAGAGAGAAGTGGGAGCCTCTTGGTATATCGAACCAGGAGTGGGAAGACATGATGGGCAGAATGGTAGATGAAGACGGAGACCAAGGTCACTAGATTCGTAAATAGACATGGAACGAGCTATGCAATTCTTTACCTTGCACGAAGGTTTCGGCCGGCGACTAGCGGCTGGCAGCGGAGGTGAGCGAGTGGGTCTGGGTGTGGAGATGCCTGCGAAGATCGCGGGCGGAAGCATTCCGTCGCCATCCGGCCTGCTCAACTCCAGCTTCTTCTCCACCTGCCTCCCCCAGCGTCCGCCAGTAGCCGTCCAGCGTGTGCTACAGCTGCCCACAACTCCATCATGGCCACACGGCTTGCATCCGCGCCTCTCTCTGCCTACGACGACCCTCACACTGCCCTGCATCCTCGGAAGCCGCTAGCTGGCCTTTTTAAGCACATCTCTTTTTCCCGCAAGCGTGCTAAGCACCACATCCCCCTCACTGAAAGGAACTTGACCCAGTTCTTCAACCCGGACTACAGCGACGAGCACGATGCCTTCCACCCAGTTCGCCCTCAAAGAAAAATATCGATACCTGAATGGCTTCAACTCCTACCATGAGTATGCCAAGCCGAGCCTTGAATCCGTTCGCGTTACTGATCGCGTGCAGGTCTGAAGCTATAGACGGAGCTCTACCCATCGGCGCCAACTCCCCTCAGAAGCCCCCGTATGGCCTATACGCTGAGAAGCTGTCGGGGACCGCCTTTACAGCTCCGCGGCACGAGAACCAGCAGTCTTGGTTATATCGAGTGCTACCTTCCTCTGCCCATGCGCCATACGAAGCTCGAGAATCTGCTACATATAATACGAACCCGGAGAACAAGCCACACGAGAAGATCCACCACATTCCCAACCAGCTGCGATGGGATCCCTTCGATATGAACGAGACTGTCGACTGGGTCCACTCTCTGCATCTCGTAGCTGGAGCTGGAGACCCAACGATGAAGACTGGCATCGGCATCTTCATCTTTGCCGCTGGAAAAGATATGGATCCACATGAAGCGTTCTACTCCGCAGACGGCGACTTCCTCGTCGTTCCCCAGCACGGCGTCCTAGACATTCAGACTGAGCTTGGCAGGCTTCTTGTCCGGCCAAATGAAATATGCGTGATACCACGCGGCATCAGATACAGAGTCATGCTCCCCTCAGGGCCAGTCCGAGGCTATATCCTCGAGCTCTACCAAGGCCACTTCCAGCTCCCCGAACTCGGTCCCATCGGCTCTAACTGTCTCGCCAACGCCCGCGATTTCCAAGCTCCCGTCGCTGATTTCGACGAAGACACAAGCACGACATGGCACGTTCTCTCTAAATTTGCCGGACGCCTCTTCAGCGCAAAGCAATCACATACGCCCTTTGACGTGGTAGCCTGGCACGGGCTTTATTACCCCTACAAGTACGACCTAGGCCGCTTCAACACCATCGGCAGCATATCCTACGACCACCCCGACCCATCCATCTTCACAGTTCTCACCGCGCAGTCAGACCACCCCGGCACCGCTGTAGCAGACTTCGTGATCTTTCCCCCACGATGGTTGGTAGCAGAAGACACCTTCCGACCACCATGGTATCACAGGTGCGTTAAGTCCTCTCCAAACTTGGACCCAGAATCCACAGCTAATATCTATCCCAGAAACACCATGTCCGAATTCATGGGCCTCATCCACGGCCAATACGACGCCAAAACAGGCGGCGGCTTTCAGCCCGCCGGCGCGAGTCTGCACAACGTAATGAGCGCACACGGACCCGATGCCGCTACGCACAAGAAAGCGTCGAATGCCGAGCTGAAACCAGCAAAAGTGGGTGAGGGCAGCATGGCGTTTATGTTTGAGAGCTGCTTGATGGTGGGCGTGACGGAATGGGGCCTGAAGAAGTGCAGGAAGGTGCAGGAGGACTATAATGCAGAGAGTTGGGAGGGGTTGGAGGTGAGATTCAAGAGGCCAGAGGGGAGTAAGTATGGGGAGTGGTAATTAGACGTAATTTATTTCATTCTTCAAATCGGAGCCTTGGAACGAGGTGAGAGAAAGTCTTGATGGGTTGAAGAGCCTCCGGCGGCATCGGAACATGTCAAAATTTATCGGGAAAGGCTGGAAAGCGGTCGTCCCTCAAGAAAAAGAACGAAGCTCACCCTCTGAGGACCCCACTTTTCGCCCCTAGACACGGTAAAGATGAAGTACGTCTATACTTCATACCCTGGTTTTTGTCCTCTGGACGTTTCAATCCGATTTCTATCTCAAATAAGACTCTTCACGCGTGTTTTCGAACAAAGTGTATTTACTTGCACGACTTTCAACCATGCGGGGTTACTTCCTCTACACTCCACACTTTTTAATCCGAGTAGACGTCCCGAAAAGGAGAATCACAACGTGTAGTTGCTTCTGGGCATGTAAGCACGCGGTGTCACTCCCTCAGCGCTCTACACTTTTCTGGAACCCGATCACGTGGCTATCTATATCTAGATAACTATAGTAGGTGCCTGTTCTGTGGGTAAAACCACGCGGTGTCGCTTTCTCTGTGCTCTACACCTTTTTGTCTGACAGTTCATCCCAATTATGATATGCACGCGGTGTAGTTGCTTATGTGGCTGTAAAAGACGCGGTGTTACTTCCTCTGCACTTCTCAATCCGATTAGACGTCCCGAAAAGGAGAATTATCAAAGTGTGGTTGCTCCTGCGCGTAGAACCACGCGGCGCACTTCCTCAGTGCTCAACACTTTTCTTAGACTCTATCACGTGGCTATCTTAATTTGGAAGACCACCCTACGTGGTTGTTCTCAGGCATATAAGCACGCGGTGTTACATGCTCTGTATTCTACACTTTTAGTCTTATAATCTATTCTGATCAGGATATTCACGCGGTGTAGTTGCTCATGGGCGTATAAAGGACGCGGGGTTACTTCCTCTGGACTCTATACTTTTCGACTCCAGAAATCTTCCAGGATAGAAGATTCAGGCAGCGTAGCTACTTCTAGGTGCATAAGCACGCGGCGTTACTTCCTCAGCGCTCAACGCCTTTCTCGAACTCTACTACGTGCCTATGTACATACCAGATTCGGATAGCTACACCACTTGACTGCTTCTAGGTGTACATTATCGACTGATTTGTCTCCCCCTATTTCCCTCTTACATCAGCGCCGTGTCCCCTATTTTATCTACAAAATAAACAATACCCAGCTCAACTTCGACTCGCTTGCTGGTTAAGCTACGCCGCACTGGTTAGAATACTTACCGTTAGCTTATATTTGTACTTAAACTTGGTCAACTTGTCCTGATTCTGGGAGACCTCTCCAATCAATAAAATCATTGAGCACCTCGTCTGTAGTCGCGCAAGAGGCTATCCGGGGCGGTAAGGCTATCATAAATGCCCCCAATCCTGCAAGATATCAAAGACCATATACATGCGTGTTCTGCGTAGCCTCCGGTGTGGTTGTTTCCTCGAAGAGGTTTTGGGGTTGCGCAAATATCGTACAATGTATCACTTACGTAGGACCAAAACGCCCCTGGTGCAATTGTAAACCCGGTGTGTTGTGAATAAACTGGCATGCAATCGCAAGGTAGAAAGAAGAACAGTCAATTGTTGCAACTGTATAGCTAAGATCGTAAAGAAAGTAAAGATCTCTTCAAGTTCCAGAGGTCGGTTTCCGTCAAACCTTCACATCTCCATCATCATTCCCACTTCAAATCACATCAATGTTTCCTGAAAATTTGAAAGAATTGAAAATGAGGTCTTCTTCAGCGACTTTATACTCCTCGCGGCCGCCAGCACAGCAAGGGTGGGATGCATATCTCCATTTATGGTATTCAGGGGTCTCTGTCCCGAGTTTCTCCATACGATCTAGCATCTGTATTGAAATCGGTCTTCACTCAGGTTGTTATTCGATCATTTCCTCGACAAGGACAAGAAATTTACCAGCAGGGATATGAAGATTTTCATCTTGTTCATCTTGTTCATCTTGTTCATCTTGTTCATCTTGTTCATCTTGTTCATCTTGTTCATCTTGTTCATCTTGTTCATCTTGGTCAAGTGTTGCTCGTATCTCCCTCAGTTTAGCAATCTGCTGTCGCACCCTCGGCAAGTTGGAGTGAAACGACTCGTCGCTGCCATCCTGTGCGCGGAAGTCGTCGAAATCAGAAAGCAACACCCGGAGAAGCGTAGTACACATCTGTATAAAGACGCATCCTAGGGAGAATATATCGGACGCTCTTCCCCGAGGAAGATTTGCTGCCACCTCTGGACTGCACCATTTTCTAGTCATTGATGTTGGGCCTTCAGTTTGAGAGCCTTCTTCCACTGTAAAAGCTTGACTGATACCGAAATCTGTCCTAAGCAGCTTAGCCATAATTTCTCAAGATAAATGGTGAGTATCTTACAAGTAAATCGACCGTGTAGGGTCTTCGCCTATATACCGCCTTTCGTGGACTAGGATGTTGCTCGGCTTGATATCCATATGCCGGATACCTTGCTCGTGCATATAGCTCACAGTACGCGCTAAGCAAAAGAAGAACCGCGACAAGTCTTGCTCTACAAGGGCAGGGTGTGAGTTATATCCGTGACGGGAGGACTCACACCAGGTTCCGCGTGGACTCCATTCATCCAAGAACTTGGCCAAATCACCAGTAGCTTGACCAGATCCTCTAGCTTTGCGCGACGATTGACTCGGATACATTTATGCGCAAGGCGGATGCGGCGACAGCGAACAGATTCAATCAACGCAGTACTGGAATGTCCAATTGCTCTTTCGACTTCGAGTGGGATAGCTTCGTTGCCTTGAAACTCCATATGTTGACCTCGACCGGACCAATTCAGTTCGCTACAAGTAGGTTTAAATCAGCAGGCCGTTCAGTGAATGGGATATGCTGTTAGTCAATACATAGGTTATATTTCAGCGAAGATCGGATGGCTCTTCGATAGGATAGTAGTAATCGGGTACGTGAACAAGGGCATCGGATGGTTCTTGAGGTCCTTGCAGGGAGTCTACGGGAAGCTCGCCGAATGTAGCTGCATTCCATCCGTGGGTGCCTTGTTCCATATTCCGAGTCAAAGGTGGTTGAAGTTGCGTTTCGAGCAGGCTGAAGATTGTACTGCAGGGCTTCAAACTTACAAGGTTCAGTAGCTCCAGCCTTCAGAAGTACTCACCGCCTTATGCAAGGGCACTGGGTCGTGCATGCTCTTCTTACAATTCCATCAGCTGGCTACTATCAGATATTGCCCATAGAGCGTACCCCACGGAATTTGGGCAGAATGTGATAGTTTAAAGTGCATCAACGATTGATTGAACTTCTCGGCAGGCACCTTCTTTCACGCTTTGTCTGGCCTTGTGTACTCTCCTCTACAACCTCCTCGACGTCCATATTCTCATCGCCAAGCTCCTCACGGCGTGTTCGTGTCGTTCGTACCGTGCCCGCTGCGCTTATTCCTAGGACACGGAGCCGCTCAAATAGCTTCATAGAGCTAAAGAGATTGTCCAGCCAAGCCACGTGCTTGTGGGGGTGGGGGGAATTGTTGAGGAGGTGATTGAGGCCCGACTTGGTGACGGACCAGTAGGAGTAATGGAGCCCGTTTGGGCTCCTCTTCCCTTTTTGTACTCGTAGACTCTCAGTAATGGCACGAATCATGCATTTCCCGTAATGGTCTACCGTTCGTGCTGGTCTCTTACATGTACCTTCGTAATGGTACAAACTTTGGGATGGTACGCATCCCATACTAGTCCCTATTTTGATTCTGTTGAGCAAGTGATTGTGTCTTCATTAATTGTCTGGCTATGGATGGGCGGGGTGCCTCATATATGTATCCATTCTCACCCCTTGTCACATCGTTTCAGCCACCATTAACCGTGACATTCAACAGATTCTTCGTAATGGTACGCTTTCGGAACGGCACGGATATCGTACCAATCCCCATGGCGCTTGTTATGGTCCGCATCCTGTACTAGCCCTAATTCTGCCGAATTTGTACTGGTATGTGAGTCGTACCGACTCTAATCTTTAATTGAACGTACTGTTCCCAAAAGCCAACACTTCGTACCAGTACAGATATTACTTGGGACGCATATGTACCAGCCCTAATTCTGCCAATTTGTACCGGCTGATTGAACTTGAATAACTTTCGTACAGGTACATTACGCCATAAGTCTTGCTGGATGATGGGGCTCTGTGCGGAAAACGTGACTTACTGAAATTCAGGATGAGGCTGAACATTAAGTTCGTAGCATGGTTGATTGCCATAAAGGCGTCTTGGGCAAGATCCAGGAACGTCTCCGAGGTAACGACTATACTCGAGATTCTCTCTCCATCATTGTGGGATGCGAAATCACATTTGAGTGTCACGCGCGGAGGCCCCAGATCTTCTTAAGCTTGCTGGGAAGGAGGAATATTCACCTTGCTAGAAAGAGAAGTGCGAAATCTGCTGGAAGCCTTATACGACGCCTCGTTAGAATTGCGAGTGCTATGGATGCGTTACAAACATCAGCCACCACATTAAATCGCCCTCTTCATAGTTCGCGGGCAAACCAAGCATGTCTTGCTACCTCAGCGGCGGTCAAACGATGGCTCGGCTCATAGGCTAGAGCTCCTCTGAGGAGGTCCAGCAGAAGGTCCAGGTCCTCGAGCGAGAGCTCAGGCATTGCTTTCTGAATCTGCGAATCAAGGAGGCGAGTTCGCGGGATTTGGTCATCAAACCAAGCATATTTCTTACCAGGCTCGGAGGTAAGAGGGTTGGCTTTATCGAACCAGGAATCCTGCCATGCTTCTGGTAAAGCTCCAAGGGCCTCAATAGTAATCCCCAGTGCCTCCACGACCGTGCCGAAGCCTGTTGGGGCGAATATACGAGAGGTGTGCATTTCAAATATAAGACACCCAAGAGCCCATACATCTGACGCTGGCGAAGGTTGATATCCAAAGAGCATCTCTGGTGCAAAGTATGATGCCGGTGTCCCGAGTCCAGCTGGTGGGCTGTTTGTGTAAAAGGCCTCCCCGAAGTCTGCTATGCGAATACCGCCGGATAAGAGTCCGATATTGAAGTTGGAGTAACTAATGGCAGAAACGGCCTGGACCGGGCAAATGCTGGTGCAGGGTTCCCATTAAACTGCAGAAGTGTGACCGCTTCCGGTGTGCCTAGATGCTGATATGTCTCAACTTCAGACCATTGTTGAAGATCCTTGATGTCAAAAAGGACATTAGAGTATGTCAGATCTAGAGATAAATCAGCGGCGATTTTCCTATAGACGAATATAAAGAGCTTACCGCCATGACATATCCCGGCAGAGCGAAGACTTGCCACACATTCTGCAAGCTGTTGAGCCGCTGGCCGGACAAAAGATATCGGAAGGGGCTTGCCGGATTTGCTGATGGCTCGTAGGTTTGGTCCTCCCGCCTCCGACACTAAACAGTTGTGGGTACCGTTCGGACCAGCGATAGTAAAGGTGTCCAGGAGATTTGCTATATTAAGGTGATTTGCAACACTTTGCAGATACGTTAAGATAAGGATCTCTCTATTTGAAGAGTCTGCGCGAGGGATCTTTACGGCAACGTATCGCTGCTCACCTAGCACTCGAGCTAGCCAGACAGTAGCAAAGCCTCCGTTACCAAGTTTATTTATAACTTTGTATTTGTGTCCAAGTACATCACCCAGATTTACAGGATGAAACCCACCCGGGCGGTACATAGCCACATCTTCAACGTAATCCAAGTCCAGTGTGCGTAAGCCCAGGATATGTGATGATAACGGTGGTGGCGGCGGAGGGGGTGGAAGTGGTGGTTGGGAACAATGTGGTGATTGAGACGGTTGAGGCGTTAGAGGTTGGTGAGAGGACGGCGGTAGAGGTGGTGGAGGTGGTGAAGGTACGTTCTCAGCGTTTCCGGAAGTCATTTTCAGAGCTCAGGTAAATGAAGCGATAATGACCGCTAGTAAGGAAGGGTGTACGAGTGCTGTAATGAGAAGAAGCTGGAGTTTGGTAGCTGCTGGTTGCGCAAGCGGAGAAGCAAAGAAAACTAACCGTAACGAAGCGCGCGTCAACATAATTGATTGGTTAACAGAAGGTTAATTAAGCTAATTAAGCTTCTACTTACTTAAATAGCCAGTAGGGGCTTTTATTTTAGGGGAGGGATAAACGCACCACCCCTAATCACTCCACGCACACCCTGTTGCTTCACCGCCTTCTAATTGGCTTAGAGGGCTACTCCATAGCCTCCGATTCGCTCGCTTAACTCGCTCACTAATTCCGAATGCTCTCTCCAAATGCGGCCATGTACAACACAAGCAATCGCATTATACCGATTTGTATAGCCTTACGTACGAGCTCACATACAAGCTTACGCACGAGCTCACGTACAAGTTCACGTACAAGCTCACGTACAAGCTTACATACAAGCTTACGTACAAGCTCACGTACAAGCTCACGTATAGCCTCACGTACGAGCTCACGTACGGCCTCGTGTATAGCATCACGTACGGCCTCGTGTATAGCATCACGTACGGTCTCGTATATAGCATCACGTACGACCTCGCGTATAGCATCACGTGCAGAGAGATGTAAAGGTGAATGCCCGGAGGAAGCTCCGCGTTGCTCCGAGCCAATTAGAAGGTGGTGAAGCGCCAAGAGAGGGGGGGTGTGCGTGGAGTGATTAGGGGGTGTGCGTTTATCCCTCCCCTTATTTTATTAGCTGGAATTGTTAGAAAATGGGTTGGGCGACAGATAGAACATCTACGTTTTGCAGGAAAGGGAGGAATAGATTCAATCCACGAACGAACCGCTGGCATTATGTCCTAGAATGGCGTCTGCGGCAGTAGGGTTGAACCTTGCTATTAGACGGAGCCTTTAGCGCGCTTACGCGAGGCTGGGGCTGTGCTCTTGGCATGGCGGGAAAAGGCCCCCATAAAAAGGCGTCCCAAACGCTCATTTTCGGAGGGGTATTTACCAGAAACCAGCGTTTATTTGGATATCTACCCTAATAAGGAAATCACACGGCTTAGTCACATATGTATCGCTAACCACGTAGCGTTGCTTTCTCTATACTCCCCACTTTCCACTTCGAGATTATCTAGATTAAGAAAAATTACACAGCGTGGTCAATTCTGCAGTTATAAGCACGTAGGGTCACTTCCTCAGTGCTCTACGCTTTCGAATTGTCTAGACTGGGAGATGTATTTCTCAGCACCCCTACACGATACCGATCCCCATCACTCAACCTCTCCCCAAACTAAGCTCCCCCCCACCCTCTTACTCCTCATCCTCTCCCCTCCTCAATCTACACCCCAAACTCCTCCCCCACGCCCTCCACCAACCCAACCAACTCCCCACTCACCTCTCTATCCCCCCTCGCCACTCTAACCGCCGAGCACACCAACGGAAACAGCCTCACAAGATGCTTCTTCATCGGCGCGCTCACCCCCTCCGCATCTGGAATAGCCCTGGGCTCACACTCCATCCCCCTCATCGCCCTCACAACTTCCAGCAACTCCCTTCGCTGGCTCTCAGGCTGCGGCATGCGGCCCCTAAGCGGCTGGTCCGCGATATACGCCTTGAGCGGCAACGCCGCGCGGAGAATAAGGTACGGGGCCGCTGCCTGCGCAAGCTTGACTTCCTCGACGCTGCTGGAGTGTATAGACACGAGCGACACGAGCTCGGCGAGGCAGACGTAGGCCATGGCAGAGCGGAGAGTGAGCAGCGGGTCAGCGGTGCGGCCGTAGCGGGGTTTGTAGAGATCTGTGAGGGGCCCAGTGCCCGGTGGGGGGATCTCGCCGGGCCCGGTGGCATGAACCAGGGAGTTTGTGAAAAGGTGCGCGGTGTACGCGCGTCTTGTTGTGTCTGGGATAGAGGGGCTGCCGAGGGCAGGGGTGATCATGTCTCTTAAGCTTTTGAATGCTGCGATGTCGAATTGCTCGTCTTTTGAGAAGTTAGTGGTGGGAGGGGCCGAGGAGATGGCGGCGCGGGCGATGGCGGAGGCAAGGTGGATGACTTGGTCCCAGATGTTTCTTGTGGTCTCTTTCGTGAGGGAGAAGGCGCGGGATTGGGGTAAGGCGGGTTCGAGGATGGCGAGGGCGGTAGATGTGGCTTTTTGCCAGGCTGGGGGGGATTTGCCTTCGAGTTGCCAGATGTATTTTTCTTGAATTGGTTTGACGAGGCTGACGAGGGCGAAGTCGAGGGCGCCGCTTGTGAAGACTTCTTCGAGGGATATGTGCTTGATTGCGATGGCCTGGAGTAAAGACATTGCGGCCTTTGATAGTGCGACGAAGGTTGGACCTTTCTGTCCAGAGTCGGGCGACGTTTTTGTGAAAGGAAGAGCTACGAATCGAGACAGTAGCTTGATGAGGAAAGATGGGGCTCCAGTAATATCTGAACGTACTAAGGCAATACACTCGGTGACTTGCGTTTGCAGAGGTGTCATGTAATCGACGTCAGAAGAGTAAGCGATCTTTTCGGATAGCAAAACGGAGTCTTCGAGATTCGTAATCATCCCAAGAACTTGCTCAGCTTCTATTGCATCTTTGCTGAGCCGGTATATCTCCTTGAAGGCTTGAGCATAAGCCACAAACGCGTCTTGAGTACTATCTCCTTCAGCCCGCCAGAGGCCTCGATGATCAAAGTATTTCCTCCAGAGGCTTGCTGTCTGGAGAAGGGCGGGGACCCCAATTTTATTGAGATCTTCGCTTTTCGAGAGTACGCCAGTAATAGCAGTGAATATGGATGCCCCAAGAGAATGCGAGCGACAGGTGTAGTACCGCTCGAAGAACTGCAGAATCGTGCCCCACGCATTACCGAAGTCCGCTGAGCTCTCGACGGTATCCAAATAAGTCGTGAACAAGCTGGTCATTGCTCTCAATATCACCTTCGTGGTATCGTTCCAACTCGCGATTATTTCGGAATCAGGCCCTCGCTCTAAAGATCTAAGACTCAGCTGCACATTGAGATTGGCTTCTATCATGCGGAATAGGACTACGCGCAGACAAAACATCCAGGTTTCAGGGGACATTTGGTCCACGTAATTGTCGAAGATCCTTAGAATAGTTTGAACTGCGCCATTTCTCACTTCCATACGGTCATCAGTGGTGACTGCAATGAGATAAAGCAGCACTTGGATCCAGAGGGCAGGAAGAGACCCCTGGTTGGATGCTTCTTCGATATCGTGGCGCACGTCCTCTCCCGCATGTTGGCGAGGCAAAGCTGACATGTCTATTCGATTGTGGAGGAAATCAGAGACATTCCAGAAAAAGGTAATAGTCTAAGAACGTCAGTGGGTCCCTACAGCAGGATATCTGACAAAAGAGACCACTCACCGTCAAGGACATGTTTAGGTCGTCTTGTTGAGCGCAAAAGAGAATGAGTAGTTCAAGAAGAGTGGAAATGGAGCTATCCGGGACTGTGGCCAGAAAATCTGAGCATACCAAATGCGCAGAGCCGAATGCTGAGCGAGCAAGTCTTTTCGATCTGACTCGGGAAGGTTGGAGAGACAGATCCGTGCTACGTCCGTTGGATTTGTGAGAATCCGTCTCGTTGTGCTTTGAGTGACGGGTTTCAAAAGCGCTTTTCAGTACAACAAATACAGAGTCCCACCCTGCAGTGAGTGATTCTCCACACTGCTCCATGACAGATTTCAAAGCCTCCAGAGCGATGTGGTGGACTTCGACATCTGTCTCGTCGATAGAATCCTCGTCCTCTGGCTGGTCTTCATAAAGTGCCGATATTTGGTATTGCAGAGCAGATAGCAGCCGATCCTGAACGTCGCTGTTTTGGCCTTCTGCTTCCATCATTGAGAGCCCCGCAATGTCTTTCACTGTCCTCGCAATTATATCAGCCGCGAGGAGTCGAGCAGAACTAGCAATGCTGCAGTTGATGCAAGTTGAGACAAGCTCTTTGATCATGATTTCCCAGCCACTTTCAGTCGCCTCATAATGGGCCAGTCGCGATTCGTTTAGCACGACGAGGTCGGCGATTTTGTTGAGGGCAAAGACGTAATCTCGAGCGTCGGACTCAGTGTTCAGAGATATTCCAGATATGCTTCCAACCCTTCGTTGATGATGTATGGGGGTTCCGAACGATCCACTAGAGGCCCTTGGTGTACTTGCAGGCAGAGACTTTCCGCGAAGGAGACTGCAAAGAGAATCCAGAACTTGGACGAAGGAATCATTCGGATAGTCCGCAGTACTTTCGAACAACCTAGATGCAGCAGATTGAACAGCAGCAATCTCCGAGCCAAGACTCTGCGCAGATGTCTCGCCATCGTTCCGAGCACCACCTTTTGTATTCGATGCAGCCATGACTATATCTGCCTGTTGCAATGTTTCAAATGCTATTGACCACGAATCTCCTAGAGTAGGGCCCAAAGCGATGGCAAGATTCAGCAGAGCTCTCAGACAGAGTAGATTCCTTGTGGTCAACTGAGGGTTCATGGCGTCCATTGACGTACCCCTGGACCTGTCTTGAGACAACGTGGAGCTCTGGCTGACAAAACTATCCACGCTGAGGAGCCCTTTTGGATTGGAGAAGATGCTTGGACTTTCTAATGCGGGTGTCTTGGGCGAAGCCAAGTTTGCAGTTAGCACATGGGATGGTACCGCAGCTTTTCCGAGCGTCGTCAAGAACGCATCTCTTGGGGTGGATAATCTCAAAAGACCGGCAACCTGTGTGAACTTCTGGATAGATCGAACCAATGCTCGGTAGTAGTCTGTATCTAGTGCCGCATGGAGAAAAGTTGAACAAGTAGCAAGTACAGCGGGCCAGCATTCGTTTATGAGATCGGCCGCTGTTTTAATTCGAGTGTACGCCGAGTGCTTCTCTAGATCTAAAGGGTTGATTGGGACGGTCCTTTTGCGATACGATTGAGTCCTCGAAAGTCCAGAAGGAGCAGGAGAACCATTGTCTTGAGGTGATACCTCTTGTGCTTTAGCCTTCTTCTTGGCTTTGCTTTCGGTGTGCACTGTTAACGGAAGTATGAACTTGGCCAAGCTTTCTGATAGGTTGTTGATACAAGTCAACACTAAGCTGTATATGTACGTCTCGGGGAGGTTGGGTGCCTCAGACTTGTCAAGGTTATCCAAACAAGGGGTCCGTATCGAGCTCCATTGAATGCTTATACCAATGCCAGTTGGAGCGGCGTTGTTATTGCTTGGGCCCGCAATGACGCCCGCAATAGAACTCTCGACGACCGCTTGGTCAGCTTGTGCATCTTTGTTATTAAGGGTGACCGGCGCCGTTGAGTGGTGACCCAGACCTATCGCCGCAGGCTTTTCGGTCGATAAACGAACGAAGGCTGCGAGATTGTCGCGTAGTATGATTTTTTTGCCATTCGATCCGTCGTATTCTCCGTAGATCTGAAGAATCAGGTTGGGGTCCGAATAGAGTCCGCGAAACACTTCCATGCAAAGGGCTCGCTTCCATGGGGGTGATGCTTCGGGGTCTAACATATGGTTCAATAGTCCCAAGGCAATCTCGCATTCCGATGGCATGACTGCTAAATGGTTTCGAATCAAAACGTAAAGGATTCGAATGACACGTAATGCTATTGGGAATGTGAGCCGATCAGACAAAGATCGAATGATAAAAGGCATTAGTAAAGACCTTAAAGTGTGGCCTTGCTCCGGATGGCTGGAGAAGATAGTGCCATGATTGGTGAGGACTGATTCAATGAGTTCCAATCCGGATGTCTGCGATAGCGAAGAGAATCGGATAAACTCAGCCTTGCCGCCTTCTGTTACGAGACAAAGATCGCGGAACATCTGCTTTTGTTAGCAAGCTTTAGAGTATAAGTATATAAGGTTACATACCTTGTATGCATCATGTGCTGCTGGTCGCACCGTCGCCGAAGTATCACCTGCTGGAACTTCGGCGATCGTTGGAATCTCAAGAGATCTGTCTTTCAGTCATTTTAGCGGCCTATTTTAGGGAGTTGAACATTCGAATACGCCCTACCATCTTCCGAAGCTACTTTGTCAAAGACAGAGATCACAAGTTGCTGCAGTGTCGCAGCGGCAGTATTTCCCACTGCCGGGTTCTTGACGGTCTGCAAAAAGGAGCATACTTGCAAGGAGAGGGAGAGTAACTCTCCCCTGAGCTCATTTGAGTAGTTCTGAAGCAAGGACGGAAGTGCTTGCAATATCTTCAACTGGATTTCGAGACCTAAGGACAGTAAGCAATGATATACGTAAGGGGTCGAAATCAGTACCTAGTGGACTGCAATCTTTGAAGGCTTCCAAAACCTCACGTAGCCTCTCTCTAGGCAGCGCTCGTGATACAGCAAGTCTCTGGAGGCATGTTACCCCATAGGCTGCAAACTTCGCATTGTGGGTGCCACAGGCTAACAGAAACGGCGAGATGAACTGCGGTCTTCTGCTCAAGTCTTCTGATGGTCAGCATGTAGAGCATAGTCTAGGGATTCACAGATTCTAGCTAACCTGCTGCAAGTTGGGTTTCTGAAGTGGCTGGAAGAGCCTTGAGGTCTTGGAGAGCCTTCTCCGAGGCCTGTATCCCCAAATTAGCAGTTTGTTCACCCGAAGACTCATTCCATGACGAGATTCATCTACATTTCTTAGCTCAGTATTCTTTCGTTTTGAATCCTGGATGAGGTTTGCAAGTTCCGAGCTGAGGATCTGTGCCGTCATGCTCGAATTTGGATATGCTCATTCACATCCGGTATAGAAAACAGGTGGCCCATGAGGGTTTACGCAATCAAGGGGTGGCCGGGCAAATAGCTTGATGTATAACAGTAGTGTTCGTGGCCTTTGTCAAACGCGTGGATTCGTTGGAGGCGGGACGAGCGCCACGCCAAGCCTCACCGCCAGCACGGCTATCTCGCTGCTGTCTGCTACATTCACCTCCGTCACAGCACCCTTTAACTCAAGACTCTGGGGAAGCCGTGTCTATTCCGCCAACGTGGCCTCACCTTCCTCCTCAACCGACTCTGTCAGCGCTATAGATCTACACTCTCTTTTCCATCTCGATACCCCTCCAATCACGAAGTGGGGCATACAAGTTATTTGTTGCACCAGTCCACAAGATGAGCGCTACGGTACCGAGGAACTTCAGGCTACTGGAGGAGCTGGAGAACGGCGAGAAGGGTTTGGGAGCAGGTGGGCGTGTCACAGAAGCTTTCACGCGACCTCATCTAATGCGACTTAGAGACGTGTTCATATGGTCTCGAGAACGGCGATGACTTGCTCATGTCGGACTGGAATGGTACGATTCTAGGCCCGCCTCACGTCAGTATCGCCCTGGTGCCTCTTTGGATACCGCTGAAGCCTAATGGGTGGAGCAGAGTGTCCATGAGAACCGCATCTACACCCTCAAGATCCACTGCGGCCCCCAATACCCCGACGTCCCTCCAGAGATTTCATTCATCTCCAAGATCAACCTCCCTTGCGTAGACCAGAGGAACGGAAAGGTATAAGCCATGATTTGATAAAGAGGAACATACGCTGAGCGTCCGTGCAGGTCGATGCTTCAAAGCTACCGTGCCTGGTGCAATGGAAGCGCGAGTTCACCATGGAGACCATTCTCAGCGAGCTTAGGAGGTGAGCATAACAATTGCGGCCCAGCAGTGAAGTTGCTCATACGTTTGCAGGTACATGGCTTTGCCCCAGCATAAGAAGCTTCCGCAGCCAGCTGAGGGCGCTACATATGATTGAGATGATAGAGGAATACCACAATACTAAGATGTGGTTGCGGTAAGGTATCAGACGGATGATGGGCTCTCAGGACATTGCGTGGTGGACAACGACTCAGAATGACTGAATGTAGCGTGCTTTGGACAATTCGGAGCCTATACGGTAGCATTGGTATGGTGTTACGGACTCTGCAGTCTTTTATGAGCTTAGGTGTTCTCTAGGAAGTGAATCGATGGCTCTCATATTACTCTGAATCGAAATGTGTTGGAAATGAGGGAAGTTCCGGCCTACTTTCCCAGTATTATGATACAAGTTCAAGTAACTATCGATACAACTAATATAGAAATCTTGCTTCCATAAGAAAGCAGTTTTTGGATGCATGCTCTTGGAACAAAAGCGATTTCAATATGTTGCTTAGTCAGCATAGACTACTTTCTCAATCCGAGCTTCATCTCCGCCTGCAAGATGGATTGCAGAAACATCACGAACCTATGAATGCCGCCCATTCTGATCCTAAAAAGGGATCCGGCGCATCGTATAGCGTGTAAGCGATCGTGATCAGCCTTCAAAAGTAGCCGCTAACGTACTACTCGCAGCAATTGCTCTCTACAGAGCTCTCCTCTCGCAATGCACCGCAGCACCAATAGCCCGTGAAATCCAATCCCCCCTCCGCAACGCTATCAGAAACCGCTTCAGAGACAACCGAGAGCTCCAGAGCCCCAGACTGCTCGAAATAGCATTCCGCGCCGGCTATGAAGTCCGTCAAACCACCCAATCATACTCATTACCACATCCCTAACCTCCACCCCAGGCAATCGACTTCCTCGACGCCGCCGTCGCGGGCGACGCAGACAGTACCAAAATTCTCGAATTCCTAGTCACCGAGCTCCCCAATAACCTCGTTCGCGAGAGGAAACCACCCGTCGTAATTCCCAAGGAGGATCGAAAACCCCACCTCTTAGACTGCCTCCCCCCAGGCGCCAAAGCACTCGAGCAGCACCCCCGCCCCACCGTCTCCGGACGCCGAGGGATACCCAAACTAGTCTCTGCGAGTGGCGTCCCGTTCCTCCGCTTCACGAAGCCACAGCCCAGGAATCTAAGCAGAATAATACGGCAGAAGATTGACGGGAAGAACAAGCGGTTCGAGACCAGGGTTATTCACTCAAATTACTGGCTGCCGCTGGCGCAACAAGAGGATGCGTGGGATGGGTTGCTGATGAGGTGGGTGAAGCCGGAGGAGAGGGAGCCGAGGTGGGCGGAGGAACATCGCATTGCGTTGAAAGATATTTTGAGGAAGTCGGAGGAGAAGAAAGACGAAACTATACGGCTAGCGAAATTGATGCAGAATATCGTGGAGAGGGAGACAGAGTTGGCGAGGATGGAGGAGCTGGAGCGGGTGGAAGTGAGGGAGCGGAAGGGTGCTGCGTCGAAGAGGGAGTAGGTTTTCCTAGTGTACTTACTGTATGAGAGACCTTCGCAGTCCAATGTACAAAATTCTCGAGGTTGGTTCTGCCAGCTACATGCCCATGCACTCCGCATGAGTGTGCGTGTGTAGGCCACTACATGGGGTGCTTCAACGCATTTTCAAAATCTAAACGATATAGAAGCCCTCTGCCTTGGGCTATGTGGAAACTTTTAAAGCGCTTCAAGCAGTGGTAGACAGATGCACCTGTGTGACATCGTGCTTGAAGAAGGTCAACAGAAGATGGCAGCACACGAATCCGTGATTCTGATTTTGGACTTCCTATTCTTGAAGTGTTTATACACTGTTCTGTGCTCGTGTACGCTTGTTTAGCACCACTTGAGGTCCTCCAGTATGCTACTGTTACGTACAAACTGCCAGCTCTGGTAAGCTTAATAGCTCTGTGGCCACCTCAGATGGTGTTGAACTGCTACTCTGTTGAGCGGAGTCTGAGTGCGCCACCTTTTCAAGCCCAGTGTGATGCCAGGATACAAAAGACTAGAAGTCTTTTCGGTGCACATTTGGTCTACATTCTGCCAAAAAAAAAAAAAGAGAAAGAAGCGGAAGGATGACAAAACTTGATTCTCCCATACCCATACGTCCCATCCCCGGGCAGACTCCGGGGCGTACAGTCCCCCAGTACAGTGACCACGTACAGTCTCGCCACAAGAGTGCTTATTCTAGTGATGGAGTAGGAGAGGCTAAGAGAAAGTCTATAGCTCTTAGGAATCTAACAATACTTTTAAAGAGCTAGGAAAGTAGGAAGTCCTGTAGATGTTGCTAGTGAGGACTACCCCTGTCGTTGTACCTCCTCCGGCGGCCCCTCTCTGACACTTCGTTTCCAGATCTCTACTAGAAGGACTTTGCGGGTTGTAGATGTATTTATGGGTGTAAACAGTTTGTGTAGGGAGACTGGACTGGTCTTTCTAAACGGTGGGCGTGATTTAAACTACGCTATGTGTGATGAGATAAACGCCTACTGTACCCCCCCATCTTGTCCCGTCCTCGCTTCAACCACGCCCCCCTAATCCTCTGCTATCTATTTCTGTAGTCTATCGCCTTGGAGCTATCATCAATGAATCACCTAGAACCCTGCATACCACGTATACCTCAAGAGTACGGCAAATCTTAATCGGACCCTCACTCGCATCAAGGATCGGATTGCGTGAGATCTCTCCTAGCGAGGACGATTCGGCATTGAGTCTGGGTTCTACGTGGTATGTCTAGTGCACGTGAAGCATGCAGCTTATCCATCCCAAAACGGTTCTATGGGACGAGTCTATGACAAAGCTCAAGTGTCTTCATAGATAGGGTTTGTGTAAAATATAGACACGAGAAGCCAAAGTTGTCCTGAAATGTCTTCATCATTTAATCACTCGAAGGTCTAAGCTGTAGTTGGTACCTTGAACTCTAATGAAAAGAGACAGCCATCAGCGGTGACTTGAATTTTCAAAGCCTGAGGCTACAACACCATCCTAGACGTCTGATCGACCAAATCCCAGGTTGAAGTCAGCACTAACTGATGCAGTTTCTTGTCCTACGTATTAATATCGACTCCAGTCAACATAATAGTAAAGGCAGCCCGGCCACATTTGCGTCTTCTTCCGAGGCTAGTTCCTGTAGACATCTTAGTTTCGTGATCCTCTTCACGACTTTTCAATCGTTGTCGCGGCTTCAAATTCCGATCACATCTTCTGAAATTCATTTTCATCCAAGGGCACTCGAATGTCATGGCTCTGTTCATCTTTAGCCTGATAGTTGGTGGCTTTTTCGTACTGCTAGCTGTCAGAGTTTTAAATCGGTCAAAAAACGCGAGCAGGCCTCCACTGCCGCCTGGTCCCAAAGGTACTCCTCTTGTCGGCAACTTGAATGATCTGCCTGAGCCCGGCGTACTCGAAGCCCACCATTGGCTCAAGCACAAAGATTTATACGGTTCGTGACGCTTGCTCATGGCTTTTCCAAGATCCCTTTGGCGATGCACCTGGTACTAATACTGGTTATGCTTACCTTTTAACAGGCCCGATTAGCTCTGTGACTGTCATGGGTCAAACTTTGGTCATCCTGAACGCCCCTCGGTTGGCCTTTGAGCTCATGGAGAAACGGTCGGCGATCTATTCGTCGCGACCTAGGCAGGTCTTTGCTGGAGAGATGTACGTCAGAGTTGCCCGGCTCTTGAGCTCCATTTGGATTGCCAGGCCAACAGAAAATGTTGATAATGCTGATGTGGTCGCCTTTGCTCCTACCTAGGGTAGGTTGGGAGAAATCACTCGGGCTATCTCCCAACAATCATCGCTTCCGAACCTACCGCAAGAACATGTCCCGGATCATCGGCTCCAAGGGATTAGCCTCCCAGTTCAATGCATTGCAAGAGGCGGAAGTCGGTCACTTTCTGCTGCATGTCCTTGCCAAGCCTAGGGACTTGCTTGAGCACATCAGAAAGTGAAGCCTCCTTCCTTGCCTATGCATAGTTCTTGCTAGTCCGCTACTGACATCTGCCGAAACTAGAGAAGCGGGTACCGTGATCTTGAAAATTGCCTACGGCTACATAGCGGAGTCCCACAAGAAAGATCCTCTCATCGAGATGGCTGGTGATGTTATGGACAAGTTCGGCCGGGCTGGCGTTCCAGGTGCTTTCAAGGTCGATATAATGCCGTTCTGTAAGTTTGAATGACTGCTACGTAACTTGAGCTTATAAATCGTAGTGAAGCAACTCCCAGATTGGTTTCCTGGCACTGGGTTCAAGCAGACTGCCCGCGAATGGGGTGCTGCTTTGACTGATGTGACGGAGAAGCCTTACGCCTTTGTCAGGCATCAAATGGCTCAAGGACAAAAGAACGGGTCCTTTCTATTGCAGTTGCTGGAACAAGGAGATTCGGATGAGGAAGAAAAGTTTATTAACAAGTGGTCAGCTATGTCTTTGTATACGGCGGGCGCGGATACGGTGAGTTATACGAAATATTGCTTCTTCTGCTTCATATCCGATCTAACTACATCAGACGGTGTCGTCGATCTCGTGCTTCTTCCTAGCCATGACTGTATTTCCGGAGGTGCAGAAGAAGGCGCAAGAGGAGATTGATCGAGTCATAGGATCGGACAGGCTTCCTACCTGTGCGGACCGTGAGAAACTGCCTTACATCGATGCCACCGTGAAAGAAGTTCTTCGTTGGCATCCGGTCGCACCAATGGGCCTTCCCCATACGAGCACGAAAGACGACGTGTGCGAGGGTTATTTCATTCCCAAAGGCTCCATGTTATTCGCCAATGTTTGGTGAGTACTTGATGCTTCAAACCCGCTGAAGGCGAATCTGAATTCGAATTGAACTAGGCACTTTACCCATGATCCCGAAGTCTATTTCGATTCTATGGCTTTCAATCCTGAAAGGTTCCTCACCTCGAACGGCCATGCGCCGGAACCCGACCCGCGCGATTTTGTGTTCGGTTTCGGACGACGAATCTGCCCCGGAAGAAACCTGGCTGAAAATGCGTTATTTCTCAACATTGCACAAACACTAGCCGTTTTCAACATCGGCAAGAGTGTCGAGAACGGCAAAGAAGTTGAGCCTGCCATCAAATTCGAGCCAGGTGTGGTCAGTCACCCAGCGCCTTTTGAAAACTCGATCAAGCCGCGCTCCTCTCGCCACGAGCAACTGATTCGGTCCATTGAGCAAGTCTATCCATGGCAGAAAAGCGATAGTGAAGTACTAGCGAACATAAGCTCTTGAGGGCTCCGTGCGGTATGAATTTGATTTCTTCTGTTTGAAAACAAGGTATCCCAATGAGTGTCCTGTGAAAAGTAGGTCTGGCCGATCAGCGCTGATGCTTTTGACCCTATATGAACCTTCTCTTAACATTTAGTGAAACATGCGGGAGCGGTAGGAAACGAAAAAGGCAAATAGCAAAAACATCTCAGCTGCCCCCGGAATCGGGCTAGGGCAGCACTAGTTGAACTCTGTAAGAGCAGCTGAGAGGTTTTTTCCCTGTTTTTTTTGGTTTTGCCTAATCATGGGGTTGTTGGTGGCGTACGAGAACAACACAGGTAGACCACACCCAAGATTAGATGTTTAGGAAAATAAGTGGGCTTATATACCCTTAGTGGTGTCGAGGTTTACATGTGAGCTAGCTAGTCCAGCAAGTTGTCCCGTGCGAATTATTCACTCTGAGTATACTTGCGATTACTAGAGATATCCATGACTAATCTTCGATTTACCTTTACTTCACACTCTACCTTCACTAGCAGCACGTGCTACTTACAGGACCTCTTCTACTTCACTTACACAGACACAAGAAGGAACGAAGAAGAACACGTGCCTTCCCGTGACACGGCCAGGAAAGGAATATATGGGCTTTTCCTCCAAGTTGGCGTTGAGAACAACAGGACGGGATCGAGTTGCCCATGTGGAGGTGGAAGTTCAGATTCACTCTAAATGCGCACTCATGTTCGCGGAGCCGGAAAAGGGAAGTCACTTTTTCGTTAATACTATACATTGGTGACTTGAAGTAAAGAATGATATCGTTACTAGGGGACTTTATGCGTCATCAGCGTTTCATCTCGCTTAGCTTCTTCGTCAGAGAAAAAGGATGAGTTACATTGAACTGTTTCGGACACCCTTCACATGTGCTCAAAAACCGTCAGATTTTTGCACACCCAGCCCCCAACCACATGACGGGTGGAAAATGGAAATTTTAGCTTTTTGATCCACACCCGCCACACCCATGGTCTTCGTTTAAATTGTTATTTTTGATCTCCACAAGCTCGAAGACTCTCCATGATAAAAAGAAAGACTGCGCAAGAAGCCCGCGGTTTTATACCCCAGGAGAAGGAGAGATTCGATAGAGCACGTAAGCATGCACGTGCTATTCATGAGACCTTCCATACTTCTTGTCATCCAGCTGCAAGAGGTAACGAGGAGAAGACACATGCCCCTCCCGTGACATGACTTAGTCACCGGAAGAGAAGGTATAAAAACTTCTCCTAAGCTTCGGAGAGACGAACGAAAATAAGTGGAGAGGTGGTTTCGACAACGGTTCATTCCGAAGTCACATGGATTTGGTTGAGGTGTGCAAATCTGGTCGATGAGGTATCGCATGTTGCTGCAGGAGGTGCGAGATCAAACCAAGAGCAGAGTCATCCGATGTCGGTGGGGGGAGAAGGTGGTCGTGGAAGTGGTGTTTTGGAATGTTTTAATCATGTTCTCTAGCACCTCTACTCGCTACTAAAAAACACCAACAAAAAATCCTACTACTCATTAGCTCCAGTGAAGCACGAAGCCTATAGTTCGCATACCGCGCAACTGACCTGTACCCCTTGCTCTCCTCGATGAGCACTATCATTTGTATTCTTCGCAGCGCCGCCGAAGACCTCCGAGCCCCATTGCATTTCCTGGTTTGATCCCACGCACGCCACAACCACATGGTCTAGCTATGGTACGTGTTTTGATCCACACCCAATCTGACCCAAACCACATAAAGACTCGCGAAATACAATGTTGATCTACCCACAATCCCGACCGCATTGGTGAGGTGATTCCAAGTTTTTGACCCCTACCCCAACCTCTACCACATAAGAAGAGTTGTTAGTTGTTTTTTCGTCCCGCCCGAGCTCCCTTGAAGAAGAGAGGACCGATCGGCGAGCTGACGGGATTTTATACACAGGAGAAATGGGGACACGTAAGAGGGAAGTGAGGACGGGCTTGTCATATGACAGCACTCACCAGTGACATAACCAAGAAGTGACGGAAGCATATTGCAAAACACGTACGACAGATTGAGACAGAGACATGACAACTTCGCGAGGCACCAGAGAGTGAAGAAGGATCCAATCCTTACAGTCTGATCTTCATATTTGATATTTAGAACTCTTCGGCAAGCGTCTAAACGTTACCCGTTGAATCGCTATCACCTCAACGCCATCATACTGCACACCTCACAACTCAGCAAGCCCACAAACCCAACAACACCGTAAGAATCTTCATCCGCCTACGCATCTCTCTCTCCTACTAATCATAAGCCCCCAGATCTAGCGGCACACTACTCCCCCTACCGGCCCTATACCTCTTACTTCCCCCCGTAAATGGCCTTGGAATCGGCAACTGGCTGTCATCCTGGAACTTCCATCGCAGATCATGAATCGGGACCACCCGCCCTCCCCCTCTACCTCCGTGTCCTGGACTCGTATGTCCAGAACTACGGCCTGAGTGCCCTCCGCCTCCTCCGTTTGACAGGGTATAAGAACTAGGATCTAGCATAGAGCGTACGGGCGCTTGTGACATGGGTGGTCGTGAGGGCGCAGACGATGGAGGCGGTGGTGCAGACGAGGGAGGCGGAGGTGCAGACGATGGAGGCGGCGGTACAAATGAGGAGGCTCGTGATGATGCGGCGGAGGGTGGAGGTGGTGGTGCTGAGGGTGGAGCGGGAGCTTTGGAGGGTGGAGGTGGTGATGGAGCGGTGTAGCGATACGGGTCGTATTCGTCGTCAGATCTCGAAACTGGAGGAGAGGCGGGAGGTGGTGGAGGAGGGGCAGCTGGAGAGGCTCGGCCGAAAGCGTTCCGGGCTGCTTGTTCTGCTAGTGAAGGGGCGTGGCCGTTTGTTGGAGCGGACGCTGGTGGTGGTGGTGCACTGGGTGGCGGTGGGGGAGGTGTAAATCGAGCTGGAGGTGCTTTTGGCGCCGAACTTAGTGGTAGAGGAGGTGGAGCTGGAGGCAAGGAAGGCGGTAGGGATGAAGGAGGTGGAGGAGGTCGTGCTGCGGGCGCTGAAGGCGGCGGTGGAGCGAAGCCTGACGGTTTCCGTGATGTTGGCGGAGGGATAGGGGGTTTCTTCCCAATTGGCGGCGGTGGTTTCGGCTTCCCTCCTGCAAATTCCGGCGCTGAAGCTGTTGACATCACCGACGTCGGTCTTAGATTGTTCTTCAGCGCTGATACAGCTGGATTGAAAGGTCGTGGGGCGCCGCCTGGAGGTCGAGGCGGAGCAGCTCCTGGCGGCTTTGGTGCAAAACCCGTCGGCGGTCGCGGAACAGAGCTTCGTGACGATTCTGGGTCCGACATATATGGCGATTGGCTCTCTGCTCCTGTCTTCACGCCTCCTGACTTGCGAAGCTTTGGCATTCCTCCTGCAAACAGTCCCCCTAGTTGCGGTGCAGCACTCATCGCCGAGTCACTCGATCCGTCCCTCCCAGTGTCACTATTACTCCTCGCTCGGTTCCCAGGCACAGGTGGCGCCAGGCCTCCTGGAGGTGCTGGAGCGGCTCTCCCCATTCCAGGAACTGGTGGTGCTGCTCCCATAGGAGGCGCGGCGGGACCGTCTGACACTTTCCCGACGATTGGCGCGGAGCGGTCGTTGACAACAGTCACTTTCTTTAGTCTTGCGCCTTTGGTAATGTCTCCTAAAAGTGCACCCTGAGCTTGGTGTTAGCCTAATGCAATCACAAGACTATTAATAGAGCAGCTTGAACTCCAGAAGCTCTTGAGACTTGGATAGCTTGTCACGTACTCTTCCAGCTCCAGCCTTTGGCCTGCCCTTAGGAGGCCCGCCTGGCGGAGGAGGCGGCGGTGGAGGAGGTGGTGGAGCAGACATGGTGAAAGTAGGACGATATTCGCTGGGTGAGCTTCGAGAGAGGTGGTCGTATGTCTGGTTCAATGGGCTGCGGGGAGGCTTATGTGTGTGACATTCGTGGAAGGCTGCTCGTAGCTGCACGGGCACGGTGGATGGGTTCGTGGGCGTGTGTCGGCGGTGAGTAGAAGTGGGCGTATATGTACAGGCTGGCTGTTGGGCAGCAGAAGGACGGACAGACACCAGTGATGCGCGATTCGAGTGACGGCGGCTGACTCAGCTTCGAGGGTCTTGGCAATATCAACTTCACGAGCTGGTGTTGCGGAGAGCTCTACCATGTTAAATCGAAGTTTTTCCACAGGAGCAATGGACCGGCCAGCCCTCTTATTACGTCGCAGGCCGCAGTCGCTCTGCCAACTGTGCGAGCACATACTGCGGCAGCCTGGCCAGCCGCGCCGCTTCCTGTCGTCGTCAGCTCTCTTGCGCCCAGCTGCCCGTCCTCAACCTCGATCAGCAGTTCCAAAAACATTAGCGCGGCAGTCGACCTCAGCCGCCTCGAAACTACTCAATTCGCTGTCACCAGCGCCTCTCCCGCCAAAGAATGGTTCCCAGGCTTCCTCCGAGATACGAGAAGCCGAGAAACTGGTCAACGCAATACTCAATTCTACCACTATCCCATCCGAAGAAGAGACCCTAGCAGCCCTCAAAGCCTGCGAATCCGCCGCCCACCTGCTCGTCGAGCCCCAACCCTCGACCCCAAATGCTCCTAAATCAACTTCCACCCCCGCCTCGGCCATTCTCACTCTCAACCCGGCCCCGGCCCCCTCCAACGCCGCCCAAATCGACCGCCTCTCCAACCTCGCCTACACACTCCTTACGCACCCACCCGTCTTCGTCACCCCCGCCATACTAGAAGCCTACACAACCACCCAATCCCTCCTCGTGCGCCCCTCCACGCTCCCCGAAGCCTTCACCCTCTACGCCTCCAAACCCGTCCCCAAACCCTCCACCTCCCCCGTCACCTACAAGCCCCAATCCCCCTCCGCCGCCAGCGCCGCCATCCCCACACCCGTCGCCGACGTCGCTCTAAACGCCGCCATCGCCTCCAAATCCCTGCCCCTCGCGCTCGACGTCATCGAAACCACCTACCGCGCCCCGGCCTTCCGCCGCGCCAAGTTCCTGCGCCGCGCGCTGCCCCCCCTCACCGGCGCCGCCCTCGCGCCGCTCGCCGTCTACACGCTCGCCGGCCAGCTGGCGCAGTACCAGAGCACCATGGACCCGGGCACCGCGACGGCGATGGCCTTTGCGGGGATGCTGACGTATGTGGCCGCGACGGCGACGATTGGGGTGGTCGCGGTCACGACGGCGAATGACCAGATGGATCGCGTGACGTGGGCGATGGGAATGCCGCTGCGGGAGCGGTGGTTGCGGGAGGAGGAGAGGGGGGCGGTGGATCGGGTGGCGGGCGCGTGGGGGTTTAAGGAGCCGTGGAGGAGGGGGGAGGAGGAAGGTGAGGAATGGGAGGGGTTGAGGGAGTGGGTGGGAGTGAGGGGGATGGTGTTGGATAAGGTGGCGCTGATGGAGGGGATGGAGTAGGGAGGGGGATTGTGGGGAGCATACTCAGGTTTGATGTCGAGAGCGGAATGATGGTCTGATGCAGAAAAAAGCATCTGAAGGTGAAGAAGCGTGCTGTCAAGCGGTCTCTCAAAGAGTCTGTATATATCCTTGTACTGTACGAATAAATATGTAACAATGCAAGCGTCCGCTGTCAATCACGAAGCGATTGATCATACATACAGTGAGTGCCTCAACAAAGCTCTGCGTACACTCGCTTCTTAGAAACCCGCAACTAAATTTCCAAAGCATTATGGGCTCGATTCCAAGAATAGATGTTGGTATATCAAACTTAAAGCAGACGAAAACACTTAATCTCAAGCAGCCAAATCCCATCCCTCACGCCCCAATCGCATTCTCCGGCCAACCTACAAGCATCCACCCCCCCTGACACACACAATGCTTCGCAATATTCACAATCCACGTCGGCGCCCTATCCACACTGTCTCTCCCATGATTCGGCGTCACATCCTCCATAATCGCCCCACACCTCGTGCACCTCCGCCACCTCTGCTCCTCCGCCACCGCTCCCCCATCCATCCCCTGGTCCCCCTTGGCCTGCAGCTGCAGCCCCTTCGGCCTCAGAACAACCTTCTGGCATACATCCACCACATGCTCGCTCTGCCACTGTCTAGTCCGATTACTCGGATCCAGCCCCACCCAGCGGATATCATGGAATACAACCCTCGCCGGATCGATGCGATCAAGCAACATGCCCGCGTCGAACAGCGCGCCCCCGACCAACCGCCGCGCGGCAGGCATCAGCACCTCCGGCACCACGCCCATCATGAGCTCCTTCTCCGTCGCGCCGCGCTGTGCGTCCGAGAATCCCGCGCGCTTGTAGCACGCCGCGACCTGCGCGTTAGCCTCGCTGACGAGGGCCTCGAAGCGGCGCCAGTCGAAGGGGCACTCGGTGAAGGCGACCTGGAGGGGTGCGTAAGCGGCGCGCATCTCGGGGGTTGGCGCGTTCATGGCGAGGGCGAGGGCGAAGCGGGAGATCCAGGCGAGGGGCTGTTGCCAGTTCTTCATCATGACCCGTGAGAAGGAGGATAGGAGAAGGAGGAGGGCGGGCGCGGCTTGGGCGGTGAGGCGGGATTGTAAGAGCGCGCGGTCGTAGTTGCCCTTGTTGTAGCCCGGGAGCCGGCGGAGGGTTTTGCCCAGCGTCATGAGCTCGTCGATGATCCAAACCATCATGTTCATCATCCAGCGGCACAGGCCGAGAAAGGAGGCGGCGATGTCGGGGCGGGGCGGGGTTTTGTCGATGGTGCCGTGCATGCGCATCATCATAGTCATGATCTGGGTTGTGTAGCGGATGTTCAGGACCGCCCAGGCGAGTTTACTGGGGAGGTTGCGCTGGATGCCGGTGGGGCTATTAGACGAGCCGAAGTAAGCTTGCGCGCTGAGGCATTTGACGAACTGTGTGCTACGGTTCATCAGGCTCATGGCGTTGTTAGCTTCGTCCTGGTTGCAGTCGAGGTTTACGGAGAGGGCGCGGAAAGATTGGGCTACGAAAGCGCGACTGGTGGTGTCCGTGATGTCGGGATCAATGAGTGCGAAGATGTCGTCGGATGTGAAGTATTGATTTGCGGCTGCTGTGTGTTGGAGAACGAGGGCGGCGATGGCGGCGTGGTTCTTGGGGTCGTCTTCGATCGATTTAAGGGGACCGAAAGTGTATTCCATAGATTTGAGTTTATATTCTCCGTCGCTTTGCATTGCTACAGCCATGCAGTGGTTGGCTGATAAGGCTATGTGAAGTGTTGGGTCGAGATTTGAGAATGCAAATCCAGCTTGAGATAGGGAGGTGACTCTGTTGGTGCTATAGTCTGGTATGATAACATTCAAGGTTGACCGTTGCCGGAACTCGATGGTACCATCGCTTTGGCAGAAGGCGAGGGTTGTGTTGAAAAAGATTGGGAATGAAGAGAGGATTAGGGAGCCTGTCATGAAGTCGGGCAATCTCTTCAAGCGAAAGGTTGGCCGGGCCGGGACCCCACCTACTGTCTTCCGTTTTGATGAGACTTGGTCGACAGCGGGGTGGAGATGATGACTTTGTGGTTGATGAAGCTCCCATCGGGCAACAATGCTGAAGGAGCTCTGTGGTGGCTGTGTCTGGTCGAGGGAAGCAATGGGACTGGGACAATGGGAGAAGATGGCTAGAACAGTCGGGAGGCCGGCAGAACCTGGTTCAGGAGTGGTCGGGAGAAAGCTAAGATGGGTAAGCTGGCCTGGTATTTGGATCTGCTGTGCAGGTCCGGTTGTCATATCGCCGTCAATTCCAGTTGAGCTTTCCGGGTAACATCGATCTTCTACCATCAGGCTCGTGACTTTCAGTGTTGGGTTGAGGGCTAGCTTTGAAATCTGCTGTGGGTTTAGGCCTGGTGGCACGTTCCAGCTGATCCGGACGCGATATGTATGAAGATGGCCGATGACGTTGTGAGCAACAAGTAGTAACGTGTTGTCTGTGGAGTTAGCATAGAGCAGAACATTTGACGAGGAGAGCTCACTATTGTCAGGTGCAAAGGCAGCATGTGTGAACGGCTGTCGTGCAGAATCTATGTGTTCCAATTCGGTCGAGGCTTCGTGCCAGCTACTGTCTGGCTGTTGAAATCGAAGCTTAAGAGAGCCGTTCCTCCCAACGGTCAGGAAGCCTGCCTTGCTCTCCGCTGGGTGATGGGCGTGATTGAAGGTAGCGCTGGATATTTGGAAACTCCAATCTTCTCCATTGCGTTCGGCCGACCATGGAATATGGGCCTGCGATCTGTTAAGCTTGTTCCCTCATTTTGCTTCTGGGGATCTACCTTCTGCTGATGAGGAATGAGCGAAAGCCAGTGCATGCCGACTATCGCTCCCATTTCATCTTCGTGATTGGCAAAATGAGTCTTTGAGGGATTCATGCGGGCGAGTGCATAGATTGTCGTGTAGATGGATACCCGTCCGGCAGCATCTATAACGACCAGATCGGTTCCGAGATGGCCCCAGGCGACATGAATGTAGGGGAATTCATCAGACGCTGCTGGTATGGCTAGGGCGATTTTCTCGCCGAGCTGCCATGTGCCGTCTGAGGGACTCCTATGGAAAGCGCTGAGGTCGATGCCACGGCCGCCGGCAGTGATTGCAGCAACGCATCCGGTTTTTGACCATGCGATCTTTCTGCGATGAGGTAAGTAAGCAAATTTTTAAGTTCGATGTATAGACACTAATCAGAGACGACATACTGGCAACATCCAATTTCTTGCAACTCGTCGATTCTTTGGTCGAGTCCTTTGATGGGAGGCACTAAGGCAGGGATATGAACGGCCTCGGAGTCTCCAAAGAGATCGTCCATGACATATTGCTGGTCATGGTCATCCATCATCAAGGGCATCCTGGAGGGCTTGGAGATGGTAGATAGAGGATGAGGAAGTATGAGCAGAATTTAGAGTAAAGACAGAGGAGATTGACCAGGCCAGCTGTGGGTATTGAGGAGGAATTCGAAATGTGAAACACAGTGCAGGATCATCAGAATAGAAAGTAGGTCAGATTTTGGGGAATGGAATGTCAGAGACTACCTAGGATATCAGCGAAGACTTCAATAGATGTGGGCATGGTGCGAGCGGGGCGAACAATAGGAACAATAGCAACTGGAACCTGGGAAGTCTGAACAGGATCCTTGGATGCTGGGTGTGGCTATTTTGAGGCTGAGACGGCCTCGCTACTTTGAGTGCCAAGAGATTCCGCCCCACCCTTCCCGCCCCACACCGCTGGGGAGCAGCTCGCGCCCTTTTCGTGCCCCATTCGCGATGCACCCAGCCACTGTGTGTGTTGAGGTAGACGACGCATGAGCAGCCCTCATGCCGTTCGCCATGGCTTTACGCGTCTCCATCTTAATATCAAAGCAAACACTCGAGCATTCGCGGACTTCTGCGCTGACGATGGAGTGATCCATGGATGGCGACAAACGTGACAATGGCCACCTGGTGACAGCTTCACCCGAGACCACAAAGGACGTCTGCACAGTGGCCAGCGCATTGCTGCTCATTGACGGGCTCTGCCATGAATCAGGGGCGCTGTACCCATCCTCTCGCTCTTGCTCGTGGTGGCCCGATGCGGCGCCAAAACAATGGAAGCACAATGGGTAAACACGCCAAGCTAGCTCCACCGCCAGGCACAACGTCTCCACCCGAAACCGCGAACCTCATCTCGATACCAGCCTCCCGCCCCCCATTCACTCCACCGCGACTCCCACGCGCGCCATCTGCTGCCATATTTCCCTTGCATGTACTCCAATGATCTAGTCGCGCCTTCCACGACCTCTTTTTGCGGCCCACCGCCGCGCCCCTCGTTCACCATGGACACATCCTTCCACCACTTCGACTTTGGCTCTGACGGCGGGAGCTCTCCAGTCAGCTCTGTGCCCTCTCGATCGCCGTCGCCGCCGACAGAGTTCTGTTATTCTGCACGATCCTATCCGTCGCCGTCTGCATCGCAGCAGTCTTCCGCAGAGGCGTCGCCAGCTCCTGACCCGATGACCACAGCCGCCCCGTCTGGCGACGATGACGGGCCTCCACCAGCCAAGCGGAGGAAGATCTCGGAACCGAAGCCACGCACGACCGAGCGCCTCGACTTGCGATACGGAGAGGTCAGCGATGCCGAAAAGCCGCAGCTCGAGCGTCTGCTCAAGGTGCTGCACAAGAAGCGCAAGATTGTTGTGATTGCGGGCGCAGGAATCTCTGTATCCGCCGGCAGTAAGTCCTCGCTCACTCACCACCCACAATCGCGACTAACCCTTCTATCAGTCCCCGATTTCCGATCTTCCACTGGTCTGTTTAAGTCGCTCCGGAAGAGCCAGAATTTGAGATCGTCTGGCAAGGATCTGTTCGACGCTTCGGTATACCAGGATGACCAGTCCACCACCTCATTCCACGAGATGGTACGAGAACTTTCCCAGGCGACAAAGCAAGCACAGCCGACCGCCTTTCACCATCTCCTGGCGACATTGGCGCACGAGGGGCGACTTCTCCGGTTATACTCTCAGAATGTCGATGGCATTGATACTTCGCTTGAGCCGCTAAAAACAGAGGTACCCCTGCCAAAGAAGGCGCCATGGCCCAAGACAGTGCAGCTCCACGGTGGCCTCGACAAGATGGTCTGCTCAAAATGTCATAAGCTATCCGATTTTGAAGCTGGTCTCTTCGATGGTCCGATTCCACCTTCCTGTGCCGAGTGCGTCACGAACGATGAGGTGCGCGCCGCTGTCAATAAGCGCAGCCACGGCATTGGCAGACTCCGCCCTCGCATGGTACTGTACAACGAGCACAATCCCGATGACGAGGCGATTGGATCCGTTACGCGCATGGACTTGAGGACACGACCAGACGCTATCATTGTTGCTGGAACAACGCTGAAGGTTCCTGGCGTGCGCCGAATTACGAGAGAGATGTGTGGAGTAGTCCGGGACCGGAGAGACGGAATGACGGTATGGATCAACAACGACCCGGAACCCATCGGCAAAGATCTAGAGAATTGTTGGGATTTGATCGTGAGAGGCCCTTGCGATGAAGTCGCCCGGTATGCTGGCATGCCCAGATGGGATGACCACTCGGAGGCGGAGTTCAAGGTAGTCACCGATGAAGAACTGCGCAAAGCCAAGGAGAACACCGCAGAAGTCGTTGTTGTCTCGCCCATGAAGCCTAAGGCCTTTGAACAAGTACAGGGACAATTGGTAACACCTGTCGCTAGTCCCCGAATGGCCCCACGAACTTCGATCGAACCTCCTCCATCAATCCAGGGTTCGTCGACACCCACGAAGAGGAAGATCATTCCGACGAGCAAAGCGGCAGCCTTGATGAACGCGTCCGAAGCAGCAGATTCGAAGCCAGTACTCAAACCAGCACCAAAAAAGCGCCTCTCGATACCGAAGACTTCGATTCCTCCCAAGACTGTGACGAAGGCTACGAAGCCGACGAAGAAGACTGGGCCGAAGCCGAGGACGAACAAGATCACCGGCGCCTTCGGAGTATCGAAATCCACTACCTCGAAGACAACCGCCAAGCAGACTATGAAACTCAACATGAGCCTGCGGCAGGAAGAGACCATCAATGTCAGTCCGAAGAAGATAGTGGCCGTCGAAGTTCCCATTCCAATGGCTCCGATTTCTCCACAAGCAGCCAGGAACAACGCCTCACCTCTGCATAATCCCCCAACACCGACTCGATCTCCAGAAATGAAGCTCCTCCTCCCAGTCGCAACAGTTTCTACACCAGAACATAGCACTACCGTAAAGGACACGAGGATCACCATTTCCCCGACAGGCACTTTACCTCGCGATCTAGCGAGGTTTGTCGACTGACTAGTTCTGCCATGTTCTGGCCTGTACTCTTGGATGAGAGGCCACCCAGGATCTCGCGACGAGTAGTGCATGCCATCATATGTGTCATCGACATTGTTATTTCATGAGGTGTTTTCGGATATATGGGGCAGTCTACGATTCACTCGGTGCATTTGATAAGGTCAGGGTTCGACCTTACTGTGCGCTTTTCTTGTCATTGTCATTACTTCTAGAGGCTTCGTCGTCTTCTTAAGCCTCTCTATTTTCAATTCTCCTACATGATACCCAGGCATTCATGTGCGCGTTGCATTGTCAGGGCGCCCAACGGGGATATTAGGCTTGCAAGTTCAACGCTGTCCATGAGACAGAGAAGTCTAGCATAGGGCTTGTTTAGTGCCTAATACAAAGGTGTATGATTTGATTTAGATTGGCCCCAAACCATTGTGATGATCGCTTTTGCCGTGCTTCCATTGCATCAAGCACATAGGGGCGAACCCATTCCGAGAAGTGTTGCAAGTGGGCCGTACGTAGCCTCTGCCTTAGATGTAGCCTCCAGCAAAACCGGCTGTCTGTATTGACTTAGCATATATACAGGGCCTGCGAGAGAGAAGAATTCGCCGGTCGCTCTCGACCAACAACAACCGCTGGCTTAGGATTCTGCTCATACCAATGTCTAAACAGCTCGCGTCCCTGTATGCCAGCTTTCACCATTACCGCACCTCCACTCCAGTCTTCCGGCCCCCGTTCCATGTTTTATGAAACTTTCACACCTTTGAAATTATGGGTATTCATTGCCAGGCTCCCCAATTCAACGCTCCGTCTCACACAATCATGCCCAGTATTCGAATTGATAGGGCGTAGGTTGTAGACTGCCTCTTAACTGACCACCCATCTACTAGCTGAGGTACTCCTTGCAGTGAATTACATGCGAGAAATAGTGGAGCCCAAGCAGTGATATAGCCGTGTGCCCAAACTTAGTACTGTAGTTGATGCGTTTTGAGACTCACTGCCAGGACTCATCCATCCACTTCGCGATTGCCTTGACACACTTCGCCTCATAGCATGTATTGTCGTTCTCAAAGGTATTGTGACAGACTGCTCAGGCGGAATAGTGATTTGTGAGCGGCTTTCGACGGTTCGATTAAGGGACTGCCACTCGGATGGTGAGGAGCTAGCATGGGTGGTCGGAGCGGCATTTGTAGTTGGTGTTTCCTGACTTGATAATCTCGTTTTTACATTCGTCCTTTTCGGATGCGATAGTAGTAGTCGCTAGTAATGCAATGACGATGAAGATAAGTCATTTGATGCCCGTAGTCGGAGAGGCCGATAAAGGAAAAGGCGATTGGTAACGACAAACATTGCGTCTTGTGGGGTTTCGAATTGACTTTCGCCTTCAAGCGTCCAGGGTGATTTTACCTTCATGCCAGCTTTTCTCAAATGCCCGTAAGGCATGATTAAACGGAGGCGTAGACTCATCGAGAAGACATGGTTCAAACGTAGGCCTGCAAGCCCACTCAGGCCCGCGAGATCGATGTAGAGTCTCGTGTTGCGTGGTTGTTTCTTCGCGTCCAGGCTGGCGGAAGAAAAGGTATGTATATGACACCGTGGTAGTTCCCCGTTCGCTGGGTCAATATCCATTTACTTCGCACTTAATCTGAGAGCTGCGGTACCCACAAGCATATAATTGTTATAGAGGCACCGCGAAGGAATACATGCGGAAGGAAAACATCGCTTTCAACCTGAAGCAGATGCGATGTAAACATCGACTGAGCTTTCCTTGCAAACGTCGTCAGTCTTCAGCAAGAACTATTTCTTTCCTCTCTGGTTTGCCAATCAAGAGACTCGGTCCGTGTTACCTTTGTCTCTACGTGTGTCAGGTGCGTATGCTCCTAGGTCACTACCCTCATATCAAAAGCCCCATCGCACTTTTATACACTCTCTTATTCTACTCACCGCTAACTCAAATCCAGTGTAGTTCAGTGGTTAGAACGAAATTCCAATAACGCTTAGGGAGGAATGCTTTCGGTTATGCCAATTGCCCCCAAGCGCAGCAGGTCGGGATGACCGCTGGTGGAAATTGAAACCTGAGTTCGAATCTCAGCACCGAAATCTTTTTTGCGGGTCTGTTCTCTTCCTGCCTCGAGTTTGTCGGTAGGATATATAGCATCAGTGCGTAAGAGGCGGTGTATGTCAGCTTGAATGTCGGAACGGTAGTGCGGGTAGCTGTATAGCTTCCGTCATTCCACGAGTCTTTATGAGCAATCGTGCGACTGTGAGCAGCCGAGGTGCTGTGGAACCAAGCATTGACTGAGAAACCTGTAGAACTTGTTCTACGGGATCTACAGCGAATAATTTTACTCCATTAACCATCATCTCCGGTGTAGGCCAGTTGGTTTGACCCTGCCTAAAACACCTATGCCGAGGACGGAAGAAGGATTCATTCAGTCCTCCTTTCGTCTCCGACATATGTGTTCTAGTCAAAACCCGTGTTCGATCCACGGCGCCGGACATGTTCCTTTTCTTTTGGCGTTGGTAGGTACCGGTCTTTGGTGCCCGGTCCCGAGAGCTTTACTTTCGGTGCATCGAAAGCAGTTCGTGATGATTGAGCGTCTCTAGTTTTTCTTCATATACAGAGGTGATTGCTATAAGGAGAACCGTTGGATTAAATGGTGATCACGCGATAGCGCTGTGATAAAGAGACGTCAAGAAAAGGTGTTTTACTTCTAGATAAACGCTAGTAGTATCAAAATCACCGAGCAAGAAACACTCAAGATTAAAGGAATGGTGCAATGAAGGGCTTGAAGTAGAATCTGCAGGAGCACGCGCACTCTTCGTAGCAACACCAAATGTGAAGTGAACTTCAAAACCATTGAAAGCTAAAAGTGATTGGCACTTTTCAGGCGATCCCAAGTGACTTTCTGTCCCCGGAGACTCAAACATGAGTGCAGAGCTATTATAGCATCTACAACAAAGTGGCAGTCCCTGGAACACGTTAGCTTTGTGATACTTCGATGAATAAAGCTGGCTTGCCATACTAGATATACGTTAGTCCGAAGAGATTTCAATGTCCGAGGCGCCGTGTCTGTATGCCATTTCCGATTCTCATTGAGTATCTCTATCGCTATGATCCTAAGGATTACCCATCCTCAGGAAGACGTTTTTGCACTTTTCGTAGATACCACCGATTTCGCGATATCGATGGTTTCTAAAATGTCCGATAAACGTGGCCAAGGACGTTCAGATATAGTTCAGTCGTCAAGTCTGATAGAGGTGTTCATGATTGTTCGTGGTGCGGAGAGGTGACATTAAAAGCTAGCTCCACACCTCCACTCGGGAGAGCGGGCCCACCCTGGCATGTGAATCTAAGGTTTCTGGAACTCAACACCACGCTTGTGCATCACCAGATAGTCTCGAAGGCATCCGAGCGATCGCATCTCTTGTTGCTTGACGCAGCTCTCTGCCCTATCCGCCGTAGCTGCTGATGCGCCCTCTTACAGCCTCCACGTCCGTCTCCCCGCTATCACCTCCGCGTCCACCAACCCGTCCCGTCTCACCAAGCTCCCGGTACGATAGGAGCGGGTAAAGCTTCAGCGCAGCCAGCCGGTCTGACCGGTTTCACGTCGCAAGCTCGCATGAGCCTTGCGCCTCCTCATCTTCCTCCGGTCCCGTCAATGTCGATTGAATGCACCCCTTAAACCCTTTCTTGCGGGCCTTCTTCCGTAGCACACTCCCCACCCAGTGCGCGCCGGCTCACCATCACGTATGCGGCCCGCCATCCTATCACATTAAATAATCCGCTAATAGCGCTTTCTACTGCTAGGTTCTATTGGTTCCAACCACCGAAGTCCTCCTTCATTCCCGCGATCGCGAGACGCACGCCTTATACTCTGATCTAAGTAGTTCGGAGGACTTCCTCGCAAGTCATGTTATCAGGGTGCCCGGCGGAGTCAAGGATGGGTCGAACTTTAGAGAAAACCGAGGCAAAGCGAAGCAGTACTCGACGGCGAACGGACGCATTCTGGTGATAAAGGATGCGTTCGTATGGAGCAATAAAGGTACTGTCGCATATGGGCAGCGCGGACCTCAAAGTGGCGCTAATAGCAACAGGCTTTAAAACCCTTAACCAGGCCCAACTTCTCGGCGATGCTATCTATTATCCCGATTCCTTCGACGCACAGCCATGGCTGATCTACTACATCTCGCGACCGTTGGTTGGCACTTACGAATCCATACCCATCATAGCCGCTACCATCTCCGGCAGCCCTACAAAGGAAGCAGCGGCACTGCAGGATGGAGCGAACGGTGTGAACGGGACCAGCGCATCAAGCTCCGCTATGCCACGAAAGACTGAGATCAAGTCTTTTGGAGATTTGCTCAATCATTTCCCCATGATTGCGCGACAAATGCAACCTGGGCTCAAGAGGCTCTTCGAAGAGTTCGGAAAAGAATTTGAAAAGCCACTGCCGTCGGTACCAAACAGGCCATCTCGATCGTCATCATTGAACTCCCTACGCAGAGCATCAGTGTCTTCTACGGAGAGCCTGCCAACGTCGCTACAGAGCACTATTTCCCATGGACCCAATGACATTCATGCTAGCCTTGATGTTGACGAGGAAGAGGATTTGATGAGGCGTTCGCTAGAGACGGCTGTTACAGCCGCTATAGATCTCTTTCAGATGGTTGACAAACAGCAGCTGTCTTTACTTGGCGCGACGACCGATCTCACTGGACCGCTTGTTGAGCGCATGATCGAACGCTACATCACGGAACAGGTCCATCATACAATCCTTTTCCCAAGGCTTTGCTCTATTAGAAGGTTTGATGACTTAGAATTAGAAGCCAGGATCCGTCAGATGGTGGACGTTGATATTTCGCAGGTGGGTATCACTATTGGCAATGGACAGAAGGGTAAACGTGAGCTGGCAATACGACTGTCAAAAGGAGCCGAGATTTTCAAAAAGATGGGCGTTGCTGGAGGCCCTCAAGAGATGGTGGAGATCTTACTGTCGACCCAGAAGCACATCACGATGCCAGACAAGCCTGCCGATACGTCGAGCTTGAGACTCGACGCCAATGGGAAATCAGACTCAGAGAAGGAGGATCCCATGCTTACGATCAACGCCGACACACTTGTCTCACTCCTCTTGATAGTTGTCATTCGATCACCTGTACGGCATCTCCAGGCACGCTTATCCTACATGCGCCACTTCATCTTTATAGATGATGTGGAAAGCGGAGAGATGGGCTACGCACTAAGCACATTCGAAGCTGTCATATCGTATCTGGCGAAAGATGCTGGTGGTCTGAGGAAATCAAGCCGCAGAAATAGGAAACTATGGGAGGCAACCATTAATGGAGACATTGCCGAAATGCAAAGTGTCTTAGAACCGGATAGGTCTTTAGACTCTGAAGAGCACCAGCCTAACGAAGACGAGTCTATTCTAGCCAGACATGTTAGGTATAACAATAGCGACACCGACTTGTTATCCATCGGGGGCACTACATTAAACGGCGATTATCATCGGCACGAAAGACGCCACAGCTCTTCTCATAGTGAGCGGAGGCTTCAAGCCGGCCCTTTAGCTCATATTTTCCCTTTCCAAAGAGCTCCTTCCCCCCCGACGGCAGAACGTCCAAAAGCAAAGAAGAGGGTATCGATGGACACCCGAAGTACATCGAGCTCTTCCATGTTTTCCTTTAGGTCTCGTACGAACACGATCGACTCGCACAACAGCGGTATCGAGGGGGATACCTCGATTGAAAGGCTTACTCAGACTCATAGCCCCGAAGGAGAGTCTGTTTTGATGATGGCCGTCGAGAAAAGCCAGGACAAGGCCTTGCACTATCTCCTGAGCCTGTCTCAGTACTATTCGCCAGACGCGGTTCTCGAAGATTGTAGCAACAACGGCACTACCCTGCTCAGTGCTGCGATCCAGTTGTCGCATGCCAAGACGACGGACTTGATCCTAGACTTCGTTCTCGATAATTCTCCGAGCGAGAAGGTTGTCAAAGAATACATAGTTATCCAAGACTCCTCGGGCAGATGCGCCGCACATTACCTCTTTAACCAACCACGCCTGATATCCCGAATTGGCCATCTAGTACCATGGAGACTAAAAGACAAGAATGGCCAAACACCACTTTTCGCCTTGTGCAGATCGTACGATCACGATGAGTACCGTTGGATGATTAACGCCGCTATCAACTCGGCGACAGACGCCCAAGGCGATGGCCAGAAGCTGCACCTCGACGAACATATCGATGCTAAGGGCAACACACTCCTCCATATCATCAACGATCCGGCCATTGCTATAAGGCTATTATATCAAGACACGGACGTGAACGCCCCTAACGATAAGCATTTCACACCGTTGATGGTTGCGAGCAAGTATGGACGGACGGAGCTCGTGCGGCAATTATTTCAAGACGCCCGAGTCGACCCCTCTGTCAAAGACGTGCGGGGCCTAACAGCTGTAGAGCTTGCTAAAGATGACGATGTTCGAAATCGCATTGATGATCTCGTTCTTCTTCAAAGCGAACCAACTTCGGATGGACGCATTACTACAGTTGTTCGTTCATTCTTTGTAGAGGATGGAACTGTGCGACTGGTCCTGAAGTCCGGTGCACCGAACGACAACTCCACTATCACGGTTACCACATGCCGGAGATCCCTAGTCGATTTCGAGAATCTCGCAAAATGGTTAGCCCAAGAACATCCAGCGTCCTGGCTTCCCTCCATTGCAAATTTGCCATCGCCGTTCCTGATACCCTCAAGACCGTCCCGCGCCATCCTCCGAGACATTCAAATCCGCCTAGATTCGTTCCTCAAGCTACTCCTCACCCATTCCACCTTCTCCACCCACGAGATGGTATGGGAATTCTTCCTCGTCCCCGACATGGAACCCTCACTGCTCCAAGAACGCTCCTCCCGCAAGTCCGAAATCCGCGCCGAGCACGTGCGCGACGAATACAGTCCCGTCCGCGACGTCCGCGAAGTCGAGCTCTTTGTGCAATACGCCCGCGAATCCGTCCGCTCGGTTCACCACTCCACGAAATCGATCCTCCGCCGCACAACTAAACTGCGCACGGCGTCTACTGACCTCACGGATGCTGCGAGTATCTCGAGCCAGGCCGTCCAGTCCCTCATCTTCCTACCACAGGAGCATCTCAAAGCATTTGAGAAGTACACCAAGACGCTACTGCAGAGCGATGCAAGCCCGATGACGAGTTTCTACTATAACATGCTCGCGATCTCGTCCACCACCACTGCAGTACTCACAGCGCTGAATCGTCCATCCACACTTATTTCCCAAATGTCAACGACGCAGAAGGCGATCGATCGCCACAGCCTCTCTTTCCGGCGCTCAGACCGCTGGCCCCTGGGTCTACTTGACGACGCTCGCCACCGTATTCAACGCGATGCAGCGGAGAAGATGGATAAGAGCCTCAATGAGCTGGATGGACTAGGGCGAGAGTTGCGGTATACGCAGCAGGTTGTTGCGGGGGAGCTGGCGGCTTGGCAAGAGCAGCGGGTTGCGATGGGGAGGAAGGCGTGTCGGGAGTTGGCGCTCAAGATGGTGGTCACGGAGCGGGCGAGGTTGGAGAGCATGAGGAGGGCGCTGAGGGGGCTGGGGCTTGGGGAGGGAAGGCCGGAGAGGGGGAGAAGGAGGGAGAGGAGTGAGCGGGTGGTGGCAAAGCAGAGTGGGCAGGTGGTGGCACAAGCTAATGGGAGTGCCCCTTGAGTGAGCGAAAGGGTATGCATTTCGCACATGATCTTCGATTGTATAGATATAAGGTGAGGTGTTTAGGGTACCGGGCGTTTTTTGGGGGATCTTAGGCGGATGGTGGGAAAGTTCTTGAGATTGGGTCAGCACCTGGACTGGGCTGGTAGTTGTAGGTTTTTAATATTAGTATGGATGCTTGAGAGCGAGTAGGCTCTTGGTGTACCTCTTTGAAACGGCATGTTGCAAAGAGTCACCGATTTGACCACGTGAAATCGGCTGGTTAGATACTGCAAAGAGGTGGCATTCAATTGAGCCACCGCTTTGGTCAATTATGTTACAAACACTTTCCAATCTAACCGTGTGAATTCCGATTTCTTTGACACTGCGTAAACGTAATGTGCTACGTGTTGTACATGGAGAGAGGCCCCCCTTTGTCCTCTTTCGTTGCAAATACTTACCGATCTGACCGCGTAGAACATTTTTTTTAGACGCTAGGTAGATGCAACGTGGTATCTTCCGTACGAACCGTGAAATCGTGAAAGGTTTTCAGTCCTCAGTATTATGCTTGTCATAAAATCGAGGAGCGCTCAAATGGTCACGTGGTTTGTTATCGATCATCTCAAAGCCGAGAACTACACAGCCACGCGGATTCAACTCCACATGCAAGCCACGCCTTCCCATCACGAACCCGAGCCACACTCCCCTGCAGCAGCTCAGCTTCGAAGTTCCTCTTAGCACTGCCGTGGGATGGAGTCGCGCCAATGCAGCCATCGAGCGTGATCGAGAGCCATGACGTACTGGCCCATCTCTGCCCCCTCCGTCTATGCAGCCAGCAAGCACCAGGTGCCCGAGGAATGCATCACCACCAGCGACGACGGCGTCACAGACCGAGCTGGGCGCCCCTCCCCGCGAACACCTAGGCATGGACCAGCAGAAGACAAGGACGCGCAATCAGAGAAAACAGAGGACTCGGCCGAGTACTTTAATTCGGGGAAGCAGAGGGACCCGCGCATAGGAGATGGAGAGAAATCTCAGCAATCAGACTCGAGGAGGCCGCCAAAAGAATGGATTCCAGAAGAGGACCTGTCAGGAGAAATAATTGGGATAAGGGTGACCCGTAGTGGGCATATGTTTGCAACTATCACTCGCTCTACCCTCACAATATGGCAGACCAAGGTAAGTTATTGTGCCCCGAAGCTCATCCAAAGCTGACAACGCCCTAGCCCACTGCCATTCTAGCATCTGTCCTGCGCTCTGAACACTCCCTCAAAACCTACGGGCCTAATGTCACCCTCTTACTTCGTCCTGATTCCGCTATTTTCGTTGTCCAGACCACTCTTGGATATCTTATAACCTACTCATTGGCTACGGACCCGACATCACGCGTATACAGGACACAATTTGCAAGCACCACCCAAGGACACTCGCGGAGACATAGCGTTGGGGGTCTCAGGACACACCGCACCAATGAAGCAAATGCGGGCCCGGGCGAGGGCAGCGGCGTCAGAGAAATCAGCTTGCGGTTCCGCATGGTCATACGAGTCGATGCCGGGATTGCCAGAGCCCTTGCTCTGGACGACGAGCTGATAGTGGCAACGGAGAAGCCTGCAGCTATACAGTGCATCCGATGGGCCCCGGACAACACAGGGAGTCAGACCAGCACTGAACTCTTGAGCCGGATGTCATGGTTGGGAAAGAAAGCCACAATCACCGAGATGGTGTACGACCGGCCGATGAATCTATCCGCCTGGATAACTGGGGATGGGAAGGGTTTTGCGGTCCAAAGACTCGCGAGGGATAGATCACAGGATCCCAAGTCACAAAATCTATTCCGCGGGTACGCATTTCACTCTCCGGTAGGCGAAGACGATCATGGAACCAAGGCTGCGATCAACGCGCGGTTCTCCCTTCTTGCAGTCGGTTGCACCAATGGAGATATCTACGTGTATACAGCTCGGGACTACACTGGAAATATCCCTATGTCTCACAAGCTTCGACCGAGTTCAAGTTCGCACGGAGCGCTCAATTTCCTCAGCTACTCTCCTGACGGGTACTGTCTCTTTGCCGGATATGAGAACGGCTGGATGATGTGGAGTGTATATGGCAAGCCAGGCGCTAGCAGCTTTGGCGCAGACCGCTCCCTCTCTGAAGCCAACGAGGAGGGTTGGTTGCTTGGAGTCCAAGACGGGTTTTGGATTGGCGGCGGGTCAGAGATTCTGCTCCTCGGGAAAGGAGACAATCGGCTTTGGTTGGTCGAGATGGCTCGCAATGCGATCACAGGCTGCTTCTCATCCGCCAATGTCTCTCGATCGCTGATGCAGACCAACGCTGGCTTTATGATCTACCGAGGATATGATTTACCCGACCTAACGACGATATCTGCAGAGGTCTCACTCTGGCATCATGTCCAAATTCCAGCACACTACCTAATTGACCAATGGCCAATTAGAAGCGCGGTCATCTCATCTGACGGCAGATATGTGGCAGTGGCAGGTAGACGAGGCCTGGCGCACTACAGCGTCAATAGCGGGCGATGGAAAACATTCGAGGACCCCCTGATGGAGAATGAGTTTACAGTGCGCGGAGGCATGTGCTGGTACCAGCATGTTCTCATCGCCGCCATCGAGTCCAGCGATTCCCATGAAGTAAGCACCGCTTCCATTCCTCCGTCTTACCTAAAGCTAAAGTTCGAGAACAGCTTCGGATTTATTCCCGCGAACTATCACTAGATACTAACCATGTAATGCATGTAGAACACCTTCCAGACCCAATAGTTCTCATGGTGTCATCTGGAGAAGATTCCCTGCTCGTCTATACACACGACAACGTGCTCTATCACTACATTATCAGCGTTGCGAATGCAGCGGTCAAGCTGGTTCAGGTCGGGCAAATCACGTTGAATGGCGTCATCCGGTCGCCGGCACGAGTGCGCGCCCTGAGCTGGATCCTACCTGAAGAGCAGCTACGTACGGTTACATACTTCGCCTCAAACAATGACGTGCTGACGTTTGCAGATAACGGCGACCCTTCGCAAGATGTGGCTGTTGCCTCAATTCTGTTCCTTCTCGACGGCAAGCTAGTGCTGCTGCAGCCGGCGACGTCAGAAGCGGGGGAGCTGAAGTACGAGATGCGGATCATTGCACACAACGTCGAGTACTACGTCCTTATGCGCGACAACCCCTCGTTCAATCTCGAGGCGCAGGACGACTCGCTGCCGCCAAGTCCGTCGGCAGGGCTGGTGATGAACGGGGTGCACGGCCACGATCTGCGAGATTCGCTGTGGCTATTCGACGGGAGCGACGTCCGCGTGTGGATCGATATGCTGGACGTGCTGTCGTCGGCGTCAGTCGAGCTGGGCCGTGATCTGCCATCAACGGTCAAGATCCCGGTGGACTTCTACCCCCTGTCGGCATTAATAAACAAGGGCATCTTGTTTGGAGTCGAATCGGAGCTCGTCCAGCGGAGGGACGTCAGCTTTGGGTATATGCGCTTTGTAGCTCGGGTGAGTCGGGGCCAGGAGCGGCCAATCACATTGTGTAGAGGCATTGCTGACCTGATCGCAGACGCATCTCTTTCTGCCCGCCCTCCTACGGCACCACCTCGGGCAATACAACTCACCAGCAGCCCTACACTTATCGCATCACTACCAGCACCTGCAGTACTTTGCCCATGCCCTGGAGATCTTACTGCATGATGTTCTGGATGAGGAGGTGGACACGTCGCCCCCACCAGAGCAAGCATTGCTGCCCAGTGTGCTTTCTTTCCTCTCTTCGTTTCCGCAGTATCTTGATATCGTAGTGCAGTGTACGCGCAAGACAGAAGTGCGCTCGTGGCGGACGTTGTTCTCCTACCTACCACCGCCACAGGAGCTTTTCGAAGAGTCACTTCAGAAGGACTCTCTGAAGACAGCGGGGGGTTACTTGCTTGTCTTGCACACATTTGAAGAGCTCAGCACGAGTTCACAGCAGCTCGTGCGTCTGCTGCAGCGCGCGAAGCAGGAGCAGGACTGGGACTTGTGCAAGGAGCTGGCACGGTTCCTGATGGCGCTCGACGAGACTGGCGGCACCCTGCGCGAAGCACTGGAGCTGGTCGAGCTGCGGTCCCCGACAGGAGAAAACGGGGGAGCGGGCAGTGGAGAACGCAGCTTCATGTTCGACCAGATGCGTCTGAGTGTACCCAGCCGGCGTCGCAACGGCACGGGAGTGGGTATGGGCATCGATTTCTCGGGCCGTGGGTCGAGTCACAGCACCAGCCGCAGTCCGAGCAGCGAGCGCGGCAGCCCGGGAGCACGCGCGCGACGGTGAATACAACTGATGCCTGCTGCAAGGCAGCTGATTGCCTGGAGCGTGCGAAACAGGCGAAAAGTGGTGGGAGAACTCGAAACCGGGTCGTTCATCACACTTCAACGCTTTCACTGGTTTTGAATATAGCTATCTACCGAATTTTTAAAATCAGCTTGGTGTACCAATTGCGTGTATTCTCCGAAAATCTGGCTCTGATCTGGTGGTTCGGTGCACAGCGAACGCACAGTGATGGCCGAGTCCGCGTACCACCAAGTTCTTTACTCGCGCCCAACATATCACCGGCCTGCTGCAAACTGCCTCGATCCAGACGGCCCTCAGCTGGCATGGTGCAATTGCAATCGCAGTGTGGGCCCTGGAGATGCGGTAAGCGGACGGTGGATGCAGTAAGCCCTCGCGAGGATCAGTGGTCCGCGGTGCCAGGCCCAGATGGTCGAGCCCATCTGGCGGGCTGGTCCCCGCGTCTGCAGCAGTGTGCAGCATCCCTGACCGCTCGGTCGGTGTGCAGAGGGCAGCGAACTACTCCATCGAGGGCGCAGGCAGTGCAATCGGCCGTGGCATGCGCGCTGCTCTCCAATGATACGGGCTCACGCGCTGCTGCAATCGCGTCAAGATCGAGCACCGCCCTCAGCGCCTCGGCGCCTCAACGCCTCCTGCAGACGGTGTAGGAACAGCACCTGGCCATGGCGACGGCCGCCTCCCACGCGGTGTCGTCAATCGGCCTCGCTGCCCTTTATATGGAGGTCGCACCCTGGAGATCGAGCCGACAGATGCCCATCGCCCATCAGACCTTGCCGCCAGCCGCTGCTGTCTCACTACCCAGGCACTTTTAAGGCATATGCCAGCCCCAGATTATATTTTCCGATCATGCCCCTCCCCTTCAGCTGGCCACCATCCCTCCCCCTCCACACCTCCGCAAATATGGCCCCAACCGTCGCCGCCAGCCTCGCTCCCTACTCCGTGTCCGACGACTCCCGCGCGGCAAGGCGCGTCTCGCCGGCCTCGACGGATGGTTCGCAGCAGTCGTGGAGCTCATTGGGTGCGCCCCAGCGTGTTTCCTCAGCTTCAGCTCTGTCATTCGCGCTAGCCCACAGTTCTAACCGTGATTGCTACCAGCCTCCGACAGCCTTGTCCCAAAACCGCGAGCCGAGAGCGTGGCTGCTGCATCACCGTCGAACAGTTTGCCGTTGCTATGGATCACTACGAGCAATCCGAAAGGCTTCAAGCAGCCCAGAGCCATGAAGAAGATTCGCACTCACGCAATGAACGACCATTTGCGCAAGAAAGGAAAGCGGTTGAGCGCTGCGGGTGGGCTGCGTGTGAAGCAGCAGAAACGGCCCAGACTGCACAGTGAAGACTCGAATGCATCGCAAGTGACTGAGAGCGACGACGAGGTCGAGGATGTGATGCCGTCGGACGTGGCCTTGAAGCTTTTCCACGGAACATCGAAATCAGGACACTCGCCCGCGACACCCACGTCAGCTCATGAAGAAGAGGCGAATGCTCTTGCAATCCAAACCCCTTCTCCTGGACAATGGGATAATCAACTGCTGTCCTCCATCCCTGACTCCTTTGCTGCGTGCCAACCATCTCAACCCCTCATTCAACCCCCTCGAGCAAATATCAAGCTCGCGTATGATGGGCTTACCGCGGAGCTCCAATATCTTGAGAGCCACCTTAATCCTTTTCTCTTCACGCCACAGAGGCCCTCAAACCATGCCCGGAGTAGCTTTGTATTGGAGCCAGAGCGGGCACTGGGGACGCCTGTGGATCCCTTCAAAACGATGTTCCAAGTATCGCATCCCAGGGTGTCAATAGAGCAGCTGAAGTTCCACTGTAAGCTGCTTGCTCTCTCTCTCTCTCTCGGTGCAATGAATGCTAATAGATCCCAGGCAGCCGATTCTTTGGCACCAAAGCAATGGGCCAGATCTGGATCCCCGCCATCACACGCAATCGACACGCCTTTCTTAGCACTCTATGTATCGCCTCCGCCCACCTCGACGCCTCACGCTACAGGCTCACTGAGAGCGTTGAAAGTGTCGCCCTGCGCCATGAAGTGATCCATCTGATTAACCGCAGCCTCCTCGACCCAAACACTCGCATTGACGACTTCACCATCATCGCTGTTATCCAGCTCATTTGTAGCGAGGTGATCGCCGGTAATAACGCCATGCTCGCTTTCCACGAGTCTGGCATCGAGACGATGGTTCGGCAGCGCGGAGGGCTCGAGCGTCTTGGTGTGAACGGAGCTCTTGCGAATATTATATTAAGCATATCATTCCAGTCTGCCATCTTCCGCGAAGCCCAGCCGAGTACTATATACCTCCAATACAGCTCTCGTGTTTCGTATTCCGATAATGTTCCCGGGAAAAGAATTCCCGAGTCGCCGCTTTTCTGTCCACGACCGGATTTCGAGACGTTGGAAGTCAGTGGCCTATGCAAGCCGCATACGCTTTCACTGTTAAGAGACGCAAGGGATATGACCGATCTGTACCTCGACACAGCTTCTAGCCTAACTACCACCGAAGGGAGGAGGAAGGAAGAAAAGCTAAAAGAATATCTGAAGAAATTCGTAGCCCTCCCCAGCGCCAGCGAACTACGAGACCACAACCCTGTATTCGGCGACATGATCTACGAAAGCATCCGCATAGCCTCCCTCATCCAAGCGACCGCCATAGTCAAGCGCGTCAAACTCTCCGCTGCCGTATCCATCGCCGAAGAACTCCTCAAGAAATCTCGCGGCCACAAAACCGCAACAGGTAGCAAACGCGCCAGCACCAGTAGCAACACCTCCCCCTTCACTATCTCAGCACCCACAACCACCACCGCCATAACAGCAGTCACAGCTGCCTACACGCCCACCTCCGCCTCGGCACTCGCCTATCCTCACGCCCGAAACGACTCCTTCCCACTGCCCTCGCCTTCGACACCGTCCGTGTACTCGGCCGTCTCGACACCCTTCGGCCACCTCCACTCCCCACTCGAACTTCACCCAACCCGCCCTTCCCTCCTAACCGCTCTCCACCACGCCATCATCCGCACACCGCACCAGACCGTTTGGTCCGACCTCGCCGGCGTCCTCTTCTGGGTCGGGCTCGTCGGGGGCGCGGCGGCTCGACCTACCGCGCCCCAAGAGAGTGTAGAGCAGAAAGCGACGCGCAAGTGGCTTACGGCGCTTGCGGTGCGCTGCTCGATTGTGATGGCGTTTGAGCATGGGAGCGCGGTTGTGGGGGCGTTGAGAAGGCTGCTGAGGGTTATGGAGAGGGTTGGGGGTGGGTTTGCAGAGGTGGTGGGAGCGGATGAGGAAAGGGAGGCGGGAAGGGGGAGGTGGAAGAGGAGGAGGGTTGATGAGGGAGTTGCTGGGATCGCGACGGGGTGGTGATGGGTTGGGATTGGGGTGGTAGCGTTTGGTGTTAGGGTGTATAATCAAAAGAGGAGGTATTGGAAATCGGATTTTTGGGCAAGGAAAAGAAAAAGCAAAAGGAAACAGCGACCATCGATCTTTGGGATTTTTCTACTTTGCTTCTACTACTGTATTCTTCTTGCTTCACGGTCGTTGGGTTGGAAGAAGAGAAATAGCTCACTGCGCAAGCATGTCATATCACCTACTACTTAATATACCATCATTACTACTCGCAATCTCATGATTTATCCAGTCACTCCGCTCTTTCATGGTCAAGATGTCATTCGGGTATTATTACAGGAGTAGCCTCCTTATCCCCATCCCTTCGTGTCGGTATGCCTCCATCATTGTCTGTATCACGGCTCCGTCTCGACTGGCTCAACCGAACTGGACTTTCTTGACGGTACCGTCTTCGGCGGTGTGGATGTTCAGTCTGCACGAGAAGCCCATCAGTACACCATACATCATATATAACGTGAAAGAGTCTAGGTATAAAGAGGAGGGACGCGTACCTATCCGGCTTAAAATCCATACTCGCCATATCGCCCTCCTTGATCACACGGTGCTCCTTGGGCAGCTCCTGCTTCGCGAAAGTCTATTCAAAATACGTATTAGCATTCCGTATAGTTGCATCTGCTCCGCTCGAGGAGTGTAGTGCATTGCTAAATAGAGGGAATAGATAGGCAAGGTGAGGCTAGTGGAGGGAGCCAGGTAGGAGGGACCAACGGAAGCACGTACCGTCGTATCACTCGTCTCGCCAATCTTCTTGCCCATCAGCTTGTTCGTCCAGTCGTCGCTGCTGCTGCTGGCGCCGTCTTTTGACTGCAGGCCTGGGATTACGAGGGGCATGGTTGCGGTTTGGGTGGTGCGGAAGTGTCTTGGTGATGGCTTTGGCAGGATGTGGAGCTTGAGGAGTTTGTTGGGGATCGTCGTGGTGGGTGGTTGTTTAGGTATGTGAGGTTTGGGTTTATTGGGAAGGTCTTATAAATTGGTGCTTGTAGCTTGGAGTGGCTTCTTTGTACGCATCACGCGTCGTGGTGACGTAGGCAGGCGAGGGAGGGGCTGTGGGCATGGCCAAGCTTGTCCCTCCTTCCGCTTTGAGGCGACTATTTTTTTGGGTATATTAAACGTGGAGTCTGGGTTCTAGGCAACGACATAGAAGAGAAGGCGACAAGGCGACGGCGCATGGAGTACGTGGACAATCAAGGGGAATTGCGTGGTTTGCCTTGTTGGTGGGCTTGGAGAGCGGGCGTGGACCGGTGAGGGAGATGGGCTGGTGGATTGGACGGGTACGTTTGTAGGCTGCTTTAATGGAGATAATGGGGACATATGTGAGGTAGTATAGCTGCAGAAGATAGCCAAATAGTGGCAAGAGCAGTCAGTGATGGTTTGCGGGTGGGTATCACGTGATGGCATCTTCGAAGACAGAACGTTAGATCGCAAGCCCATTGCTTAAGAGATCAACTCTAGAGTCAAGGATATGTATTGAGAACTCTTTCAAAACCGAGTGTCTACGTCGAATACGAAGCTACTGCTGTGCTGCTTTTGGTGTTATGCATATCTAGGCAGGAGCTCCTCCTAATGGGAGACTCCGCCAACTCCAATTGTATCCAGAAAACTGGAGAGTGCTTGTATATTTCGAATGCACGTGACGTATAATACGCATAGGCCAACAATAAGCGAACTTAGTAAGCTAGTGTAGCTTACTAACTAGTTATCCTGATTTGCGCTCTCCCTCCTCCTATACTACTAACACGTCTTTCATCCAAGCGAATGTCCGACACTGTCTGTAAGACCTATGCACCAAGGTAGTCCCACCAATGGGCTCTATGTATGCTCGCTTTTGTGTGAAGGGACCTTGAATATTTGAGGGGAGTATTTTTCAAAAGTTGCTTCCAAGTTAGGTGCGGCTCGCGGACTGGAAGCGAAATAATAGAGTATTGACATAAAGCATATTCTAATTTGGAGTAATGTAACTTGTTCGCGCTAACGAGAAAGAACACGGAACTATAAACCTGCCCGGGTATGAAATAACCAACACTAAATCGGACACTCCGATCTACTCGAAACACGCTTAACGCTAAACCCCAAGCTCGTACACGCTCCCCCAGTACCGCAATGATACGGGTTCCACGAGACCCGGCTCCCTAATCTGATGACAGTATTCACAATAACCCCCTACAGGCGCGTTCATGCAGAAGCAGGAGCTCGAGCTCTCCGAAGCTGTGGGGCTTCCTCCAGACTACGAGATAGTTTGGGAGACCGGACCAAGACACCAGTGCAGGGTTTTAGACATCTCGCTTGTCCTATCCCCAAGTGACTGTCGAAGACGGTGTGCTCAGAGCTGGGTCTTGAGGGTCCCGCTTGTCTTTCTCAATAGCGGTTGTTGAGATATCCCCGGTGGTATCGTCACCCCAGGTAACGGTTGTGTCTGGGGGAGTGAGGCTGATAATGCCGCCACTGACTGGTACGGTCAGATCCGGGTCGCGTTTCTCTTTTTCGATCGTTGTTGTGGATGTAACGGTGTCGTCTCCCCAAGTGACAGTAGTGTCTGGAGGGGTGAGGCCGACAATGCCACCGTCGACGGGAACGATTAGATCTGGACCCCGCTTGTCTTTGCCCCACGTGGTAGTTGTGTCGGGAGGCGTTAGTCCGATTACGCCGCCGTCGACCAGATCGACTAAGTCGGGGTTCGTATCTGCTTCGCGCTTGTCTTTGCCCCAGGTCACAGTCGTATCGGGGGGCGTTAAGCCAACTATGCCGACATCTACAGGTACTACTAGATCTCGCTTTCATAGAGTTAGCCTAGTATTCATCGACAGTACAAAATAGGTCTAAGTTGGCCACCAAAGAAATCGCTTATGAGCTTTAATGGTGTACGAATGAAGACATACTTTAGAGGCATCCGGTGTTGGAAGACCACGAACGTTCATTAACAGAGCGCTCGTAGCAACGAGTGCTGTGAACATGAACTGCATGTTGGTTATGTTAGACTGTGCTTACGAAGGGTGTGGGGTTTTTACAAGGACGACACAAGAGGAGAGCTCTCGGGCATAGACGGCCTTCATATACGTAAGCTGTGCAAGGAACGACACAATTGCCGCCTGATATCGAAAGTCACTTTGATACTCAAACGCGGCACCCGACTTCCACCTTCTAAAGAAGAGAAATCCAGGCTTTCGTATAGACAATCTGGATAAATGACGTTGCAGATTTTGAGGGAGTTGCAGCGGATATCATCGTACGTTCGCCTTCCGGAAGGGGTCTGGTCATTCCACAGCTCACACTATATGAGGTGAACAATCTAGGGAGGTGGCATCGGGGTCTATTGAGCCCTTCCTCAGAAGATAAGTGGTGCTAGCGTTCGGTCATTGGATAGGTGGCAGACCCCTTGACGAAGCCTGTCTGTGAAGGTCCATGCCCAAGGTGCGCATCACTCATCCTAAGTGGCCTGGAAAACTTGTCGTATGCCGTTTGGAATGTTCTTGCCCAGCGCAATCGCTTCCAGTGGAGCAGCCGTATCATGGGACGACGTCGTGTCTATCTGTCGAGATTGCTAATCCATAGTAATAAGGGAGGGATCCCCTCCGGCAAGGCGGTCTATCCAACCAAAAAAGCATGATCGCTGTGAGACCGTTGAGGTCTGGCTCGACCCGAGGACATGCCTCCCATGGAGCCTAAGTTCGAGCAAGGTTCGACTCGACCGTTGGAGCCATGATACTAGAAGAATTCATCAAAACCTCGCAGCCAGACCGGCGTCGATCTACGAGAGAGAGTAAGAGTAAAAGAGGCCTAGACTTTGAGCCGGAGACGTGAGCAACGCTACATATTAGTATCCAGAAGAGGTAAAAGCTCCAGAATGGCCCATCGGTAGAGTGTCTTGGGCTAGGACGATTAAATGAGTGCACTTCATATACTTGCGAAGCGAGACAGGGCGGGGCGAGCCAATTAGCAACGTGGCCATATGGCCTCATATTTTTGAAGATATTTGTAGCAGCAGTAGGAAAAAGTATATCGCAACGAGCTAGTATGCGCATGGTCTACAGTTCGCAGAGTGTGGTTCCTAATTCAAGCGCACGCCGAGATGGAGATTCACGAAGGAGACGGGTTTCTATAATTAGTACGCAGGGTATTCGAACTCCCAGATCAAGCTGTAGTGCGGATGCGCGCAGGCACTTTAGATTGAGAGGCATCAAAATCGAGATGAGTAGACCAGGGAAGACCAGGCCAACGAAGGAGTCCACGTGATCCTTCCATGAAGACCAATACCGTTGCTTTCCTAGTGAAATCAGTCAAGCTAACTAAAAAATACATTTTTGAAAATAAAACATGATGCTTCAGCCTTAACCGCTTTTCTCGATGTTCTAAGAACTCACTTATACACGTGCGGTAGAGCTGCAAGCTGTCTTATATTTTTACTTTATTATGCAAATATGAGCTCGCCCCGCACCATCGATCTCGGGTTTTGTGGTACTCTTGCAGTCTCTTGTCCTGGTATTGACGTTGTTGGGGCAAAAATAATGGGTAGGGGCTTTGTGGAAAGACAGCAAGCGTTGGCCGGCCAGCACTATTGACCGGCGGGATCTTTGAGAGATTTGATCTGAGTGCTTCCCCGCCAGTCAATGTCGGTCATAGATTTGGGAGCGTAAATGAGGCCTCTCGGTGCAGCCGTGATGCCGTGCTCATTCTTCAGATCGTCCAGCGTGATCGGAGTCTCCAAATGGTAAACTGATTTGATCTTGTAGGCGTAGTCGTATCCATCATAGTCTTTGTGTCTTGTGTTATATTCGAGATTGCCAAGTCCGTCTTCTGGAAGCGGCTCATCTCCAGGCATTCGTGTCCTTGCAGGCTCAATTTCGCAGACGTATTCGATGCTAGAGTGCGGAGATATTCGATAAAACCATATCCGTTCGATTGTGGTCTTCAGGAGATACTTTCGAAATTCGTACGTCTTTGACCCGTCGACGATCTGGTTCATGTAGGGTTCTTGAATGGCGAGGATCACGTCACGGCGGATGGGGCTATCGTCAGCCTCCAGGGTGCGCGCCTGTCCGGGGTGAGTGGCTTCTTGAACCTCGGATGATGCCATTTTTGTGTGACTTTAGCAAGAGGTTTTAGTGGGCTGAAGCTTCGTTCAAGTTGTGAGCTGGCGTTGAGGAGAAGGCAGAGGGAGTCGTCAAGGCTGCAGTTTCTCACCCAGATTTAGGTAGAAAGTAGTCACGTGATCATTCACCCGAAATTGATGCTATACTCTAACCTCAACAACCAAGATCCCAGAGTTACTGAGAACGACCATCACAAGCACCATAATCAGCGTACCCGCAATCATCGCATCCCATTGCCTCATGAGTCTCCTTACACGAGCCTTGGTATCATCTAGTAATATCCATTGTCCACGAGCTCTCCTCGCAGTTCGGAGACCTGGTAAGCCATCCAGACTTTGAAAGTTGGAGTTCTTCTGGTACCCTAGAAGTGCCCTTTTCTCGTTCATGGCTGTGGCCCATTTGTCCATAGTCCGACGGTCTGAGAAGCCATGAGCAGAGCCCACCCTCTTCTCCTCGTCGTGTGTTTTCTGACCATCCTCCTCGGCCTCGGACTCCCAGGGAGTGGTGGTGCTTTTGGAGCCGCGTATCAAAGGAACACCAAAGCCGCATGATGTTTGAAGCTGAAGAGATGTGTTAGCTTGCTCGCCCGGAAGCTGTCAGAGAGGGCTCGAACCTTGTAAACATCAAGCAAAATAATAGCTCTCGCGCCCGGTAAACTCACTAACTTTCCCATCTGGGCCGCGAGAGGTCCGAATCTCTCATCTCCAAGTTCAACGACAGTCCCTCGACAAAACAGACGCATTATTTTTGGACTGACTCCAAAGCTACAGAACATCACGGTAACTCTGCCATTTTCGTATACATGCGCTATGGTCTCACAGCCGGACCCTGTAGCGTCGACGTATGCGACAGAATTCTGGCCCAAGACTGCAAATGAGCGCGAGGGTTGACCTTTCGGACTCAAATTTACGTGCTTTCCAGCATAAGGCGCAGAGGCGACGTAGAAAAGAGGTTGTTTAAGCATAAATTCCGCATGATCTGAATTAATCGAAGGATAGAATTTCACCATCGCGGCTGAAGGATTTGGATGGGGATTTGACGAGGTTCAGGAGAAGGAGAAGAGCTGTTCGAACGAATTGAGGGGAGAAATGCTCGTGAGTTTTTGGACTGACTAACTCTGGCATAAGTCCAATCAGGTGCTCTGAGGCTTACCAGGTCCTCGTCGCCAAGTCAAGGCCCCTGAAGTGGTTAATACGATGACCTTTTGCTATCATTCTGGAGACGTTCATAGCTCCACGGAGCCCTCGACAAAAGCGCATGTGGCTGGCGTCAGAAAGTCATAGCATCTCTGTTTCTTGAGGCAGTCGAAAAAAGATCAATCTAGCTATTAAGGTAGCATTAAATGATGAAGAAATGGGCGTCGGATGAAAGGCGCCTGAACAACCCCGCACTGGTCCCGCTTCACGGCGCTATTCTCCTTACGAATCGTACACCACAACTCTCCTCCAACTTAGGTACCTCGGCCTCAATAATGTCCGCCCAATTCAATAAGGCCATGGAAAATCTTTGGTTCAGCAGCCCTTCAGAAGGGCCGGTAATGCTCGATACTAAATATTTAGAGCCCCGAAAATGCCATTCGAACAGGTCCTCAAATGGCTCCATCAAGTAGGCCCATAAGAATAGCTGGTATCTTCAACCCATACATCATTATTGAACCCAACCTAACTAAATGATAGGCTGCTCCGGCTCAGCTAGCGACCGCCGCCATGCCATGGCGATGCTCGCCGCCAACTGTGCCCACGACCCCATCGACGTGATCATCGGGGATTGGATGTCAGAAGGGAACATGACAGGGCGCGCGGCTCTGAAAGCCGATGGTACTCATTCACTCTACTCGAAAACACAATCCAAAAGCATCCGGCAAAGCTGATATGACTACCAGCCATGCCCGCGTACGAGCCCACATTCCTGGAGTCCCTAGAACCAGCACTCCTAGACATAGCCAAGCACAAGATCAAAGTCGCCGTCAATGCTGGTGCTTCAGACACGCAGCTCCTCCACTCTGTCGTCATGGAGATGGTGAAGTCTAGGAATCTGGACTTGAAAGTTGCGTGGATTTCTGGCGATGAAGTTCTTCCCGCCGTTCTTGACGCGAAAAGACGGAAAGAATCTCTATTCGAGAATATCTGCACTGGCGAGGTGCTAGAGGAATGGAGCTTCGAACCGCTGTACGCCCAAGCATACCTCGGCGGCCTAGGCATCGCCGCCGCCTTTGCTAGAGGCGCTGATATTGTAATCTGCGGGCGTGTCTCGGATGCCTCGCCTGTGATAGGAGCGGCGTATTGGTGGCACGGTTGGCAGAGATCTGATCTTGAGTTTCTCGCCAACGCATTTGTGGCTGGACATCTGATAGAGTGCTCGAGCTACGTCTGCGGTGGCAATTTCACAGGGTTCAAGGCCCTAGAAAGCAAAGGATGGGACGATATCGGGTATCCCATAGCCGAGATATCAGCATCGGGAGCCGTGTTTTGATGTCATTATGCAGGGCTACCCGGGTGCGACGCCGCATCTTGATTACCGCCTCGGGATGCCGAAGCCGTTTTTTGAGTACTATGTGACACTAATGCCGCAGGCGGCGGTTGAGCACCGCGTGCATCTGGGGGATGGGGGGAGCTTTCTGGTGGACCCGCCGCCGGAGACGAGGGTGTGGCCGCGGCAGCAGCCGAGCTGTGCGGTGACGGAAAACGGTGTGGAGCTCGGGATGTTTGGACGAACGGTTAGGGGACCGTTGGGGTGGGTTGTGCATGCGAGAAGTGGAGATAAGGGGAGTGATGCTAACGTTGGGTTCTGGGTGCGGTTCCGTGACGAGTGGGATTGGTTGAGAACGCTGTTGAGTGCAGAGATGGTAAAGGAGTTGCTGGGGGAGGAGTACAATGGAAAAGATATTGTGAGTGAGCTCTAAAAATCGGGTGGATGAGTAAGATCGGCTTGCTTAGATTCAGTAGGACCGCTTTGAGTTGCCGAGCGCTAATGCTGTGCACTTCCTGTTACATGATCATCTTGATCGTGGGGTTAGCAGTACAAGCTCCTACGACTTCTTGGGGAAGAATGTTGCTGAGTTTCTTCGGTCGAGACATGTGGATATGCCTGTAAAATTTCTTGATCGGGGGAAGCTTTGAGAGAGTGGGGTGGCAAGACAAATGAGCACCTTGGTCAGTCTTCCAGCTGCGCATTTGTTTGTTATTATTTGAGGTGCTCTAGAGCATCATCAGAGATGAAGATGAGATGTACAGTTCTAGACAGCGTGGATTGATGCAAAATCAGTCACTGCTCAGGGCTGTTCAGCATATCATCAAAAGTCTGGGGACAGCTCACGACCTAGGACAGTGCTAGGTAGTAAGTTTGGGCAGACGGATATATACTACTGCTTCGGCTCCACTCTTGCTCGTACGACACCACTTGGGCACTGTAAGGGGTACTCCAGCTAGCATGTATTAGCTCCGCTAAAAGGTAGTATAAATTCCACTTCGTTGGCCTTTACATACGTGTTTGGAATTTTAAAAGCCTATCACGGTAACACCAACCAGTCGCAAGGAGTGCCTAAACTTATGTCTTGGTACTGTATCTTCGAATTCTTGTATCTCATGGACCGATTTCCTTCATATATGGGCTGTCGTACAATCCCTTCTCGGGTAACCAGTCAACGACGTCTTCGTTCACATGCCACCCACCATCTGACCCGTTTGGTTGCGTTAAGCAGTACCACATTGACTTCCTCTGCCCAGGAACGGGGACCTTCCATCCAAAATGTATCCGTTTCCATTCTGGGATATCTTCACACCTCTTGAACACCTGGCCCTCTTGTGGGGGCCAGTCGCCAATGCTAGACCCCGCTGCTATGCCCTCTTCTAACTCTATTAGTCGTCTCAATGGGGGTGCCTCCATATCTGGAACCCAGACACCCTCCTGTGGACACCGTTCTAACATCCAAAGCGCATGTCGTCGTATGCGGCCATCGCGACATGCGAAAGTAAGAAAGGTGAGGGAGCGTATTATGCCTCCTTCTACGGACCAGGTGGGCGGTGGCCGGCGTTCATTTGGTGTAGAAGATTGAGAAGAAGTGCTTTTGGAGAAAATGGCGGCACATACATCGAGCAATTCGACAAACATGGGCATACAGTCATCCATCATGCTTTCTTCAGTGTATAAGGAATTTATAACCTTCATTGTGATGACTTTGTGGTGGGCCCTGAGGAGCAGATACCCACGTGAATCGGCTTCCGTTGGGTGTCTGGAGACAAAGGCGGCGAAGGCTGGTCCCCAAGAGGAGAGGTGCTTCAGGATGTTTTCGCGGGCAGCAAGTTGCTCGAGCGGGATATGACCAGTATTTATTGGGTTCACGAGGCGGCAACTGAAGCCTCCATGTGTAACTTCTAGTCCGAAGCGGTCAAACCATGTGGTTTGGTCAAGCGCAAGCTCGGCGCTCTCAAGGGAATATAAGGCTTGCACAGCTTCCGAGAAGGATAAAAATGAGTATGCCGGGCTTGCGTTGTGGTCGTCTAGTGCAGGAAGCGTCTTCTGCTTCAGAAGCGGTACTCTTCCGATAACACCTTGAGATGCCATGATATCTAGGCGGGTGAAGATAGGGAGCAAGTCTCTTTCTACGTCGTTGGTGAGGGGTGTGTGTGATTGGATGTATATTATATCCTGAGCCGTAGGGTCTGGTTTACTAGTGATGCTGTTGAGAATCTTGATGCATGCTGCAAGGTGGGCGAGCGCTCCTGGCGCGTTCCCTCCTAGCATTTCGAGACAACAGAAGAGTAAGCCACAGGTAAGAACAACGGGAAGGCATTGGCTCTTGTCCTGCTCCAGCTGAATACGCAGTGCTGTGACGGCTTTGCTGTACTCCCCCTGAGCGTGTATGCGCGCAGTTGGCCAGCGTGGTAGATTCCAAGGGACATGCGTTCTCACTGCTTTGAATGACTCGTGCGAACTCGCAACTGCTACGACGGCGTGTTTTACAGCAGGGACTGAATGTGCCGCTTGGAGGACTTGCTTGCACCAAATCTTCTCGTCGAAGAAGCGGGAGAACTCGAATGCAGATATAGAGCGGAAGTAGTCAAAGAAGCGCCGTTCTGTGTCATTTTCAAACCCATCGGACAGCTGGTTTCGTGTCTGGGGTGCTATGAAGACGACGAACGGATCTTGAGTGCGGTAGCCGTCGCAAATTCTGCCTGCTATTGCGCAACGGCGACAACAGGGCTTCTGCTCGTCGCATTTAACTCGTCGGGCTCTGCCAAGAACATCAAAAGGTTACTATTATGCTTAAATTGTGGCTCTCCGCACATGCCTGCATACCTGCAAGTGCCACAGCCGGTGCTGGCCTTTTTGTGGCTAATGCGAAATTTATTCCCTCCCATCTCGACAGATGGTCTGTGGTGTTGACTAGGCGGATGGCTAATCTCACCGGCACCTGCTCTATGCGAGAAACTCGATCACTAAGGGATACAGACAGCTCAAGCAAAGAACTATCGCAGTTTCAGGGCCTGAGAGCAGTATTCGTAACGGCAACTCGCGGAATCCTTCGCTAAGAATGGCTTGCAGGGACGGTGAGGTTGAACTGGAGCCTATCAAGAAGAAAAAGGAGGACGAACACGGGAAACGCGAGGACCTGCTTGGCGTCAGCGGTTTTGTAGCCTTTATGTATGTAGCTAGCAGCGACGTTGGGGGCTGGCGATCGTGGTGGGGAGGGGAATAAGGCTGAGATGAAGCTAGGGATGCACGACGTTCCAAATCGAAACCAGCTCCTTGTCATTACCGCCCAATCAAGCGACCGACATTCAGGGGTCCTCTAACGACCTCCCTGGGTTTTCAGCTGTGTTGTTGTTGTGATTCTATTTCGAGGTCCGACGAAGAGGCGTTATCAAACAGCCTGTAAATAGGAGTCCAATTGCAGGTGCCCCAATTCACAGTCCTAATAAAAGAAGTCACGCGCATCGTACACTTCATGCCCCTAGGGGAACTTGAACAGCCCTCCTACCCCAGCAAAACACATCTTCTACTCTTTCAATATGCAGTGCATCTCGATATACACTCGAATCCTGCAACTAATTGAGCGTACTCCGATTTACAGTCCTTGGAAATTACATCCTACTCCTCATGCGTTTCATACCTCCTAGGGTACCTGAACAGCCCTCCTACCCCCGCAAAACACTGCTTCTACTCGTTTAATATGCAGTCTATCTTAATTTACACTCGAACTCTGTAACCAATTGAACGTGCTCCGATTTCCAGTCCCTAGAAATTACATCCTACTCTCTATGCGCTTCATACGTCCAGAGGCACCTTTACCCCCCTAACACCCCCGCAAAACACAGCTCTACTCCTCAATCTACGCTCGGTCGCAAAATCGCCCCATTATCATAATCCTAAATCGCACGCCCTAATCCACACTTCGTAGAAATGACATGCACCTTCTCTTATCCTCGCCACCTCCAGGAGTTCCCCTAACCCGCCTTTACCCCCGCAAATCGTTACTCTAATCGTCCCAATCTCGAGCCGCTCGTAAAACTAACCTGTATCCTGAAGATTAAAAACATCATACCGATTTACACTCCCGAGAAAAGACATCCTACACTCCATTCGCTTTATACCTCTAGGAGTCCCCCAAACCCGCTCGTACCCCCGAAAACGCGCACCCTCCCACCCCAATCTAGGATCTATCACAATTTGAGCCTTAGAACAACAACATATCCCGCACCCTCCTAGATCGTGTATCCAACGCCATGCCTTTGACTATGCGGAACGGCCTCTAGGGCCCTCTACGCCCCACCCTAATCCTAGGTCTAATCTAGAGGTTCCGGAACTTGACATCGTGTGTGCGAGTATTTAAGAGTATGGGGGGACTTCAGACGCTGGTATAGCAGTCGCAAAATGAGAGTAGATGTGGGCTAGAATAAAGGGTGCTTATAAATAGTAGAAGATTGGGATGAAGATGGGCATGCAGAGGGGGACGCAGAGGGGGACGCAGAGGGGGACGCAGAGGGGG